CCTTGACCCAGGGGCACATCCCGCCAGCGCAAGTGGGATTACAAACCTCACCACAGCCCTTACAGGGGAACGCATCGTCCGCCTCCATCGGCGTCTCCAGATAATCGTCCACGATGCCGGCAGACATGATGGGCTAAATGGCGGAGAATACTGAATGACAACAACGTCCTGCGAACACGGTATATGCGTAATATAGAGCGACCAGCGTCGTGTCTGTATGCGGAACTGCAGGCGGTGCGGTCTCGGATGTCTCTCGTCAGCAAAGCGTGGACGGCCGGGTCGTTGTAGGCGGGCTTGTTTGACGGGCTACGGGCTGAGTAGCACAGGCATCGATATGGCGACGCTCAGCAAGCAGAATCCGTTCCGTATCGTCGGGCCTCGGAGTCCTCGCCTCGCCTCGTCGTGGCCGGAGCAGAAGAGACTGCAGAGGAGAGGGCGTCTTGGCGCAAGCTCCGGCTGCAGCAGAAAAGAGGCGGTCGTGGTCGTGGTCGGGCCTTGCGGACGGCTGGAGCCGGTGCTGGTGCTACACAGGGCAATGCAGTCGCTGGTCCAGGGCAAGGGGGAGGCTGCGGCTGGTGCGAGCAGAGGAGGAGGATCGTGGCCGTGACGAGGAGAGAGAGAGGAGAGGAGAGGAGAGGCGGAGGGAAGATGCTCAAGGATGGAGATGGACCACGGGGAGGGGATGTGCTGTGCTGGCCTCGAGTTTGGTGCTGCTGGTTGGGACATGTAGAAGCAGGTACCAGGGCCTGCCACGCCGAAAAGGACCCCCCCAAACAGGACCAGACCCCCCCATTGCCAGAACCCCCCATAGCGGCCCTCGCATGCCGCCCGTAGAGGATTAGCCCCCCCCATGGTCCCCTAAAGCATGGAGGTACTGCACGAGTACAGTACATTGCCCAGCGCTGCCGGGGTGTTCCAGGTTTCTGCGCTGTTGCGTCCCTGGCGAGATGCCAGGTACATGTACCGGCCAAATACCTACCCCAAGTGAGACGGTGCAGATTCATGGCAGAGGGCCGTTTGGCACGTTCATGTTGCCTGGTTCATGTCGTGTACCTTATTAGCGGCAAGCCACGCAACTCAGCTGCGCGTGATGGGTGAAGACTCGATAAAAGATGCAGGGCGACCTGTCCTGTTTAGTATTATTACAGAGGCCGATGGACTCAGTCGGTCGTCTCCTTTCCAGTCGCCATTTCTGGATGACTTTACCCGCGAAAAGTTCCCTGAACGTCTCAACAACCTGGAAGTTGATGAGGTATACAGTAAGTGGTACCTCTCTAAAGAAGAATCCCATGCCGACGTCTGGAATGATGATGCGCAGGTGCTACAACAGTCGACTTCAGTCGGTACCGCCTCGCGCACACAGGCTGTTCCAGCTGAGATCGAAGAGACGGGGAAAAAAAAAAAAAAAAAAAAAAAGCACATGGTTCGATATCACCATCTGTCTGTCTGCATGCAAGGCGGTGCCCACTCCCTCCTTACACGTACATACATGAGGGACATGCAGACTCGACCACCCAACAGCCTCGCGAGCTCTTCAGAAACCTGGAAGTAACACAGCTTCTAGAATTGAAAAGACTTGACGAGAGGCTGGAGAGGCCTGTAATGGGTACCCCATACCAAGAATGACAAGACTGTTAAAGGAGGCGGTCGCCTTTTCGTACATGTACGGAGAGTCCTGCAAGTCGTTCCATCAATTCGCACCAAAGCACACGCACACGAGCCGGTGTGGGACTCTGTTGTCTCCCGGTCCCGGTACCGGTACCTGTACCTGGCAGGAGGCGTGGCGCAGCTTGTCCAACTGCAAAAGTCGAGCCAAGCTCAGGGGTTGAGGTGCTGCTCTTCAGAAACAGGAACAAGAGCATCAATTGTGCCGGTTTGGTGCCTGCACGTAGTAACACTAAATATAACGCTGTGAAGGAGGCAAATTGCTTCCTTTTATATTGATACTCATCTACCAAGACACATGTATTTCACCGTCGTGAATCTTCGATGAGGTAAAGGCTGAAACATGCACTCGGCGTCGATGCAAGTACAAGGGGCCTCATGCAGTGTCCATGGAGTCTACAGCAGCACGTTGCCGTCTGTGATTCGAGAAAATCCTGACCTTGAGCCCCAACTATGACAGCTCCTCACATGGACGACTCGTCTGGAGCACAATGAGCGAATCTCTCTACTGGCATCCTCGTTCACCTCATATTGTACGGCATCTCGAAACCAGTACGCAACTTCGTAATGGTGTACCTAAGTAGGCTACGTGTACCATGGTAAGTAGGTAGGTACCTCTACCCAGGCCTAAAATGAAGGGAGCTACCGGGTCCCCCCTCTTTGGAGCTTCTCTCGCCTCAAGCCGCTTAAACCGCCTCCACGGTTAAGGGACCTCAGACGAGCGGTCACCAACACCAACACAAACACAAAGACCAACAGCCATGGCGAAAGCCTCTAGGCTCCAAGCGGGTGTAGCGGCCTTGCCCTGGCGCCGCCTGGGGATCGGCCGCGTGTCTATTCTGTTACCGCCTGGGCTGTACGGATGGTTCGTATGGGGGAGATGACCCGTGGACGCGATTCATTTTGTTTTCACACCCGCAAGAGGCTGAAACCAACACTGTAGAATACTATCACCAACTGCAACTCATCACACATATGTCCGTCCATTGATGCATGTAGTGTGGAATCCGTGTCACCATGTGTCACAGCAGCGAGACTCGCTCTGCTAGGTTGTTCAGCTGACGCAGCATTTGGAGCCAAAATAAGAGCTTCGAGTTGCACAAGCATTCTTGTACTACTACTACTACTACTACTACTACTACTACGTCTTTTCATCATCCATGTATGTGCAGAGAGAGTACCGCGTATTCCCACATTCTGCAGCAGAACAAGCTTCGACAAACGACGCCCTGTGGCCTACCAGGAAGTAACATGCAGGGTGCCTTGTGTCTGGTTGCGCAAGGAAAACGTTGATTGAACAACACTTGCCACCAATAGCCCTCGGTACACGACATTAGCGTAAAGGCCGGTTTTTTCTTTTGTTCTTTTTTTCTTTTGTTTTCTCCTTTTTTGAAACGTCTCTGCCTCCGAGGCTGTTTGCAATCAAGGCCTTGAAAGGGCAGGTATTGAAACGTACTCCGTGTCGTCAACTGTGTCTTGACTTGACTTGACACTGGAGCAAGTTTAGTGACAGTAGGTACCTCATCTACCTGTATCGAATAAGGGACTAAGTAGGTACGAAAACCAGGGGATCCCACCGCCAAAACAACCCGCGGGGATGTGACGGCTTGAGTGAGTCGAGTCCACAATCCAGCAGCGAGACGACCTCGACTTACTATGTAGAGTGTTCATCTCTACATATCAGCCCCTCCCATTGCATCGATTGTGTCTCTACCTCGTCTCATTATGATCTTTGTTCAATTGAAACCGCCAGCCGAAACATCGAGCCCACATTCCAATATGTATTTCGACATTTCCGGGACGTTGGGAATGAGAAGCAAAGGTCATGTCATGGTAAAGTATTGAAGGATACTTTAGTCAGCATCCGCGCTGTGTTTCACGGCATGACTTTGACCCCCCTTCTTCCCACTAGGGCCGTGTTTCACCTTGATTGGACTCTTGTCCCGGGTTTTGCCAGCCAACGTGAAACGAGCGTTGCGGGCATCAGATTGGCTCAGAGGGGCCGTTGGTTCGATGCTGCTTGAAGTGTCAAATGAAGACGTCAAGTGATAAATGAGCCCATCATTTTGCCGTATCGAATGAGAGGATTGACTTAAGACGGCTCATGCACGCTAGATCCTACAGTTGATTACCAGTACCAGGTTTATCCTGTACGAGCTACCATTGTCTTCGTGATGATGTGGTTTACTCACGATGCCACCAAAATTGAAAACAGCCTCCTGTACTCCATATCAAGTGAGTATCAAAACATGACATATACCATAAGACTCTCTCATTGCCACTCCTTCACTTATAGAAAGGCATCAGCAGAGCCTCACTCGCCTCTATCCCCAGACACAACACTATCTCTGCCAACAGACCAGCACCACCAAGACGCCTCATGTATATCACCAAATCCACCGTCAATTTGGCCGAACCAACTTCCTGATCCGCACTTGTCGCAGCCCGCGCCTATCCGAACCCTGCAACTGTTCCCACATGCAGCGTTCTCTGACCGTAACTTACTAAGTATCTAAGCTCAACACAGTGCTGCACACCGACTTCATTCTCATTGATCAAGGCCTCAAAGCAACACCTCATATATCATAGAAATCTCTCCACTTTAAACGTACCGAGTATCACAGACTTCCCACTGTCTCGGCCCACGGAGACTTTGGTGGGCAAAAGTTCACAATCATGTGGTACAATCGGACTCAAAACTGTCCCCAACAAGTCTAGAAATGCATGAGATTACACCCATGGCAATCTCACCACCATGCACGATACCCCTTGTCGAGCTGTCGATCTGCCGACGAGACCCTGCCGCTCGCCCAGCTGTTGATATTGAACTCTATGTAGTATCTCCATAAGGCAACTAGACTTCTCGCCGTGGCCATTGTTTCAACTGGATTAGTATTGTATTGCTTGTTTTCATGCCCTGAAAACGTTCGTACTATTTCTTTGCGCCGAACACGACTCCGAGGCTTCGGTACCTATGCCAGACTAGCGCAACGAGCTGAAGTGTTTGTGCAGTACATACGCAACTCCCATCATTACCACTTTCAAGCCATTACTTCAATATAACCAACGCTCAACTAGGTAGGTATAGGTTCGCGTTGTGAGTCAATGAAAACCCCTGTAAAGTGAAAAGACGTGTTCCCGCATTCGGCGCATTATATTCATCTTGCTCTTCACAATCGGCAGCAAAGCCAGTTCATTTGGTTATTACCGTAGGGTAGACGTACGTAGGGCAAAGCCGACCGTCTCCCAACCCTGATATCAATGCCATGGTATCCTAACTCAACACCGAACAATGCAAGAATGAAAGAAGAAACAACCCAATCCTCGGCCTCCCCTCACTTCTGACCAACAAGCTTCTTCACCTTCTCCAGCAACAGCGAGCTCTCCCTGCCCAGCTTCTTCTTGCCGTCCTTGTCCCTCGTCTTGGCCATGGCCTTCTTGTACCTCTCCCGCTCAGCCTGCTTCTGCGCGCGCTCCTCCATCCGCCGCTCCCACTCTTTCCTCCTCTTCTCAGCCTCCTCGCGACGCTCTGCCGCCTTCTTCAGCTGCTTGTCGTAGTAGCCGGGACGCCGAGTCCTGCGTCGCTGGCCATCGCTAGGACCAGTCGTCTTGTCTGCCTCGGCGCCGGCTTGTGCCATGCTCTCGTCCTTCAGCATGAGCTGTCTTGTGGGATGGATCTGTTCGCCTTCCTCCGCGACTTCACCCTTGGCGTCATCTCCTTGAGCTGATCGTGCTTCATCCTCGCCATCGTGCTGGGCATTCTCATCGTTGCTGTGACTGGGCTGAGGCTTGGGCTCTGCCGCCTTTAGCTCCTGCTGCTTGATCTTCGCGTACTGTTTCTTGATCTTTGCGTTGTGGATCAATTCACGCTTCTTCTTATCAACTGCAGATGGGTCATCGTGTGAGTTTCCGTTGTATGTGAGCTCCGTGGGTCATGCCTCATGTGAGGTAGTGAGAAGATTGAACGCTACCTTTGCGACGCCATGGCCCGTCTGGCAGGTTTTCAGGTCCAACTCTGAAGCCGTGCTTCTTCTTTGTAGCCTCGGCCGTTGTATTCGCGCCTTCTGATGTCGATTTGGGGGCCATTTAGCCTGTCTTGTCGCGATGAAAGCGCTGGTGTAAGTCCCTTGATGACTTTTTCTACCTTCTTGGTTTTTTCCTCTTCTCACGTTTTGCAGCAAATTGAGATGCCGGTGAGGTGCGAGGTGAGAATAAGCCGCTAAGCCCTTTCCGTGCCATAAAGTGGAGGCAGCACCAGGTGAGCACTGAAAGGCGCCTGAGAGCGGCGCACTAATGCAGTTGCAGGTTGGCCATGGGCTCTGTATTCCAGCGGCAGTGCCGGCAGGTGGGGTGCTGAAGCAGTCGCCGTAAGGGATGGAGTACGGGTACAAGGCGGTGGCTGCGTGAGCGCATGCAACGAGCAGGTACCCGAGGGTTCGATAGGCGGCGGCCGAGCGCCCAGTCTGGTTTCATCAGCTGGATGCAAGTCAGTGCTAGTACGTACCTAGTAGCAGCAACAGCGTCAGCGATCCATGTGACGCCACTCAAGGTGAGACAGGGTGCGCAATGCATAATTCTGTTCATTTTCCTGCTATCTGATACTATTATATTAGGTGTAAAGTTTTCCATAGAGAGCCGGTGCTGTAGAGGACTTTGCGTCAGGTGTCCACGGCATCAAGGTCCAGGGCGAACATCAAGTGAAGGCCCTGATTTAACTCGCCTAGTTGGCCATCTAGCAGGCTGAAAAGGATACCTTTTATTAGCGCAACTTGCAGGTTAGTAGATCTTATATTTTAGAAATCCTAGTAATAAGGCTAGACTAGAATAAGATAATGCTTTTACTGCCTTTAAGTTAATTTTAACTTTATTTAATAGCTCTCCTTTATTTTAGCTTACTAATATATAAAATTATATAGTATTATTATTATATTTTATATTACTATAAGCTAATTATTAGCTATTATATTATTATAAGTTAGCTTATTTACTAATATAGTTATTAAGTAGTTAGATAAGTAAACCCTTTATTTCCTCTTATTACTTTTTAAAGCGCAGTAAAGTGGCTAGATAAATTTATTAAAAAAAGTATACCTTTAGGAGGGTATTTAAAACCTTCTTTTATATATAATTTAGCGCTTTTTAAGGCATATTTAAGAGTTTAAGTAATTAAAAAATAAGTATTAATATTTAAAGAAATTCTAAAGAGTTTTTACTATTATAAAGAAAATATCTAGTACTTTATATAATTAAAAAATAAGAAAGCTAGTAATAAGCTAGTAGAATAAAAAGCTTATTATTTAATAGTATAGTCTAGTTAAGTAATATATAGTAATAACTAGTTTTCTTATTAATAATAAAATAATATTTAAGTTATAGTAAGAGATTTATTTAAATAACCTGCCTGCTAGTAAGTATATTATAAAAGTAATTAATAAGCTTATCTTTATTAAAGGCAGCTAAAATGCAGGCCTAAAAGATATTATTATTTATAACACTGCTAAGGTTAAGGAGGATAATTTAACTTAGCCTGTAGCTAAGACTAGAGGACCTAGTAATGCCCTTACTTTATTAAAGACTAGTAATAATAATACTAATACTAAGCTTATTATATTACTAGCAGTAACTCTTATAACTCTTATACTATTATTACTACTGCTAGTAATACCTTAAGCAGTCTTTATTATATAATTATAATTATTATTAATAATACTATTAGCAGTATTTTATATTAATAGCTTAGTAGTTAAGAAGAAAAAAAGAGTATTAAATTTAAATATAATAGCTAATAGCTTTTATAAAGTTATATCTGCTATAATAGTATATAATTTATAATAGCAGCAGCTAAAGTATTATATTACTTATAATTAATAAGCTATTAAAGCAGAAGACTTTAAAAAGGCTATTTAAAATTACTTCCTTTTTTTAAAAAAATAAAGTATAGTATTTATTAGCTAATTAGTTTAATAAATTTATAAAAATCTGCTAAATCTATTAATATAAAATATAATGCTTTTAAAAAAAGTAAAGGAGGCATAATTAGCTATAAACTTTTTATTAAATTCTTAATATTTTTATATTAAGTTATAAATAGCTTTAAAATATATACTTAGTAAGGACTATTAATTTTCCACTTTATTTAATTTACTATCCCTCTTTACTTACTTTATAATATTAAAATTAACCCTAGCTGCCTGCCTTAAGCCTCTATTCCTTATTATTATTATTATTATTATTAATCTTATTAGTCTTATTACTTTTATTACTGCTAAAGTCTATATTATTATCTTACTTTTCTAAATAAAGCTAATAATATCTTTAAGCCTACTTAGTAATATATTTTTATAGTTTATTTTTATTTAATAGTAGTATAATAGCTTTAGTATATTTTTAAGTGATTTTTATAAGATTTTATTTATAGTTAGTTAAAATAAGTTACTTTTTTATATAGTATTACTTTAATATCCTCTTTTTAAGCTTAATAAAGTTAAATAGGCCTATTACTATATATATAATATAAATCTAGTTAAGGAATTTATACTTAGCAGTATTATAATATATTATCTTTTATTTCTGCTTATATTTACTAAAGACTTACTTAATAATTATTCTTTTTTAAGAGTGCTGTAAGTTAAAGAGTTCCTCTTTATTTTAAGGTTATTAAGTTATTATTCTTTAGTTCTGCAGATAATATTATATATTATTACTATAAGGAGTAATAACTTTTTATTATAGCCTAAAGCTAGTATTACTTAGCTAATATTATACTATTAGTATTAAGAAAAACTAAATTAAGACTTAATATAAAAAAGCTATATTATTAATAAATCCCTTAATATTAATAAGAATATAGTAAAATAGGCTATTAAAAGTAATAGCTATAAATATATTTTATAAAATATTATTCTTCCTTAACTAGAATCTTTACTGCCTTATTAATAAAATATAAGCTAAGATAAGCATTTTATTAATAGCTTTAATTATACTACTAAATATAAAGAATTTAGTCTTAAGCTTAATAGCTAGTAATAAATATATTAATTTTAGCTGCTAAATAAAATATATATATAACTGCTATATAAAATCTTTAAGTTTATAAAAGACTTATAATACTATACTTTAGCTAGTTTAAAAGCATAGCATTATATTCCTTTATAGCTTACTATATATATAAATCTATAAGAATACTATAACCTTCTGCTTAATTAACTGCTGCCTGCTTTTACTAATGCTGCTATTAGTATAAAGCTATTAGTAAAGGGTAAAAAATATAGCCTTTTTTATATAAAAAAGAGTATTAATTAATGCATTTAGTAAGTTTAAAAGCTACTAATAGTATTCTTATAAGGTAATAGAAATGCCTTATAGTAATAAGTTAGTATTTTTAACACTAGCTAATACCTTCTTATTATTAAAAAACTAGGTGCTAGGTAAGTTAGTAATAGGCTTAATAATTAAGGCAATATATACTAATATAAAAATAGCTATATATAAGTTATCTTAAGCTTAATAGTAGTTTATAACTATATATAATAATAATTAAGTTATGCCTAATATATTACTAGTAATTATAATTAAATTTATAGTATATTAAAAAGAGGTTTAGCTATAACTAGCTAATAAGTAAGATAGTAAGTATATTATTTAATTAGTATTATAAACTATTTTTTTTTATAATAGCTATTAGTAAAATTAGTAAATTTATTATAATATTCTTTATAACTATATTTATAATAAATAATTATGCAGCCCTTGCTAGTATAATATATTATTAATAAGGGGGTGTTAGGGATTATGCTTTATAATGTATTTTTTTCTGCGTTTATGCTGAAAATCCTTACTAATTTAAGACTAGTGACCTTTTTATGCATCCTATCTAACCTGCTGAATGGCAACTAGGCGAGTTGAATCAGGGCCGAAGTGCCCGCCCGCGTCCAGATACAGCGCCCACACCCGCCCCATGCCCGCTGTAATCGATCCCCTACACTCCGCTAACGCGCGCTATTCGGCTTCCCGCTATCGGCTTGCCACGGGGGTCCGCCTGTCGCCATTTTGGGCTTCCGACGTAATGCTTGCGTGATTCACCGCCCAAGCAACTGCCCCGGCAGTAAAGATAAACATAAGGTAAGACATCTATCCGATCCGTCCATGATGCTCGTACAAACTTCACCTTGACCATCTCACGGCTTCCTTCGTGCAACCGGAGCACCTCTTAGCCTCCTGCTCTCCGCCAACCAGAAGCGGCGCCGTCTCTGCCCTCGCTGTCCCTCGTCTTCACTTGTGACGCTTCCCCCTCGTTTGACTCGTGCCTGTGCCTTGTACGCCGGACGTGTGGCAACCCTTGCAGCAGCCGTGCAGCAGCCGAAGCAGGCAATATAGCATTGGATTGATTCCATTTTTTTTTCTCTCTTCAGCCGGCATCTCCCCGACCTGTACTGTGTGTGTACTCGAGTAGGATCAGGCTCAGCATCGGGCTCGACTTCAGGCTTCGACTCAGGCACAGCGTCCCGCTTGGATGAACCGCCTGGCCAGTAGACCGGCTCCGATGGTGACGCTTTTCGCTACCGCTGCGTCCATCGTCCCGGCCGCTGAAGTCTCCCATACTCATGATTCCATCTCCTCATGATCCGGGATTCCCCAGCTGCCTCGAAGCTGCTGCGGAACACCACCATCGAACGATACGCAAATGCCCATCTTCCAGGACGACATCTGCCATGTATCGCCGGCCTCCAGCCCCGGCGGCATCGAGCCGGCGGCCGCGAGGAATCGTCGCCTTTCCGAGGAGAGCCTTCGAACCGAGCTCTGCGAAGGACCGGTCCCCGATAGCCCCATGCATCTCTCGACGCCAAAGGCAGACGAGGAGGCCGGCATCTCAGACAGGGCCGAGCTGATACAGAGGCTGAAACGAGGAGAGAGCCCGACTTGGATCCCCGGCAAGCATGTAAGTCTAGGCATGGTCTCTGTTTGTACTTTGGGCCCTTTGTCTTGTCTATACATGTACTAACCTGAACCTTGGAAGCTTGAGTCGATCCTTCAGCAAGAAAACACCCACAACGCGCAAGAACAAGGCCGAGCCTCGCCCGAATCGCCCAATCTCTTACCACCAGCGACCATCACACCCGAGAAGCTCAAGTCACCGGCGAATGTCGATGCGAGACTGCGAGATGGACTTGACATCGAGCGGCCGAGGTCAGCCTTCCACAGCGGCGACTTTACGAGCGACGGAACGGCACCTGAGAACAGGCAACACAACGGCCCAGGCAGGGACGCCCGCGAAGAGCGAGGGCCGTCTGAGCATGGTTGGTTCACGACATCGCCGCCAAGGCACTTTACGCCATTTTCGTACGGCGGAAGGGCCCATGGTGGGAGGGCACGACTGATGGAACACGACGGCGTGGATGGCTTCAAGTCGGACGGCTCGCCCCTGTCGACGTCGCTATCGAGTTTCGTCTACCAACCCCCGACCAGCCCCCTCGCCCAGTCCGAGTCGAACGAAGACGTCGATTTCTCCACGCCCCCCGGGTTTGCCTCGGCCAGACACAAGCCAGGACGGCTGACCTCGAGCCTTTCTGCGTCTTCGCTCGTCTCCTCTTCCGCGAGGACACGGCTGCACAGCCTACACTCGTCACGACGAGAGGGTGCCTTGCCGTATCAGGCACACCAGCCTCGGCGCTCGTTAACTTCGGCGCCCAGTTTTGGGCACAACCACCACACCGTTTCCTCTCCTCAGACACCGGCCTTTATGCGGTCACGCCGCCAATCGTTTGGCTCAGACACGTCGCCGATCCAGCACGCTTCCATGGTTGGTTCATACGAAGAGAGTATCCTGCGGGGACGCATGTCAACAACGCCATCGAAGCCTTTTGAGTTCCTTGCCCAGATCGGCGTGCTGGGCAAGGGCAACTGCAAGCCCAGCCTCCGATGCCCGCGACATGTGACACTCCCCTTTCCGGCTGTCTACTACAGCTACGGGAGTGCTTCTCATGGTCGATCGCCGTCTGACGATGGCCCAAGCCCGTACGTTGGCCAGATTGATCTGGAAAACGGGCTGTCGAATCAGGAAGAAGACTCAAGGTCGCGAAGAAAGGCTCAGAGTCGGTACAGCGACATGAAGCAGCAGGCCGGTGGCGAGGCAGCCGGGCAAGAAGCAGACACGGATGCGGATCGAGAAGGACGCAGACCCAGCAGGCTCAAGCGCCCGTCGGGTGCGCCGAGGGCACCCCCAGGAGGAAGCTATAGGATCCCGGAAACCGGGCAGATTCAGATCGTCATCAAGAACCCAAACAAAACGGCAGTCAAGCTCTTCCTCGTGCCCTACGACTTGACCGGCATGATGCCAGGAACCAAGACCTTTATCCGGCAGCGAAGTTACTCTGCGGGCCCGATTATCGACAACGTGCCGAACATGTCTCAAGCGGACGCCGATCGTCCCATTCTCCGATATCTCGTCCACTTGCACATTTGCTGTCCTGCCAAGGGGCGCTTCTACCTGTACAAGAGCATCCGAGTCGTGTTTGCAAACAGGGTGCCGGACGGGAAAGAAAAGCTGCGCAACGAAACCACTTGGCCGGAGCCGCGCTTTTCCCCCTACAAGGCGATCCGGGTGATGAATCCTCCGCTTTCGACGTCTGGCGGTGCGGGGGCCATGTTGGCCAACGAAAAGGCCCTACGACGACGCAGCCTGGGCGTCTTTATGAGCGGCAACATGTCCACCTTTGATGGGATGGACGGCACCCCGTCTCCAGACCGGATGCTGATGGCGGCTCCATCTCCCAGCCCTGGCCGCGGCGGCGTCATTCCTGTTGAGATGATTCCACTGCGTCTCCCGCAGTCGATAGCCGCTGAGAACAAGGACGGCGGTTCGTCTTCCCAGGCCAACACTGGTCCGTCTACAGTCGACTCGAGGTCTGGCGGCACGTGGGGCCCATCACAATACGAAAAGCTCAACAGGGGCGATGCTGGCTATGGGGGCAACGCCTTCGGCCGCTCAGGTGCCGCCAGCCCCCCTGGGACTGCTCCCGAGAGCCTGCTCTCTCAGCGTCTGCGCAGCCTGGGCGTGAAGCCTCAGCAGACGCCTGAGTGAGTAGCTCGGCACCGTTCTGCCTTGTAACTAGATATTGTTTGAACGCCCTGTATCTTGATCTGAGTTCTTTTTGTTTTCATTCTTCTGTAGGAAGCCTGTTTGTTATCACTACTCACTACACTCATCATGGGCGCTATTGGACATTGGGCGTCAGGCTTCACCTTGATTGGAGCCGCTTTTGGCTGGACAAGCTGTTGGATATGTTGTCGGTTCCGTATAGAGAGTACTGTCTGTTCTCCGGCCTCTGTTTGGATATTTTGGCTGCGACTATGTAAGTAGTTGTTGTAGTTTCAGACTCAGTTTGAGCTCGAAAAAGTACAGTTGTGAGCTTTGAACAATTGTATCAAGACGCTGCGAGAGACGAGGAGTACATAATCAATTATAATAATTCTACTATTATGAATTTCATATCGCAGCTTCTTCTACATACCCAGACATTACTTCTATGTTAATCGTTTCGATGATGTCGGTGGTTGGATCTGATACTTCAGTAAGCGGTATATTCGGAGCGATACGCCCCGTTTGTTGAATACGAGCTTCATCTCAAGCAGGAAGCTCTTCCAAGCTCTCATCTCATCCAAAGTATTACTAACATTTCATTTCTCTTTTGGCTTTTGTATGCCAGACAATGCCACGCAATGGCATCACATGTCACTTCAAGAGCGTATTCAAATACCATGCATCCTCAGCATCATCTCGCGTGACGACCATCCGCTCGTTTGCAACCTCAACATCAGCATCCTCACCCAGATCAACCTCAGCCTCAACCTCAGCCTCAGCGTCTAAGCTAAAACCAACAACCCCTTTAACAACAGCGTCAAGACTACAGCCAAGAGCCAACAAGCCACCAAGCCCAGGCAATGCTGAATCTCCATCGTCCCCAAAGCCAAAGCAGCAGCAGCAGCAGCAGCACTCAGACCTAGCATCCTACCTCGACGACGCCAAACGGCGCGGCCTGGACGAAAAGTCGACGCTCTTCACGGGGACGCGATACGAGTACCTCGTTGCGTCGCGCCTATCAAGATACGGCTTCTCGTTGACGCGCGTGGGCAAGACGTCCGACTATGGCATTGACCTCGTTGGCGAATGGACGATTCCCTCCTCCTCGTCGTTGTCAGCTTCGCCGCCGGCGATAAAGATCCGGGTCTTGATACAGTGCAAAGGCGGCGGCGGACAAAGGATTGGCCCGCATCTCATTCGCGAGCTGGAGGGTTCGTTTGCGGGCGCGCCGCCGGGATGGAGAGGCGGAGGGGTGCTGGGGCTGCTTGTTGGTGAGAGGGGGGCGACGAGGGGGGTGAGGGAGGCGTTGGGACGGGCGGACGTGGCGATGGGGTATGTTTGGTGTGAAGGGGCAGCAGCAGCAGCAGCAGCAGGAGGAGGAGGAGGAGAAGGAGGAGGAGAAGGAGGGGGCAAGGTGAGGCAGATGCTGTGGAATAGGAGGGCGGAGGAGCTTGGGCTGGAGGGAGTGGGCGTGGGAGTGAGGAGGGGAGGAGGAGGAGGAGGAGGAGGAGGAGAAGGGGATGAAATCGTGCTTTTTAGAAATGGGGAGCCGGTGCTGTTTATGTGATGGTTAGTGGTGATGGAAGTTGGAAAAGAGAGTTGGTTGATAGAGGCATTTGTCGGCGTGTTTGGGAGCTCAAGGACCGGGACATTAGGATATCACCATCTACCTACAGGCAATAGGAATCCCTGACACAAGTCACAAGCGACTTGGCTCGCATCTGTTTGCTTTCTCATGTTATAAATTGCTATCAGTTATAACCCCTTAACACCGCCTTAATGATTCGATGATGATGATGATGATGATGATGATGATATGAATTTCCATCCAAGGACAACCGCCGCCTCAATCCTCCCAGACCGCCGCCTTGGCCCGCTCCGCAGCCTCCCGCAGCCTCTCCTCCTCCGCCCTCTGCGCCTCCCGCCTCTTCTTCTCCTGCTCCCTCACCGACCGCTGATACGCCCGCTGCTCCTCCGTCTGCCGCGGCGCCTTGAGCCCCAGCCCCGCCGCAATCATCCGCCTGGCCACCGCGTCCGTCTTCTCCGGCCTCCGCGCGGGCGTCCCTCCGCCGGGGGAACTGCCCTGGCCTTGGTTAGCTGCTGTTGTTGTTGTTGCTGTTGCGAGGGCGGCCCATTCGTAGGAGGCGTCCAGGGCGAGAGGCGAGGCTGGGGTTGGAGGGGGCACGGCGGGGGTGGTGAGGGAGGAGGAGGAGGAGGGCGTTGATGATGAGGATGATGCTGGTGGTTCTTTGGCGTCTTCTTGCTGGTTGTCATGCTTGTCTTGTGCTGGTTCCTCGTCGGAGACGTCTTCGTCTTCCCATGAGTCTGCGATGGGCTCGTTCTTCTTCTTCGCCTTCTTGGGCTTGGGTTTGGTTTGTGAGGGTGTTGTTGCCTTTGGGGTGTCGATGGAGAGGTTGGAGATGGCGGAGGCCATTTCGTCTTTTTCTGTCGTTGGCTGCTTTGAGGCCATTGTGACGGATTTGAAAGATATGTAGAAAGTGACGAGAATCACGACAGAATCGTATGTTTTCTGTATATTGGCGTTGAGTATGACGCAAAGTGTGTGGTAGCCGAGAGCCAGGCAAAAGAGAAGAGACTGAGAGAGTGAGAGGTTGACTAAAGTTGCTCCCTTATGTGAATGCCCAGCCTGTACTTGAAGCCCGGTCTTTTTGACTACGTGTTTCTCGCTTGAGCAACGAAACCACGTTCAAGCCGTATATGACAATTTCCTCTCTTTTTTTTTTTGTGTGTCAATGGAAGAAGTTCGGGATCAGCCACAATGAGAAGAGGATTCGAGTCGTGGTTGATGGTGATTCAAACAGAGTTCAATGGCGGAGTTGGCTGAGATGCCGGACCAAGTGCCTAACCTGGATCACGTGCCTGGCTCTCTTCGGACCACCCATTTGGCTCTCGTGATGCCGAATTGACATGCCATCAGGCCACTCCCCTGTGAACGAATCAACTTACAGCTCAGATTCCATCGCAGAAACGAATGGCTTGCAATTATCAATTGCCCATTCAATCTCAACGTCATCACTGCACTTGATCATTCGAATAGGAGACTCAACCTGATATCTAACATCTACCACACACATACGTACACACCCTCGACATCACATCAACGCCCCCCTTTTTCGTTCCAACCAACTCCTCCCCTTCCAACGCCCAAGTTTTCTCCCCATCTCCCCCCCTTCTCGTTCCAACAGAAAATTGCCAGAGGGTATTATTTGCTTTTTTTTTTTGACTTGACTCATCTATGATTTGCCCAAATCCGTCCTCCTCCCATTCCCTCAAAATCTCATCACATTGCGGCTCATGTTGAAATAAAGAAAAAACTCCCACATGCCTCATGACATTCATAATCCAACCCAAAAGAGAGACATAAAGAAAAGATAAAAAAAAACAAACAAACGCGGGCCTGTATAGTCAAAGGAGTGGGAAACAAAACACACGTCTATATCGCTCCCGCTTTTCCCCCCAACCTAAATAACGTCCCCTTGCCCAGGAATATTCGTCATGTACAGCTTGCTCGACATCTTGGGCACTGGCTGCGGAGGCGCCTTGTCCCTCTGCCTCTCCCTCGACCTGCTCGTCAGCCGCACAAAGTTCGGCTGCGGAGGCGGCGGCCCCTGTCGTTGGGTCGTCCCATAGGTGCTCTCCAGCGAAAACGATGACCCGTCGTCCATGCTTCCCAGATCGATCCGCTCATCGTCTGCATCCGAAAACCCGCTCATGGCCAGCTCATCGTCGGACGCGAAATCGTGCGGGTAGTGCGACGGTGGTGCCGAAGGCGATGTGATTGAGCGAGCGTGGAGGCCTGGCCGGGGAGGCGATAGGACGCCGCCGACGGAGAATGCACCTGGGGTCATTGTATTGGAGGCATTCACCCCTGAAAAGACTGCCGCCGGTCGATCGACGAACCCGTTTTGGAACGAAGTGTTGCCGTTGTTGGATGCTTCGTGCAGGATGGGCAGGATCTGTTCGTCGTACAGCTCTGTCCCCGTCTCGTAGGACTCGGGCGTAAACTCTGTAATGGTCATGGAAGAACGCCCGTCATCGTCCGTGTGAGGACTCGCGGGCTCATCAAAGAAGTCATCGAGGCTATCCAACTTCGTAACCAGGTCGCCAGGATGAGCATCGCCCCGCGCCTCATCAGACAGCATTGTCTCCGTCCGATCCAACGAGTCAAAGTATCCATACGGAAAGTCCTCCGAATGAAACTCGACGCCGGCTGTCGGCGTAGGCTCGGTCGATGAGCCCTCGGCGCTTTGGCACATGTAAAACGCGGCATGAATGTTGGCTCTGGTCGCCTCCGTCTTCTTCGCGGGCACCGGAATGGCCCATCCGGATAGCTCGGGGATGCCAAACAGGCTCTGGGTGCGCTCGTACTCCTTTCGCACCGCTTTCGACGTCAAGCGAGCCATGCTCATCCTCAGGTGCTGTTTGTCCATGTGGCTTCCGGACATGGTCATGATGTTGTCCAGCACCTCGAGAGCCCCCATGCAGAACTCGGACTGCAGCAGACGCAGTAGCGGCGATATGAGATCGGACCCGTGAACGGCAATCTCCGGGTTTCGCATGTCAATATCCGGAATCACGACGCAGAGGATCCGCATGGTTTGAACCTTGACCCAAGACAGCGAATTCGTCAACAGTCCCATCAGGAACGTGATCATCTTGAACTCCATGTGCGGCAGATAAAACTCGCGAAGCGCGGCATGGAGCTGAACCATGAAATCCTCGGCGCTCTGGAAGCGATCGGAGATTAAGCCGTCCAGAACATGTCCAATGCCTTCAAGGCCCTGCCGATCGGACTCGGAAAGCAGGATCTTGGCTGTGTTTAGAGCCTCCGGACCAAGTCCACCGCGTTCCAGCTCATCCAGGAATCGGGGGAAGTTGGCCAGCAGACCAAAGAACAGCCGGTTGTCGTCGCCAATGAGGCCGTCTCCGGGGAGCTTGACCAGCTTGTCCATAATGTCAAGCGTCGGCTGCCAACACAGCGATGACCTCAGACCCTTGTGCAGCAAAGGCTGGAGTCCTTCAAACTGGCCCTCCCACCGGCTTGGCTGTCCGTCTGCAATCACCCTCCTCACGTTCGGGGCTCTGAAATCGACCTTGTCAATGAGCACGTCCAGCATCTCCACCGCCTCAAGGAACTCTCGCTCGTTGATTGAATCCAAGCATGCGCACGTAGTCCAGAATAGTTGCGGGAAGGTGATGAGCTTCTCAGGGTCCAGCTTGATAATGAGCGTCTTGAGAGTCGTCAGGATCTCCATGGAAAAGGCTTGAATCTCAGGGTCCTCGTCCGCAATAGTATTGGACAGGCGAGCAAGCATATCTCCAAGCATGTACTGATCCAACGAGGTGAGGACGCAGCGGAAGATTTGAAATGAGCGGCATGCCAAGTGCCTAACGGGACATGACGTAGCCCATGTCAACGACAACCTGCCCCATTGCTCCTTGATTCCCGGAAACGACACCTCAAAGGTCCTGACCACCTCGTTGGTGAGGTATTCCATGCCGGGGGGCACCTTGTTCTCATGGTCGTAGACCTTACCGTTGCTGTCTTCGTAGCTCCACACCACGGAACGATCATGCTGACGAACTAAATCTATCAGTTCCTCTATAGACTCCTTGTGATGCGGATCTGTCTGGTCGTCAATGCGCGACATGACCAGCTCGTGAATGAGATGCACCAGCATCTCGCGAGCCTGGTCCTGTACCAACGGCGTGTAGTGATCCCAGAGCACGGTAACAACATGCAACAGCAGTGGCACGCTATCCGGCGCGAGAAGCACCGGAGACACCATGAGATCCACGAGCAGAATCAGCGAGAGCTGGCCAAGAGAAAAGCCAGCCTGTTTCGTGCCGACGGGGAGCGCTTCTGCCAGGTCGGCGCAGTAAGGCATGCTGCTGGTGTCGGGCGGTGTCTGCGCCATCTCCCTCTTCTCGATGGGCACCATGGCCTTTGGAGTGATTTGCGTCAGCAGGAATTCGACCACTTTGCTGCCCGGCGGGCTGTTTGACGTCGAGAGGAACACGACAATCTGCTTGGCATACTCGACAAAGTTCTGCTCGCGTCGCTCCAGGCACAGCTGCATGATGAAATCGAGCACGAGACGCACGTTGCCGGGGTGTGGCCCCGTAGCGAGGGCCTGCCACAGCGCCTGGACTTCGTTGTGCAGCGCGCCTCCTGACTTGATTGTGATTTCCAGCAGGTTGGCCAAGAGGACGTAGGACTCGGCTGTAGGACCCCCGTTGGGATCCAGCGTCAGCTCAATGGCCTGGATCCACGGCAAGACAACGGCAACAACGTTTCGCTGCATGGCCGGCTGCAGGTCCTTGAAGTACAAGGTAAACTCGGAGATGACGTGGAAGGCGAGCTCCGTATACTGGTTCGCCAGTCGCTTGGAGATTTCAAACTGGGCCAGCTTGTACACGGCCTGCGTCTTATCGGAAACGCTGATGTCAAAGTCCTGAATCTTGGAGTTCCTCTGCTGACGAGTCTCGAGCACTCGCAGCAGAGTCGAGGACTTGGACCGGACCTCGCTCTGATCGTTGCCGAGCATGAACAGGCACAGGGCTATGAGCTTCCAGAAGGGACAGGGATAATCGCCGTGGTCCTGCAATACCTCGACCGTGACCATGAAGTAGCTCTCCAGCACTTTGGATACGTCCGCCAGGTAACAGCGCGCAATGCAGTGCTCTAGCAGGTACGGGTATTCTTTGTTGTGGACCACCAGGTTTTTGAGAGCCCTCCTCCCTATGACATTCATCTTGTCGCTGCCCGAGTTGAAGATGGCCTCGATCCACGCGAGCATTCGGCGAATGTCAAACTGCAGCGTGGCACCGCTCTCCGTCGTCAAGCTGATGGGACCGCCACATAGGGAAGCCATGGCACTCAGGGCCGCAGTTCTGAGGTTGCGCTTCTCAATCTCCATGGCTGCGGTGGCCGTGCCTCGTTCGCCCAGGGATTGCTGGTCTATCAGGTTCTGCCGCATGTTGTCTTCTCTGGCCCGGACCTGGTTTTGGTTGGGCGAGAAACCGCACCAGTCCTCCATGAGGGAGAATGCCGATTTTCTAGACTCAAACGTCATCCAGCGAGTAGGGTCGCTGGTCCGGTTGATGCCTTCATACAGCGACTCCATGAGCCCACAGTAGTATCTCCGCAGCTTTTGGAACTCCCAGTCCATCTGCACTTCTCCATCCATCAAGAACAGCTTGAGGTCTCTGGCGTAGGCAGTCAACGTGCTCAGGAAGAAGTCGGACTGGTAGACAATGGGATCTTTCAGGAAATGCGACGTCAGTTTGAAAACATGCGTAATCTCTGTCCTGAGGAGGTCCATCTTGCGATTCCTGCGGGGGCTGCTGTTTGTTCGCTGGTGGATTCTCGCACGGGCTTCATCATTGCAGCGGGATACCTGACCTTGAAGCTCTTCAAGCAGTGTCTGATATATATGTATGTTGATGGAGCCCATGGCAACGACGACGGCATCCCGTACCGACGCCGATGTGGCAGACAAAAGCGGGATGAGGTACTTGAAAAGCGTCCTCGCCGTCACGATCTTGTCCGCCGAGGAAGAGGATTTCGAGGATTTGCGCGTGTGCTGAATGGCCTCCTTGGGGATACTCTGTGGCGGGCTCCCGGGATCTGCCAGGGTGGTACAAGCAAAGATGAGATACAGCTTCCACTGTTCCACGATGGACTCCGGCTGCGTAGTAGGCGAGCGAGGCACCGGGCGGTTATGGTGAACGCCCTCGCCAGTATGGAGAGGACCCCTTGAGGGCTCGGACAGGTAGACAATGGGCTTGTACATCTGAAGGACGCGGTTGCAGATCAGGTCTCGGCAGATTGTAACGGCAAACGGGCACTTTTCAAATGCAATCCGCATCAGGTTAGGGAAGATCTTGAACCACAACGTCGTATCATAGGTCACTTCACTGGTGCAGAGCTCAACGAGGGCGCCTTTGCCGTTGCCGTTCTGCAGGCCCCGTTGCAGTCTGCTTCGCTCAGCGACGGATAGATGCTCGTCGTTGAAGTTCATCACCTGAGACGAGTCATTCTCGAGAACATTGATTAGTCTCAGCGAGTCTTTTTCTTCAGATGGGTCCTTTCCGAGAGCCTTGTCAAACTCGGTGATGAGGCGGAGCACCGTGATTGCAAAGTACCGAACGCGCCGTGACTGGGAGCAGAGAAAGAACAGCCCGTGTGCTTCGGCCTGGTCAACTTCCGCCCAGATGCTGGACAGATCCAGCTTCAGGGCTCGGTTGTCGGAGCCGTTTGCCTCGGAATCGCCCGCGGCGGCGGCGTCTCGGGACTTTTGCTTGATCTCCTCTATCCATATCTTCAGCAGCTCGACATAGAGCCGCAGCGTGTTTTCGATGTGGTTAGCTCCCAGCATTCCGCCGTCAGACATGGTCGAGTATCGATCATCAAAGTTAAAAATGAAGCGTGCGAAGCCCATGGTGACCTGCTGCGCGTGGGACTGGCGAGCAATGGCCTTGAGGGAGTTGGCAGAAGATTCAGCAATGTTGTACTGGACGTGAGCAGTGCCCGTGCATAAGAGATTAATTAGGGAGTTAAAGGGTATATCGACAGAGAGGCAGCGGGGGAGTGCCTGCACGGCAACGTGTAGTAGCTCGTAAAACGCTTGCTTCTGATCTGCCGCGCTTTGATGCTCATCACGACGTGAAAAGGTGAAGGATTCAGAGATGGGTGTCTTGGGGCCAGGGCTGCCAAACTTTTCGTCCAAGGCAGCCTGGCCACCAAAGGTGTTGTCGCAGACAATGGTAATCTTGCCGAGGATTTCACAAAACTTGAGGTAGTACTCTCGGACACCGTCGGTAAGTACGTGAGTGAGTACGGGACGCGAAACGTGAGACTCCCTGATTGATGAAGATGAAGAGGCCGACGTAGACAGAGAAGGAGTGCGAGGCGGTGCTAATATGGGCGATGCGGGGAATCGTTCAGGGATGGCCGTGGTTCCAGAATCGTACACCTGGGGGAAAGGTGGCCGGCCTTGCTCTCCCTTTTCCAAATCAGACATGATGCTCAGGAAGGCTCGGATGCCGACCACGATCCTGTCCGGGTCCAGCTGCTCGACTCTCAGCTCCTTGTTGGCGATGAAGAGCTCGGCATTGATGAGAGGGAATATGATGGTGCGAAAGCAAAACTCGGGGTATTTGAACCCGATGATGCGGATAATCTGAATCAGGGGCTCCGTGATGGTGGCGTCAGATGCAACAATGCTGCGCTTCGAGGGTGGTAGCACCAGCTTGATCACATCTTCCAGCTTACGCGCCACGCTCTGAAAGGTGTCGTTGGTACGATAGAGGTAAGTCCATACCAGGCGAGAAATGACTTGCAGGCACAACGGCTTTGTCAACCTGTCCTTGACTTTCGTCTGCAGAGGCAGGATCAGCTGCAGCCACTGGGCTCCAAAGTTATCGGGCGAGGAAACGCAGAGCATCGTGGCCGTGAGCGGAAACGCAACAGTCCAGTGTCGCGGCTTGGTGAACATTTGGGCCAACCGTGGTCCGATGGCCGCCACGACCTCCATCCACTTTGGATGCATTAGGTGGCTGTTGCTCGCCTTGGACGCGATCCCGAGCAGCAGCAGATCGATAATCTGGCAAAAGGCCGTCTTCACCCTCTGGCCGTGGGATCTGTTGAAGAGGCGGCCCAGCGCGACAAGGAAGTCGCACGACTGCTCCCAAGCATCCTCGGGCGATATCTTGATGCGAAGGTGTTTCATGCCACCCAGGACAAGGTCCATCTTTCCCTCATTGACATCGCGGAGAGACAGAGAGGTCGGGCTCTTGGTCACGCGCTCATTCATTTGATTGTCGAGATCTTCAATAAACCTCCGAGTGACCCCGGCAAAGTTGATGTCGCTCATGTGGCCGAGGAGAAGCGCAAACAGATTCCAGTTGGCCATCTTCAAAGGCGACGCCAGCAGCTGTTCGCTATCGGCAATCTTGAGCTGCCCGAAGATGATGCTCTCAAGCTTGTCTTCCACCTCGGGAGTGATGGCTGCCAGGCTACTCTGGCATATGACCTCGAGCAGCACGCGGCAGAGAATGTAGATGGACACGGTCGAGCGGCGTTCCTGCTGTGCCACAAACTCCTGCTTCGAGGCCAGCAAGCTGCCGCTCGAGAGGCCACTGTCGGAGCCGTTCGAGATGACTGGTCCTATCGGGACGGGTTCGGTGTTTCTGCGCAGCAGCGGCGACATGGGCTGCGCCGCTCGTGACTGTTGCAGCTGAGCTCTCGCCTCGTTGGCAGCATCGCTTTTGCTCTTCCTCCAAAGCATCATTGAGTCGATCAGATTCTTCGGTTTAGGGCTCGCGATGTGGCCAAGGGCCACAATGAGCTGGTCGAAAGCCGGGTCGACACCGGGACCGCATATCTTCTCAATCTGAGGTTCGGGATCGAACGGGGTGGTGATGCATTCGTTGAGCTTTTCCTCCGCTTGGGCGATGAACTGTACAACAACAGTCTGTCAGTATGTCATCTTCATATTTGAGCCCCAGTCATGGGTCCAACTCACCGACGTAAACAGCACATGCAGAGCATATTCGCCTACAGTCTTCTGCTCGTCTCGGTGATGGCGGGACGAGCGCGACGGATGGTCGCGCCTCGACTTGCTATGCATCCTCTCTGCCCTGCGAGACGAAGTTGTGCTTGGGGGAGTGACGCCGTTGCCGGATGGCGACCGCTTCATCGGATATGTTCCATCGCCGGAGCTTGTCATCTGCCCAGTCGGTGTAGCGACAGGCCGCGGCGAGCCAGTAGTATCTCCCTCCAGGCGTGCTATGGCCGACTGAATGTCCATGCGGTCGAGCCCCAGTCCAGCGGCCGCAATCATCTGGGGACTGAGCGGGTTGGACGAGGAGCTCGCGCCGCTGCCATTCCTCGAGTGCTGGATGCCATGGACGATGGACGTCTGGCGGTGATGGCCATAGGCGGATTTGGCCGTGCCAAGGGGCTGGTCAGCTACCCCGGCGGCGTTGGATCGCGAGTGAGGGCCGAGGGTTCGCGGCGATGTCAGGACCAAAGGAACTGGGATCGTCTTCTCGGTCGGTTCTGGGGGAGGCGCTGGATGGGGATGGCGCAAGGCCGGGTCCACGGCTGGAGGCCGATACGTCTGATCCCATTCGGCATCTTCATCGAGCCTCGCCGCAGACCTCGGGAACTTGGTAGGATCGTGGGAGTTGTCCGGCGCCGATTGCGAGGGCACTGCGCGCGATCAATTGTCAGCAATTAGCCCATTGGAGAAGCGAGGTCTTTGTAGTGCGCCCATCGACGCCGCACAACATTGAAGGCATCGCCGTCCGATGCCTCGATCGTATATGGACGGCATTGATCAACCAATCAATGACTTGATCGATCGATCAATCTTTTGGGGATGGGGAACAAGGGTCGACGCAGCTCTCTCTCTCGGCTTCCTTTCCCTCTCTTCCTCGCTCTCGCTCCCTCTCCCCTTGTTCCTCATCTCCGCCGCTGTCACCGTCTCTCTCTCTCTCTCTCTCTCGCTCTCTCCCTCTCCCTGTCGTTCGGTTACTCACCCATCTCGAAGCGGACCGCAGCCCAATCCCATCATCTGCCTTCGACACGGAGCATGCGCTGTCTCAACGGTGACGCCAAACAGCTCTCAGCCAGTACACCAGACACGGCTGCAGCCGGGAAGCACAGAGCAGGGAAGCACAGCAGCAGGCTGGAGTCAATTTAGCCTGGGCTCCCCCGTTACGCTGCCCCGAGCGAGCACGGCTAAGTCCTTATATGGCCCCCGGTCTCTGGGTTCTCTCGACTCTGCCACTCTCTTTTTTTCCCTTTTTCCTTTTTTTTTTTTTATCTCCCCAGCCGCCTGGGCTCTTAGAAGGTGTCTTGCGAGAGCTGCAAGGGCGTTTAGGCCGGCCCTATCAGCTGTGTCAAACGTGATAGAGGGAGGGGCAGATTGGCGGGCAGGCGATTGGGCGCGGATTAAGGGTCCTCCGGGTGCGGAGCTAAGTCGAAATCTGAATAGCAGCATCGTCTTGTCCCTCCTGCGCTGCCTCTTGGGTCTCTTCCAACATCGTCTTGTCTACCTTACTCCGTAATCGCCCTCCTTTTCGCCTCTCCCTTGCATCCTGCTCCCTTGACGCTTTGCTTTTGATGCTTGCGGGGTTGCTCTGGGCGGCGTTGATTGCAGCATGTAAGGGATACAAGGCAAGAACTTGCGGATTTCAGGGTAGCGAATGGGCGGCCGTCATCGACGCCATTGCCGCCGGGGAGAAGCATGACCACCGCCTCTGTCGTCATGGCGGTTATGCACTCTTTCGCAGCGTTGAGCTGATGGTGATGAATACCTACCTAGTAGGTAGTATTACTGAAAAAAGACGGGGAGGTGAAAATCGGGACAAGCTGAGTGCTAGGAACGTCCCACAGCTGCGTTCGAAGTACACCTGGCCTTCTGGGGATATCGACCCCAACTAGGTGTTCAGCAGGGATTGTCATTGAGACCCTCAACAGCTGCCGTGGATTTCGAGCTCCATGCCGAGGCCTGCTCGATGCCAACCTGACAGTACCAAATTGCCGGCATCGTGGCCCAAATAGCGGCAGGTGGCGTACTCTAGCATAGAGGTCAACTGCCTACCAAACAGCGCCAGCACTTCCCATGTACGGGGGAATCGGAATCGGCAATGGATACAGTAGGTTCGCGGGGAACGGATAGATCCTCAACGGTTCTGTACTCGGCATCAGGTTTCGTCTACTTGCGGCTGTCTTTCCATTCGTGATCTGCAGGCGGACGACTTCTGGTAGCTGATCAAGTCAGGAGGCTCTTCCGACGGCTGACTGAGAGCTTGCCAACTGTTTCCGCGGACTTCCCGAATACGCCCCTGGCCAAAATCGAGGAGCAACGCCCATGACGCTGCTCATTTTCAGATCGAAGCCCATCAACAGCGACTCCCTGCGCGCCGGCGCCGGCGCCTAACCTGAGCCGGAGCGATGGCAGACCTGCGGCAGCGTGCTATTGCATTTGCAGTCCGGAGGGCTCCGGACGATTGTTCGAATGCTGGTCCTTGACATTAACTAGCGAGCAAGGGCCCCGGCGGACGTCACATCGCAAGCTGGACAACGGAAAGGATCTCGGGAATGCGTACGTACAATATAGGCATCATCACTTGTGTGCACCAGCCTAATAGTAGGTAGTCATGGCTTACTGTTGCATGCACGGATCATGAGTAGTACAACCCTTTCCATCGCGATCGTAGACATCCCCTCACAGCCAGCCAATTCATCTTCGATTATTCCCATCGACTCTTAGGTACTAGTAGTAGTAACTATGTCGTCTCCCTCTGTGTCTCGAAATGAATTACGCGTATAACAGCACGGTATTTGGCGTACTCGTACCGGGCATGCAAGTGCCTCAGGGAGTACGAGTCCCTTACTCGTAGTAAGTACCTACCCGATTATGAAAGAGGCCCAGCGTGATACCTGGCCGTCTACCGTAGACTCCTGCACTGGTCCGTACCCCGGTGGTGCCATTCGATGATCACCGACGGCGGCCGTACGACTCGGACTCCATACGCCGTACTCGGGTTCTGCATGTCGTGTCTTGCTTGACTTTCTGGCAAGGAGGAATCAGCAAATCTCAGACCATCCGCCCCGCTGAGAGTGTGCCGGGTGCAGAACTAGCATGCAAACAGGTGCAGGATTCGACGCTGTTGGGATGAAAATGGCTCATGGACTGGTCAAAGCACGCTCAAGCAGGGTTCCAGAAACGGCAGTGAGTGAGTGTATCGCCAGGGACTTTCTGTCACCAAAGGGCCTGTCTGATTGCAGTTGATTGCTATAAGAGACTTTCACCTCCTTGGCTTCTTCAATCCCGCTGCTACCTGACTCCCTTGGGTAGGTACTTCTAGTTACCGAAAAGTCAGCTTCATTTGATCGAGACTAGGTAGTGATTACAAGACATGATGCATATATATCGATGGCACATGAGCGGGTTTCGAGTTGTTGCTCGCCAGTAGGTATAGTAGGTAGCTGGTAATGCCTACAACGTGGCCTCTTATCATCAACTCGGCCAGTCAGATGGCTCGATGGAATTTCAACAGGATCAACGGAACTGCAGACCTGCAAAGAAAGGTACCGCCTACCTAGGTAAGGTAGTAAGCAGATGCACGGACCCAAATCCAGCCTTGCCACAAGATGCACCTTTGTCGAAGAGCTGTCACAGGCTTCATTGAGAGTCTCCCGTCTGTGTCTCGCACCAAGTACTTGTACGCGGCCTGCACCACGACTCCGTAATCCGTCCACGGAGCGGGCCCGGCACTGATGCGGAGATTTCCTCCCGTCAGATAGGAGCAGCGTACCAGTACCTGTACAAAGGTACTAGAACCAACCTTAGAAGCACTGCTGGTAAGAATAAGCTGAGCATCAAAACTGTTGAAAAGGATGCTGTGTCCCCCTCTTAAAGGCCAACCGAACCTAGGTAGCCGTCTTTCTCCTTCATTTTGCTCGTTTCCTTGCCATTGCTTTCATTCTACCTTACCTTTAGGTACTATATTGCTCTCTTCTACCCCGTACACATTCATGTTCTTGGCTTCTCAGTGAGAATTTACGACAGCAGCAAGGCCGGGCTGACTTTTGCCCGCAAACAAAAATAGAGGCAAAGCATCCCATCCCATCATAAGCCGTGGCTTCTGACCGGCAGCCTCGCCCCGTCCTTTATCTGGCTCGATCCCGACTCTAGTTCTGCCCCAGTGCTGCCTCTCAACTTAATACTAGTACTACTGCTCCTCTCTCTCTCTCTCTCTCTCTCTCTCGATTCCGCGCCACGGCCCACTCACTGGACCCAATCTCTCTGGCCGATACCCCTCCCCCGTGCTAGAATTCCGGCCTAGACCGCGCAGAACCGCTCGCTGGTCGGAAAGGCCAGCCTTATTTAATCGAACCAAGGCCACATTTATTTTTCTGCCTGCTGCAAGGGAGAGAGAGACTCGATTGCGAGACAGCCTCTCGAGCACCCGGTTTCCGCTGTGCTTTTTTCTTCTTTTTTGTGCTTATTGCTGATTCGCCGAGTCGGGCCTCGGAATCCGTCTCTACCGACCTGCTGAGCGACCTCAAGAAGAAGACAGCAGCGCATCATCGCCCTGTTGCCGCTGCAGCACCGGCCGCCATGGCGGAACTGGACACGTTGGACATCCTGGTCCTGAGCGTCATCCTGCTGGGAACCGTCGCCTACTTCACAAAGGGCACGCTATGGGCCAAGCAGAAGGATCCCTACGCCAACCCGGCGTACCTCAACGGCAATGCCAACCGGGTCGGGCGGACGCGCAACTTTGTCGAGAAGATGGAGGAGTCCGGCAAGAACTGCATCATCTTCTACGGCTCGCAGACCGGCACCGCTGAGGACTACGCCTCCCGCCTGGCAAAGGAGGGCAAGAGCCGCTTCGGCCTCGAGACCATGGTCGCCGACCTCGAGGACTACGACTTCGACATCATGGACACGCTGCCCTCGGACAAGATCGCCTTCTTCGTTCTGGCCACGTACGGCGAGGGCGAGCCGACGGACAACGCCGTCGAGTTCTACGAGTTCCTCAACGGAGAGGACGTCGCCTTCTCGCAGGGCGGCGGCGCCGAGGACGCTCCCCTCGACAACCTCCACTACGTCGCTTTCGGTCTCGGTAACAACACCTACGAACACTACAACTCCATGGTGAGGGACGTCGACAGGCTCCTGACCAAGTACGGCGCTCATCGCATTGGCAACGCTGGCGAAGGCGACGACGGCGCGGGCACCATGGAAGAGGACTTCTTGGCCTGGAAGGAACCCATGTGGGCTGCTCTGGCTGCTCACATGGGCCTCGAGGAGCGCGAGGCTGTCTACGAACCCGTCTTTGGCATTGTGGAACGCGAGGGCCTGACTCCTGAGTCCCCCGAAGTCTACCTCGGCGAGCCCAACAAGATGCACCTCGAGGGCGCCTCCAAGGGTCCCTTCAACGCCCACAACCCGTACATTGCCCCCATTGTCGAATCCTACGAGCTGTTCAAGGTCAAGGACAGGAACTGCATCCACCTCGACATTGACATCAGCGGCTCTACCCTCTCGTACACCACCGGCGACCACATTGCCATCTGGCCCACCAACCCCGGCGACGAGGTTGATCGATTCCTGCGCATCACGGGCCTTATCGACAAGCGCAACCAGGTCATCACCGTCAAGGCTCTCGAGCCCACTGCCAAGGTTCCCTTCCCCACGCCCACCACCTACGACGCCATCATCCGGTACCATTTGGAAATCGGTGCTCCCGTCTCCCGTCAGTTCGTGTCCACTCTCGCTGCGTTCGCTCCCAACGAGGAAATCAAGAACGAGATGACCCGGCTTGGTAGCGACAAGGACTACTTCCACGAGAAGACCGCCTCCCAGCTCCTCAACATCGCCCGCCTCCTGGAACACGTTAGCAACGGACAGACTTGGGATAAGATCCCCTTCTCTGCGTTCATCGAAGGCCTGAACAAGCTGCAGTTCCGGTACTACTCCATCTCGTCCTCGTCTCTCGTCCAGCCCAAGAAGGTTTCCGTCACCGCCGTCGTCGAGTCGGCCATGGTCGTCGGCCGAAAGGACCCGTTCCGCGGCATCGCCACCAACTACCTGCTCGCTCTCAAGCAGAAGCAGAATGGAGACCCCGACCCGTCGCCCTTTGGTCTGACCTACGAGCTGCACGGCCCCCGCAACAAGTACGATGGCATCCACGTCCCGGTTCACATCCGCCACTCCAACTTCAAGCTGCCTTCCGACCCCGCCAAGCCCATCATCATGGTCGGCCCCGGAACCGGTGTTGCCCCTTTCCGAGGCTTCGTCCAGGAGCGTGCTCAGCAGGCGCGCGACGGCATCAACGTTGGTCGTACCATTCTGTTTTTCGGCTGCCGTAAGAGGACTGAGGACTTTATGTACGAAGCCGAATTTGAAGTATGTGCCCCCTTCCCCCCCCCCCCCTCTTAAAATTCTTCCCTTCATACATATTCGCTGCAAATGTCTAACCGCCTCTTTTACCGAATAGGAGTACAAAAAGGCTCTTGGCGACAAGTTCGAACTGGTCACTGCCTTTTCCCGCGAGACTTCCCAAAAGGTCTACGTCCAGCACCGCCTCAAGGAGCGATCCGCCGAGATCGGCGAGCTGCTCGCCCAAAAGGCCTTCTTCTACGTCTGCGGCGACGCTGCCAACATGGCCCGCGAAGTCAACAATGTTCTGACTCAGATCGTTGCCGAGAGCCGGGGCGTCTCCGAAGCCAAGGCGGAGGAGATTGTCAAGAATATGAGGGCTGCCAATCAGTACCAGGTATGTCTCATCCCCTTTTGTCAAAGATACGCCCTTTCCCGAACCGAACAATGCAGTGTCTAACCCATTCGCTACAGGAGGATGTCTGGTCATAAAAGATTGCGTGGCGCACAAGTATATTTATACGTACCATCTTCCTTGTGAACCAGTGGTCACAGAGAGAATCGAATTACTCCCCCCCCTTCTCTCTCCACACCAAGGAAAACAAGAAAGCAAAGAAGTAAACACCCATAAATACTTGTCAGAATAAGGGATAGGCGAAATCTTTTCCTTTTTATCGACCGCCAACACAGCCATTTGCCGCCGTTCGTCCGTTTACCAAAGCCGCATTGCACAAACAAACCTGGCATTTCTTTTCATGGAACATTTGCTTGCCTTCTGTTTTAGAACATGAAAGAACCGGCGCGAAGAAGAATTCTTGGGTCGGACCTAGGAGTTTGTCTTTGTTAATATATACTAGTATGGGGGAGGGGAAGGAGGCTCGTAATGCTGCCCACGGGCTGGGATGTCTTGGAACTTTTATTAAGGCCGATGGATGCCAAACGCCTGGCCGACAGGTGGGCGTCAATGTCTTGCGTGGACAGGCAGGGTATATAGAAATTGGGATGAATGGATGGGTGGCTTGGATATAAGTTTGACGGCTCTGAGCAAATATGAGAATATCATCACGGATTTTTGGATAACAACGAAGTTGTGCTTTGCATCACCTCGTATCCTTGGGTCCCTAATGTGTCACGGGACGTCTAATGGTTGGGAAGTCATCTGAGACTGTGTCTTGATTGAGTGTCTCAGTTCGGCTCATAATCTAGACTTCACCTTCATGTTGCCCGGTCTTAGTCAGCCACTCAACCACAAAGATACGACTACGGTAAGATGCGAATGATGACCTGTCAGGACCTGTGTCTGTCTGAAGGGCCAACAATGCTGCGCCCGTACTCTGGACCTTAGAGTCTCTCTGGCGTTTGCGACCCTTGACAATTATATCCAAGGCAGATTGTCATATCGGGGCAGAAAAAGCAATCCCAGAGCTGTCGCGGTTGGTGGCCGGCGCGAAGTCATCTAGGGATTGGCTGCGTGTTGGCCAGGGAGGCAAGCGGAATTGCACCATCCTCCTTGCTTGCCCAGTCGCCTCCCGACAAAGAAAAAGAAAAGTCAGTCCAGGCTTGGGGGAAGCGGGGTTGGGCATTGGATGCCACGGCTGGCACAGAGAGAGGGAGACTCTAGACGCTGTAGAAGGCTCCAGTCGTCATGGCAATGAGAGACGGCTCTGCAGGATCACCGGGGGCTTCCGCAAAGCTGATATCCACTCGTCCTCTCGACAGGACGCCGAAGGGCGATGGATCTGCTTCCTCAGGAAGCCCAGCATGACCGGTATGCTGATTGCGGTAGGTCCCATACCTAGACGGCAAGGACAATGAAAAGCAACATCCCGTGGGCTCGGACCAAGCACAGATCGGCCATCAGACAGACAACATGTCTTGGTACTAGTATGGGCCTGTCAAAAGCAATTCAATCTTACCCCGACCAGTAAAACCTGGGCAGTGATTTGAGTATTGACGCAAATACAGCCAGCTCCCGCTTGCCCCGTGCTTCTTGCAAGGGTCAACAGGCTCGAGAGGTCCGAACGAGCGAGTCGACTAGGACCCTTTGCCGGCATTCGTGCAGTATATGGGGGTCTTCCCAGTCCAAAGATGGAGCTGGTTTCATCGATGTCGGAGCTCCGGTTGGCCAACGTACTTCGGCTGCTCTCAAATAGTGAATCACGGCTGGCTCTGCGCGTCTCTGACAGACAGTAGAGAAAAAGAAAGGAAACGAGAGCATCGTCGCATCATTGTGAGTGGTACGCTCTCTGTTGGATACTTAGCTTGCCCATGCTGTCGAGGTAAAGCAACATGACACCCACTCAGGGGCGTTGCACTGCTCTGCTCCATTGTTGTTATAAGACGGTGCGCCCCAGAAATCAGGCGACGACTCGACAGCGGTTGCGTCCGTCAAGAGCATGCCCCCAGCCTTTTTGTTCCCCGTGTTGAGAATTTGCCATGGGCCGATCGAATCCTCACCTCTTTTAATCTTCTCCCGTACTTGTGTTATACCTAAGGTTGTTAGTCGTTGCGTGGCAGACAGGCGACTTTGGTCGCGTATGTTCCAAGAGTGTTGAAGCCTTTTCGCCGAGTCTCCCTGGGGTATCAGGCGTATTGGGCGTTTTGTGTTTGTTGAACAGCAAGGTACGAGCCTACGAGCTTTGACAGAAGTAGGGAGCATTGCCAGCCTCGAAGGGCGTTTTGGTGTCGAAGAATCTAGCATCAACTGTCCCTCAGCACAGACCCCTAATGACGCGACTGGACTCTCTCAAACATCTGGATCTTGCTGAAGCAGATACAATACTCTTCTGTGAGAAGATCGAAAGCCACTGGTAGCCTGTCACGATTGAGAGTCAGCCGTGAGCATAGCGCAGCTGCGTTGAGCCAGTCTCAGAGGGACTCTGCAAGACGCCGCCTCCGCAGCAAAACACCAGGGAGTTCCTGACCTGCAACGCTTCCGGAGCCTCGATACCAGCAAACCAGCACACTCACCTCATCCTACCCGAGCTATTCGCATTACCAGGCGGTGCCTCTCTCCTCGCTTGAGCAAACAACAGGCGGTAGAAGGCGAATCAGGGCCTGCAACACCAGAGTGGCAGAGCCACGCGGCAGCAGCAGGTCGACAGCTGGCAGCTGGCAGCACTTCCGAGCCCTAACCTGCCAGAAACTCGGGCACATAAAAGGCGTTTCGTCATTTCTCGCTTCCTTTCGCCTCTTCCACCTTTCTTCCTCCCTCACGAACGCGTCTTTTGGGCTCGCGGTAATTCCAGTGCTTGATCACGAGCGTCACGCCTGCAGCAGAATCTCTTTGGACGACCTTATCAGCAGCGACTCCTTCCGTTTCTTGGCCCGATAGAATTTGTTGCAGCTTCCTCCTCTACGCAATTGCGGAACTTAGGTAAGTCTGCTCGTCTCTGTCTCCGCTTACTTCAGAGGGGCTCGTCTTCTTCTTCTTCTTCTTCCTCCTCCTCCTCCTCTTCCTCTTCATCCTCTTCTCTTCTTCTTTTCCCCTTCTCCTCACAGCATCACATCAACTCGTCTCCCGTCACTCTCTTGCAGCTTTCTGCCGCGGCCGGATCTCTTCGAGACCTTCATCTTGCTTGATAGCTCGTTCTATCTTAATTACTCTCGCTTCATCTCAAACAATTGTCTTGGTAGCACATTTGCCGTGTCGGCCTTCGAGCTTCATTGTCTGCAACACCACGTAACCCCAAGGCTGGGTAGGGGTGAGATGCCTCTTGACACTCGCCTTTCCCTCCTGGCCCTTGCTCTCTTCTCTGATTCTCTCTGCCTCTGTCTCCTTCACAAGGACAAGCCCTCCACTACCAGCAGGTGGATGGATCTTGGCCTTTCTCTCCTCCTCCCAGATGCAGATGATGGCTTCTTCGCATCCCTTCCTCTAGCATCTCCATCACTTCGCCGTGTTGCCTGCATTCCACGCCTGGCTCCGTCAAGCAGGTCTTGCGCTAGGCAGCTACTGCACTACTCTTCTCTACTCGATTGGGCTTTGCTGACTCGTCGATCATCTCAAGATTTCCGTCGTTCTGTCGAATACTTGTCATTTTCTCGATCACCATCGTGACCGATCTGCTGTTCTTTGGGTAAGTCATTCCCACTTCGGCTTCAGGGCTCGTCACTCCTCTCGGTCGATCTGCTATTGCACCATTTGTGCCTTGCCTCTCGACCTGAAATTTGTACCATGGTCACTGGCCGATTGCCACACCCATCGTTGATGTCTCTCATCACCCGTCACGGATACCCTCATGCCTCTATCACTTCGCTAGATAGGGGGACCAGCTCTATCCACATAGCCGCTCCAGCTCGAAGCCTTTACTAACCACTTCTACAACAGGCAAACACATGTCTTACCAACTTCACACTGCTGCCGATACCAAAATGGAAGCCAACAGCGGTGTTGCCAATCCTTATTATACCGGACGAGGCGCTCATGGAACCACTGACTTCGGTGCACTCATCAATCAGTTCAATGGGGTGACTCTGGGTGGTCTCAGCATGCCCAACAACGCTGCTCCTGTCCCCATGGGACCTGGTCATGCGTTCATGGTCAACTCGGACAGCCAGTTTGTTCTCACTCCGGTGCCGACTGCGCAGCCGATGGGTCTTGGTCATGGCAATGAGAACCCTTATCTCAACTACCCAGCTGCTGCAGGTGGCTACGGAGGCTCCTATGTTGGCCTTTCGATGCCGATCATGCCCTTCACCCCGGGCCGCCCCGGTACCACTCAGCCTCGTGTCGACCGTGGCCACTCTGACGTCCCAGGCCTCGAGAATCGCCGCGGTTCCTACTCGACCACCGAGTCCGCTCCCGCCACTCCGTACTATGGTGGTGCGTTTTCGATCGTCCGCGATTATCCTCCCCCCCGTGTTGCCAGTCTTGATCGGTCTTCCTACACGACTCCGTCTCCCAATGCCACGGGACTCGCCCCCATGGAGAACACCAAGCCAATTCCCATGGTCATCTCGGATCGTACCATCGACGAGCTTCTCAAGAAGGACCCGGCTATTCCCAAGGCTGTCCCAGCCGTCTTCACCCCACCGGGCCAGATGAAGACTCTCGAGCAAAGCTTGGAGAATCGTATCCCCGGCAATCGCAACGTCTATATCCGTGGTCTTCATCCTACCACCGATGACGAGCTTCTCTACCAATTCACGTCCCGTTTCGGTGCGGTTGAGACGTCCAAGGCCATCATCGACACTAACACTGGAGCTTGTAAGGGGTAAGCTTTGCTCACCATTGCCCGATCTGTCTGCCTTTGATGATGCTGATGAGACCTAGATTTGGTTTCGCCAAATTCTACGATGTGCGTGACTCTGAACTATGCATTCGAGCTTTCCACCGCCTCGGCTACGAGATTGGCTTCGCTCGGGTATGCTCCCACTTCGCCCCTTTCCGGCACATTGTCGTTGTAGGGAGCACCAGCTGACCGTGTTCAGGAGTCTTTCAATTCTCGACTCAAGGCGGAGGGCGATGAGGGTTCTACAAACCTCTACATCTCCAACCTGCCCAAGTCTCTGAACGAGATGGTGAGTTGGCTTGCAAGTCTTTTCTTCGTCGTTAATTTGTTACTGACTCTGGTGCAGGAACTTGCCACCATTTTCCTTGGATACCACATCCAGTCCAGCAAGATCCTTCGTGATAGCATGGGAAACAGCCGTGGTGTTGGCTTTGCTCGGTAGGTTCTTGAATCCCATCGCAGGTCATGCAAGTGCCTTCGTTCTCTGACAAGGTCTAGATTTGATTCTCGCGAGATTTGCGACGAGATTATTCGAAAGTTCAACGGTGTCGGCATTGGTGAGGAAGGTCTTCCCATGAACATCCGCTACGCCGATACTCCAGCTCAGAAGGAGCTCAAGCGAGTCACCGCCGAACGCCGCCAGTTCCGTACCAACGAGTACAACATTGGTGCCTACGGCACTCCTCTCGTTGGCCTGAGCCCTGCCTTGTACAGCCAGCAAACATGGCGACGCAACTTGCCGCAGTCTCGAAGGTTTGTTTCCGCCGGCTTTGAGTCATAGTGTGTGTCGCTGACGTTGAGTTCACAGCGGCCTGTCCGCCTCGTCGCTCGACGAGAGCCACGCTACGCGAAGCTCGGTGCCTCGTGCACAGTCTGCGTATGGTTATACACGAAGCATTTTTGCGAAGTTCTAACTCTTGTTCTAGGGCGGCCACGAGCGCGGACGCTACGATTTCGACTCCCACCACCTCTGAGTGCGATGAGAGTGTTACGATTCGAGCGGACCCGGCCGTCGTCGCCACCGTTGGCAAGGAGAACATTCAGCCATCCCCCACTGTGAAGAAGGATGTTTCGAAGAAGGAGTCCCAGTAATCAGGCATGTTGCCCTCCCGGTTCTTTTGTGTTTGTGCCCTTTTTTGGTCTGCACGTTTGTGCCATAATATGCCGACTGGTTCAACATGTCTACCACTACTTGCCTTGGACTTTTTTGGGACCACTTAGCCCAACAGTCATGGTAGTCTTATGCAACACGCTGGAAGCACACATGTCCTAAGTCTGGGGGCAGCCAAGTTGAGGGATCAGATTGCGAGGAGGGAGCATTTTACGAGCCTTGTACTTTAGAGTCTAGATAATGGCAGCTGTGGCAAAGGTTGGCGGCGTTAGCATGAGTTTGACCAAAACAATGAAGAGATATTGTTCTATCAAGATTGTGGACGTCCGCTTTTGTGCTCATGAATGAATTGTTACATGTTGATGGAATTGAATGTCGCTCCCCAAGCCATTTGTGCTTTATTTGACTGCAAGTAAACAAACAACTACACTGCTAGCTTGGCCATCTCGCTGCTGGCCTTGTCTATACTCGGCTCGTCTTGCAAGAGACCCTTGGACAGCTCATCGCTTAGTAGAGGCTGTCCGTTTGTCTCATCATCACCATCCTCTTCGCTATCTTCTTCGTCATCCTCATCCTCGTCATACTCGCCATCGTCCTCCTCATCGTTGGCCCCCTCTCGCCCCTCCTTGTCTCCCTCCTTGTCTTTGATGGCTGCCTCTAAATCTTTCAGCATCTTCTTGGTGAAGCCCGATGCTTCAACAGTTGCATCTAATCTTTTGAGACCGCCTTTCCCAACAGTCTTCTTTGCGTCTTTGAAGAAGGGCCCGGGCTGTGTTGGTGTGAAATGGAATCTCCGTGTGAAGAAACGCTTGATGCAGTTGACGTCTCGATCGAAGTACATTTCGGCGTTTACATGCTCCATGGACACCATTTGCGGAAAATCGATGATGACTGGCTCGAGCTTGATAGACTCTGTTCCATCCTCGGCCGTCGTTTTGATCTCCTTGACGAGGATGTTGAATTCGTTGTAGTCGCCGTGGATCAGGCCGTGACTTGCGAGGCGGAGGAGGAGGGAGATGAGGTCTGCGTAGAGAGAGGCAGGGTCGGGGACGTCGCTGATCTGTCGGAGGGGGAATGCGTCTACTAAAGACATGACGATGGTATGTCTGGACTGCGCTATCGGTACCGGTACGGGGAAGCCCTCCTCGTGCAGGGCGTTCATGAAGGCGTACTCCTTCATGGCGGCGAGCCTGGAGAGGTACATCCAGGACTGGGCGTTGCGGTTCTTGAGGTAGTCCCTGTTGGACTTGACGGTGCGGAAGGAGATGCGGCCGAGGCGGTGGATCTTGAGGACGCACTGCTTGCCGGAGTGGTCGGCGACGACCATGATGTCGGACTCCTTGCCGACGCCGATGCGGTTGCCGACGCTGTAGACGGCCTTGCGGCTGGCGTGGGTGTGCAGGGCGAGATAGTCGAGGCCGCCGTAGGTGAGGCGGTAGCCGTCGTACTTGGCCTCCTTGACGCGGGCGATGAGGCCGACCTTTGCGAGGGCGGATATGCTCTTGTGGACGCCGCTGGCGCCGCCGCGGAGGCGGGCGAGTTTCTCGATGAGGGGGGTGGGCACTATTTCGTGGTTTTTGCTGCCTTGTTCGACCTGAAGAGATTACAGTGTGTTAGGATTGATATCTTGTCTTGATGTATAGGCAGGTAGGTAGAGGTAGGGTTTTTGTGTGTATAAGATGTAGGTAAGGTAGGTTGAGGATGGCATACTGCTGTGAGGACCTTCCAGTCCTCGGCCGCCAAATGGCGCATTGCCCTGGTGTCCAACTTCATGGCTGGCTGTGTGAGAAAACTGGCGGCGATTGCTGTGTTACTGCTGAATCAGATGTGAAAACTGAATCTGGCCATCCGGGTATCATGTGTCGCTTGAATCTTGATATTGTTAGAGGGGTCCCTCGAAAATGTTGGTGGGGTTCCCCAAGCAAGCACTGCTAAAAGATGAAAGATATTCAGGCCCGGATCTTATCGATAAGCGCGACCGAAGCAGGCATCGCTGCGCTAGCCCTCATTCGTGTTAAAGCCCAGTTTGAGGCGGCGAATGCACGTGATTACAAGGCTGGGGCTCGGAGTACGTAGCTTGTTCGCCGTAGGCGGCAGCGCCTCGCGTAATAGCCCATGGCAGCAGCTGTTTGCTACCTACTCAACTGTACCTACTGTTAGCAGCCCAGAGCTTTACCAAGCACCTTCTCCATCAGCAACCTCTTCCACCTGATTCCGCCCGCAACTCAGCAGCAGCTTCGACCTCGCCTGGGGCTTCCGATACGTTGCACCAACAGTCTTACAAACGAGCCTCTTCACGACACTCCTTCGCCTTATATAACCCGCCGCCCCGACGTCGCTGCTGGGGGGGAGTTTCGTATACACGATAGACGCCTGATCTCTCGACTCTACGTCACCATGGCCCAGGACAGCGATTTGCCAAAGCCGGCGGCGGCTGCGGACAAGGGGAAGGGCAAGGCAGTGGACGACGTCAAGGACGACAAGGCTGTCGCGGACGGCAAGAAGAAGGAGGATGACAAGAAAGATGGTATTGCCCCTCCCAACCATTCGCCCTTCTGCTGGCTTGACATCAATGGCTGACTTTTGTGCCTCAGCTGCCGAGGAGGAGCTCAATGAGGAGGACCAGCAGCTCAAGAGTGAGCTAGACATGATGGTGGAGCGTTTGACAGTAAGTATTGCCGAATACCACGACCGATCGCGAAGAGAAGGGAGGGGAGACGAGAAGATGAGAAGAGGGGCAGCTGCGTACCCATCTATGTGAGGACTTGTGGAAGCTTACCTCTTGCCTCTAGGAATCCGACAGTTCCCTCTACAAGTCCGCCTTGGAGATGATGAAGAGCGCAATCAAGACGTCCACATCGTCAATGACAGCAGTACCGAAGCCGCTTAAGTTCCTACGACCGCACTACGAGACCCTGACCAAGCTGTACGACGAGTGGCCCAATGACGAGAACAAGGTCTCGCTAGCAGACGTCTTGTCGGTCATTGGTATGACCTTCTCCGACGAGGACAGGCAAGACACACTCAAGTACCGACTGCTGGCCCCCACAACCGACATTGGATCATGGGGCCACGAATACGTCCGGCATCTGGCCCTCGAGATTGGCGAGGTCTACAGCAAGCGCATCACGGCTGATGAGCCCACCAAGGACCTCATCGACCTGGCGCTGATCCTGGTGCCCCTCTTCATCAAGAGCAACCAGGAGGCCGACGCCGTGGACCTGATGAGCGAGCTCGAGATCATTGAGGAGATTACCAAGTTCGTCGACGAGAACACCTACCCCCGAGTGTGCCTCTACATGGTCACCATGGTGAACTTGTTGACGTACCCCGACAACGAGACCTTCCTTCGTGTTGCCCACAGCATCTACATCCAATACAAGCAGTATACTCAGGCTGTTATTCTCGCCATCCGGCTCCATGATTACTACCTGCTGCAGGAGGACTTCGATAAGGCCGAGGATCCCCTTCTGAAGCGGCAGCTGGCCTTTTTGATCTCTCGCCAGAGGATCATCATGCCCATGGTTCAGGAAGGCGATGACGAGGGCGAAGATCAGGAGTTGTACGAGTGTCTGCACAACATCAAGCTGTCAGGGTATTTCAAGGCTCTGGGCAAGGAGCTGAACATTCTCGATCCCAAGTCTACCGAGGATATTTACAAGAGCCACTTGGAGAGCAGCCGGGTAGCCGGAATGACCAACCTGGACTCTGCTCGACACAACCTCGCCGCCGCCTTTGTCAACGCCTTTGTCAATGCCGGCTTCGGCAATGATAAGATGATGCTTGTCGACTCCCAGAAGGAGGCTTGGGTGTGGAAGACTAAGGGAGAGGGCATGATGTCTACTGTTGCGTCTCTCGGCACCCTTTTGATGTGGGATATAGAAAATGGGCTCGACAGCGTGGACAGGTACACGTATGCGACAGAGCCGGAGATTACCGCTGGCTCTATGCTCGCTATTGGCATTATGAACTCTGGCGTTCGCCTGGAATCCGAACCGGCCATTGCGCTCCTGGGAGATGCCGATAAGCTCCACCATGAGAATCCCTTGGTTCGCACTGGCTGTTTGATGGGACTCGGCCTGGCCTACGCCGGCTCTAACAAGGAGGAGGTCATTGATCTCATCATGCCCATGATCTCCGACTCCAAGGAGGACATGCAGATCTCCGCCATGGCAGCTCTCGCTTGCGGTCTCATCGCGATCGGCACCTCTCAGCCCGAAGTGAGCGAGGCTATCGTGACGACGCTGATGGATGAGGAGCGCAAGAGCCAGCTGACTGACAAGTGGACGCGGTTCCTGGCCCTCGGCCTGGGTCTTCTCTTCTTCGGCCGACAGGAAGAGGTTGATGTCATTCTGGAGACACTCAAGGCCGTAGACCACCCCATGTCCAAGCCGACGGCCGTCCTGGCCGAGATATGTGCTTGGGCCGGGACCGGCGCTGTGCTCAAGATCCAGGAACTGCTGCACATTTGCAACGAGCATCAGGAAGAGTCCGACGATAAGAAGGGCGACGAGCTCCTGCAGGCGTACGCTGTGCTGGGCATTGCGCTCGTGTCCATGGGAGAGGACATTGGCCAGGAGATGGTACTGAGGCAATTTGGCCATCTCATGCACTACGGCGAGCCCAACATCCGCAAGGCGGTGCCCCTGGCTATGGGCCTCATCAGCCCCAGCAACCCGCAGATGAAGGTCTACGACACGCTGTCAAGATACAGCCACGATAACGATCCCGAAGTCGCCATCAATGCCATCTTCGCCATGGGCATGCTGGGCGCCGGCACAAACAACGCCCGACTGGCCCAGCTGCTCCGCCAGCTCGCCAGCTACTACCACCGCGACCAGGATGCCCTGTTCATGGTCCGCATTGCGCAGGGTCTTCTGCACATGGGCAAGGGAACTCTGTCGCTGAACCCCTTCCACTCGGACCGGCAGGTGCTCTCCCCCGTTGCCACAGCTGGTCTGCTGACGACTATCATCGCCATGCTGGACCCCAAGGACTTTATCGCCTCCACCTCGCACTACCTCCTCTACTTCCTCGTTCCTGCGATGCACCCGAGGTTCCTCGTCACTGTGGACGAGGACCTGAACCTCTTGAAGGTCAACGTCCGCGTGGGTCAGGCGGTGGACGTTGTCGGCCAGGCGGGCCGGCCCAAGACGATTACCGGCTGGCAGACGCAGAGCACGCCGGTGGTGCTGAGCCACGGCGATCGAGCAGAGCTGGAGGATGAGGAGTACATTAGCTTGAATAGTACTCTCCTGGAGGGTGTGGTGATTCTACGAAAGGTAAGCCCCTTCAATAACTCTCGCTTGATTTTAGGTCGTGTATGGAATGTGTTGGCTAATGTGTGTGCAGAACCCCGAGTGGCAGGCAGAGCAGTAAATCAAGCGGACAAGTAAAGAATAAGCGAAAAAGGAACAATCAAAGGGGGAACAGCTGATATAGATTTCCTGGGCAAGGCGAGCTTCGAAGGGGGAAAAGGGTCAGGAAGGGGGGCGAAATACAGCGCTGTATAGTAGTAATTTACTCGTCCGCCACAAGAGAAATAAATTTCCATCGACAAAAATGAGCCTCTGTGGGGTGATTTTACAGTTTTGGCTGCGTGATATCATCCCCTTTTGTTCTTGTCATAGCACGGTATCAGTTGGTCTGATTCATGAGGTAGGGGGAAATCGCGGGGAAAAGAAGGTGATTTTTAATGTTGCTGCTGATATCGCTCGCTATATAATGTAGATCAAAGTTGTCTTTTTTTTTCTTTCTCATATGATATCCAAGAAAAATTGCCTAAACATAGTCTATATATGTGTATATATATATCCAAAGGGGCATCCCACACACACAAAGAAATCACCAAGAATCGGGCCCAAACCTCTCGCCGTCTTTCACGTTCCTGTACGAACAAGCCTGCCAGTCGCAGCCCCTCTTGAACACCTCGGTCCCCCACCAGCTGAAGCCCTTCATCCACCCGGGATAGATGAAGCCGAAGAAGACGACGACGATGCCAAAGGCGAGGCCGGAGTCGAGGGCGGCGCTCAGCGTCATGGTGTACTTGCCCCACCAGGCGTTTGCGCGGCGCTTGATGAGGTAGTTGAAGAGGAAGCAGACGAGGGCCCAGACGGAGAAGTTGAGCCCCGTGGCGGGCGGGATCCAGCCCATGGCGCCAAAGATGACGGGCAGGTTGACTTTGCGGAGCAGGGTCCTGTGCTTGTTGCGGCGGCTGTAGAGCCACAGGGGCACGGGGAGGATGGCGCCGAGGGGGAAGCACCAGACGAGGGCACGGTAGATTGCGCGGGGCCCAAAGAACTCGCCGGGGCCGACGACGCCCCAGAGGATGGAGCCGTTGAAGTGGACGCGGGCGATGGGGCAGGTGAAGCCGTTGACGGCTTCGGGGGTGCAGAGGCCGCGGACGTTGGCGAACATCCAGTTGAGGACGCCGATCTGGGTGACGGAGGAGACGAGGGTGGCGGCGATCTGGACGGTGAACATGATGCGCGGCGGGATCTTCATGTAGTGGCCCAGCTTGAGGTCCGAGGCGAACTTGATGCCCTGGGCGGAGGAGATGTAGCCGTAGGTGACGAAGACCATGTTGGCGATGGGGCGGCCGGGGAAGGCGACGCCGCAGATGAGCTGGCAGATGAGGTAGATGCTGCTGTGCTGGTTGGTGATGGCCATGATGATGCCGTTGGGGATGAAGAAGATGGCGCCGATGGCGAGGGCGAGCAGGAGCCCGTACCAGGGGAGGTGGACGGGGTAGCTGAGATGGAATTTGTGAGACTTGAGACTGGAGGATGTGAATTGAGTCAAGTTGGGAAAAGGGGGGGGCTTACTATTCGACAACAAAGATGCCAATGGCGGCCATGGAGATAAAGGTCAAAAAGTACCAGCTCAGGGGGGCATCTTTGTAGCGCTTCATGAGGCGGCTGTGGATATCCTCGTGGCTCATCAGGCCTTCGATATGCGATCCCGACGATGAGGTACGGGGTGCTGCTGCTGCTGCTGCTGCTGCTTCCCGAGGTGATGACGGTCCATCGGGAGAGTCGGACACTTGTTGGTATCCTTCTTTTCCCTGTCCTCGCGCCTCGACGAGGGACTCTTTCCAGGTGTGCCAGATGTCCTGGCCGTGCCAGCAGACGGTATGCGTCAAGAGAGCTGCGAGGCCGGCGAACTGCACGCCGTAGCTGAGCATATATGTGACGGGGAGGAAGACGCGGCTGTAGTTGGAGTAGGCCTCCCTGTCAAAGAGAAAGTCGGGAGTGAGGATCTTGCTGACGTCGTAGACTTTGCCCGTGTTGTCAAAGACGGCGGTGGAGAGGATGGGCATGTAAGACGAGTAGAGGACGTTGCTGTAGTAGAATAGGGGGGCTATGATCCACATGATGATGGCAAGACCACCCACGACGTTCACGGCGGCCCAAAAGGGCACCAGCAGAGGCGAGCCGACGTAGGTGATTTGGGCCCAGTCAAAGGTCATGGGGAAGAGGCCGAGGCCGGAGGAGACGCCAAACAGGTTGGCGAGGACCACGCTCTTGGGCGCAAACCAGGTGATGACGTTGAAGTAGCTCAGGGCGGGCATCAGGAGGCCCGGGAGAAAGTAAAAGGCCGAGGCGCAGGACCAGACAATGTAGAAGAACTTCCAGCGGCTGATGGTCCAGCCGTTGGCCGGCTTGTTCTCCTGCTTGTGCAGCGTGGAGAACATGGCGGCGCTCATGAGGGTGCCGGGCCAGACCATGCCGCTGGGGCGGACAAGGAAGCGGCGCGCCATGCCGGCGAAGCCGTAGCCCAGGATCTGCGTGGAAATGGTCAGCAGCAGCTGGTAGGCGATGGGCGCCTCCTGGTTGTAGAACTGCGTCTGCTCGACGATGACGTCCGTGGCAAAGGCGAAGCCAAAGGCGACGTTGCTGCTCACGTAGACGCACGTGTGCTCCTTTTCGTTCCACCGGCCCTGGGCGAGCCACAGGCGCAGCGAGTCGAGCCTCTTCTTCTGGCCATGGCGATGGGCGTCGTGGCTATGCGACGAGACGGCGGTGCGGACGCCGTCTGTGAATTCCTCCTTGGGGTCGTACGGCCTCTTGAGCAGGTAGTCCCACAGGTGGCCCAGGGGGTGGACGAGAAGCAGCGCAATGACGGGCGTAATGGCAACGCTGGGGTATCGCAAAGAGAAGAAGAGATTGGTGGAGGAGCCGAGGATGGAGAAGAGGATGGACAGACACCACATGCGCGGCGTGTTGATGGACAGCGTCGTGTCGTCGATGGGGGACACGGAGGCGCGCACAGCCTCGTTGGGCGAGTTCTCGTCGGCATCGTGCTCCGGCAGCTCCGTCGCGGACGAGGCGCCCGAGTCCTCTTCCAGCAGCGGCCCGTCCTCTGATACGTCGTCGTCGTCGTCGTCGTCGTCGTCATCGAGAACGACGCTCGACAGCATGGCCTCGGGCATGCCGAAGCGGCCCTCGAGGCCGGAGACCAGCGCCGCGCCGTCGAAGCTCCCGGACCTGCGAGACGACTGCCTTCTGGATCTGGCGCTCCGGCTGGTCGACCGGGCGAAGCGACGGCGGCGGCCGCTGGAGTCGGAGCCGTGGCCGGTGCCGGGGCGGGAGCCGGGGGACGGGCTGCGGTTCGGGGTCATGGTGGTGGACCCGTAGGGCGACGAGTCGGTTCGGTGGCCATCGGCGAAGAGCAGAGGCGGCGTTGCCGAAGCTGCTGCTGCTGCTGCTGCTGTCGAGGCCGAGGCTGTTGTTCTCGTCGCCCTGCTGGAGGAGGCTTTGCCGGAGGGGGCCATGGCAGCAGACGCAGCAGGCTGGGCTACAGCCTCGTCGAGGCCGGGGCGATCATGCTGGGTCGAGAGGGGAGGGAGAGGAGGCGGAAGAGAGGAGGAGGAGGAGGAGAGGGAAGATGAAGTAATGCTACTAGAGGATCGGAGACGGGATTGGGACTGCGGCTGGAGCGGTGGGACGGCAATCGCTGGGGTTGAGCCCGAGGCCGAGACAGCGGCCGAGACAGCGGGCGACGTTGGTGCTGAGGCTGGTGGTGATGCTGCTGCTACTGCTGGCGCCAGAGTCTGCAGCGCAACGCCATGCTGCGGCGGAAAGGAGGCCGAATGAGTGCTGGCCGGCGACGAGGCCCTGGAGATTGTCGAGTCACTGCTGGATTCGCCGGCTCGACCCATGGCGGGGCGGATGCGAAAAGGCGAGGTCGCATGGATGTGGGCTCGAAAAATGCTGGGAGGAGCTGGAGATGGATGCTGGTGGGCGGATCATTAATTGATCGAATGGTGGGGGCCGACCGGTGACGAAAATTTCCAGGTGAGGTCGGGTGGTGACAGGAGGGCTGGACAGCGGGTTATAGCGGAGGATGCGCTAATGCGGGCGCTGGGAACTGGGCGACTGTGCGCTGGAGGGGGGGCTGGGGCCTACATGTAGTTACCAAACCACCAAGGCTTAGGTTGCCCACCTGAAATCTCGGGACTGGAGCATTTGATGACGGCTGAGACTGGAGATTGACACCTGAGGCTGGAAATCAGAATTCAATTGCATGTAGACTTGCTTCTATTCTTTCATGAGCAGTCAATTGCTGCAAAGAACTCTCCAATCTACCGTGTATCTCTCCAGCTGCATGCAGCGTCACCCGGATCCCGGCTAGTGAAATCCCACATGCACCAAAAGTCCCTGGCCTGAAGGTGGAAGCATTGCATTGGATCAATCCCCTGCGACATTGAGTTAGTCACGCCGGCAATCTATACATATGCATGCATGTTGATTCTTTTGCCGATGGCCCAATGGGCGCGACTTGATTTGCAACTGTTATTCCTGCAGCTCTGCTATTTGTCTATTGTACGAACAGGGATGAGAACCACTCGCCTTCTGTGTATTTCAGAGCTTACGTGATGTGGTCTTGTTTCTTTGTCGGATGAATGCGGCGAGTGCATCATGTCACATGTGAGACATTGTCACGACCACTATGAAGCAGTATCAATGGCTTGGGCTAGACAAGACGAGTCAAAGAAGCATAGGTAGCAGATCATCAATTTCAATCAAATCATCCAGATACTAAACGGCATCTACAGCCTCGATACCAAGAGGTTGAACAACAGAGCACATGTAGCTCTACCATCTTACCCACTCTTACTCCGGCTCAATCCACAGTACATGTACCTTTCCGGTTTATACACAGGCATCTTCAACTCGCTCAGCTCCTCAGATCTATCCAAAAAAAAAAAAAAAACTGCTGTGTAACTCACCCTCATTCTTCATGTAGATGCAACTCAATTAACTGCAATGGCCGAAACCGATTACAAGTATATAGTGCTCGTGCCTGTATGCGAATCTTGATGTCAATGAACCAGATCAAAGCCCCGGCGCCGGACCACGGACCTCCGATCCGATTTCTCCCCGCCATCGGCTTCAACTTCTCACCCTATCAAATCTCATGCCTCATTTCATCTCACTCACTCGCCAACTCTTACACTCACTTTGCAGCTCTCCAGACACACTCCTTTTTCTTTTCCCCCTCTCTCTCTGTCTCTCAATCAAATAACTCCAGAGTCCTCCATCAGAACTCATCATGACCTCTCCAGTAGCTGCCGCAAAACAGCAGCTCAGACGCCTCCTCAAACAGCGTCTCTCCCAAGTCTCTCAAGAATCCATCCTCGCTCAAAGTACAGCATTCCTCCCCCCCCCCCCCTTTCCTTTCACCATACCCAAACTGACTGTTTCAAAGGCAACACAATATTCGAAATGCTCAAGTCTTTTAAGCCCTACCAAGACGCCCGCCGCATCAGCATCTACCTCTCCATGCCCGCCGCCGAAATCCAGACCGACGCCATCGTCCGCCACGCCCTCGCCTCGGGCAAGCAGGTCTTCGTCCCCTACCTACACAAGTCGCCCCTCGACGAGCCCGGCACGCCCGCCCGCGTCATGGACATGGTCCAGCTGCGCGACGTGCGCGACTACGACGGCTTGCAGCGGGATTCATGGGGCATCCCGAGCATTGACCCTGCTACGGTTCACTTGAGGCAGCGGATCCTTGGAGGTGGTGGCGGCGGCGGCGGTCCTGATGGTGCGCAGAATTCGGAGCAGGCGACGACGCTGGACTTGATTCTCATGCCGGGCGTGGCGTTTGATACCGACGAGAGGGGTTGCGTGAGGAGGCTGGGCCATGGCAAGGGGTTCTATGACTTCTTCTTGAACAGGTATCTTGCTACGAAGCCGCATGATGAGGCGGGCGGGGAGCACGTGTTGCGGTTTTACGGGCTGGCGCTCAAGGAGCAGCTTCTTGATCCGATGGCGGATGAGCCGGTGCCTATGGGGCAGTTTGATAGGAAGTTGCACGGTTTGATCCTGGGCAATGGGGAGATTAAGCTGTCGCCGGATGCTGAGGCAGTTGAAGCAGTAAGCGAATCATGATACCACTTGTTTTTGTTTTCTTTTTATTCAGCCAAGGCTGTGGGAATCATGCTCAAGACGTGGTGCTTTTGCTCCTATCATGCGTTGAGATCAAGAACAACACTGGAAAGGTCCGCCAACAGCCTCCTCCACATCCCCGTGCTCTCTTCCTCCTCCCTCCCTCCCGTCAAGGTCGCCCTGTTGCCTACGATAATCATCCCGTACTTGGCTCTCGTAAGAGCAACGTTCATCCGACGCAGGTCCTTGAGGAAGCCAATCTCCCTGCTCTCGTTGCAGCGTACAGTGACGAAGATGACAATGTCCGCTTCTCTCCCTTGGAACCCATCGATGCTCGAGATTTCGATATTGGGGATCCCGCTCAGGAGTCTCTTCAGGACCTCTGATTGGCGTGAATACGGCGTTAATACGGCTATGGATGCATCGTCGTTTGCTTCTGGTTCGGTTGAAGACCCGGCGGCAGACGTGCGTAGGAGCTTGCAGATTGAGTGGCACAGGTCTGCCTGCTCTTTGTTCGACTTGGACTTGTGGCCCAAATCTTCTCTTCCGGCACATTCGATGAAGATCATCCGAGGAGCCGAGGCCGAGCTACTGGTACTCGGCGCTTCTGGCCAGGGAAACGATGAAGGCGGCATTGGTCTGTCCTTGCCTGTCAGCCCGGACAGCAGCTTTCCGTCGTAAAACTCCTTTGAGATGAAGCTGCATATGGACGGATGCATTCGATATTGCGTGTCCAGCATCACTTTCTCCATGCCACGAGTCATTTCCTGTCTTGTATACAGTCTCTCAAAGAGCGAGACGTCAAAATTGAGCGCCAATGCAATGTTCTGCACAGTAGGCCTCAGCTGGACGTGGTCGCCAACAAGGATCGCCTTCTGGCACCCCTTGATTAATGGAACGAGAGACGCTGGTTCCGTCTGCTGCGACGCCTCATCAACAATCACCGTATCAAAGAATTGATCCCTCAACAGTCCCAGTCCGGCTCCGATACACGTCGTAAAGATGATTCCCGCCTCCTTGACACGCTTCTTCGCCTTTCGCATGGCATCCTGACTGGAATACACCTCCTGGCCAGCCAAAGCATCACACGTGTACTTGCGAAGATCCTCGCCGACTTTACGGACCTCTGTAGCCACGCGCAGGGGTACAATCTTGGAGTTTTGCAGAGCGTCTTCTTGCTCGATCCGCTTGAGGTATCGCCGCATGACATTGTCCACGGCATTGTGAGTTGGGGCGGTGACGAGGATCCTGGCGCTACGGGGGTCGAATTGCAGCGTGCGGATGATTGCGACAATGGTCTGCGTTTTGCCTGTTCCTGGGGGCCCCCAGAGACAGATGAGGTTGTTGCGTTGGGCTGCTTCTACTGCGGCTCTTTGGCTGGGGTTCAAGGAAGCATCTGCCTCGGCTGGTGGACTCGGACTCGGAAACACATCGTCGTCCTCAGTCTGGGAAGCTGCTTGAGGCTGGATGCCGACAATTTGATCAAGCACGCCACAGCATGCGTGCTCAAAAGTCGCAAGGTCACGAACAGCATCCAACATTGTCTTTGCAGTCACAAACAAGCCGCACTCTTCCAATACCCACGAACATTTCTCAATGTACGTCGGCGGCGGATGAAAGCATTGGATCTTTGTGTAGCCAGACCTGCTCTCGACCACCAGTCCGTCCATCGAATAGCTTCCGTCCACTATCGAGCTGGATGGCGGGCTGGCTGTGATGAGTCGTACATGGGTATTGGATATCGGAGTTCCGCCCATGGCATCTATCCTGAAAGACACTTCGACTAGAGACCCTTGCTGTGAATTTGCTGCTTGAGTGTCGGTGGTAGTTCGAATGTTCAGGAGCTCGTCTCGAAGTTTGGCTTCTTCTTGAACAGCCCCTATGTGCTCCACGGCAATTCCAATCATGTTCCGGACAAAGTTCTGGACAATGGCTGGCCGTCCTGTCAACAGCCTGAAGCTTTGTCTATCAAGCCCTTCGAGAAGGAGATCCAGCGCTGTAGACGACGAATGGACGGTCAGCGCAATCAACTCGACAATGTCCGCAAACCAGGCGAGCGAAAGCCACTCCACGTTGTCAAGGATGGTGTGAAAAGGAGCCAGCACAAGCTCTCCAAACTCCGCTTCCGAGAGAATGATGCCCCGTAGCAGAATTAGGCTGCTATTTTGCATAATGTCCCTCAGGTCCTCGGGAAGTCCTCGCCATGAACCTAGGATTGCAAAGGTAGCCGAGACGTAGGGCATTCTGTGCACAAGTTCGGTCATGGTAGATAGGGTTTCTGCCGGAGCCATGACCTTGTCGTCCTTGATGCTCGCAATTAAGTGTTCGTAGCAGCGAGTAAGTAAGCCTCGCTGCTCATGCTCCACCAGCCAGTCGAAAAGCTCATGCAAACTCGCAGGATCCAACACATCTTGCAGAGCCGAGAAATTCCCCCTTCTCACAACTTCAACCACAAGAGGAGGCTGCGCGCCCAGAGACCAATCAACATCCTGCAGCTTGGGGACGTCGTACTCTTTGGGCTCGCGCGGAAATAGGGGTAGTGTCTGCTCTGTACCAATGTAGTCTTCCCACAAATCCAGGTTGCGCATTGAGTTGACGTCTCTGTTGCTGATGATGTATATCTCGGCAGCCAAGATGCCCTGTCTCTGTAGCCTCCCGATATGGGTCTGCAGGTTCCTGCTAAACTTGTCCAGCGCTATGCTGGCTCTGTAGTCGAAGTTGGTTCCATTCGCAAGCGTTTCCTGCCTTGCTTTCCGGCGGTCTTGTTCTCGGGTAGCATTTCGATAGCTGCTGTCGTTGGATCCTCCGCGGCCAATGAACACCCAGGTATTCCTCACGTTGCCGTCAAACAGCTGCAGTCTGTTCTCATCGCAATATAGGCGATATTCCTTCTTGGTCGGCAAGGAAAGCCTACTCTGCGTTTCCCTTCCCTGGGAGTGTGGAAAGGCGAAGAGCCTGACTTGGTTGCCAACCTTGAAGTCATCTGCGGGAGTAATCTTTTGCGGCACGTACATGGCCAATGTCAGCCGATCATCTGGCCGGAACACAATCATCTTCTTGTGGAAGAGCTCGAGGTTTCGAGTTGCTGCTTCGAGAAACGTGGCGAGCCGGTCCTGTTCGGATGTGTAGACGCGTTTCCAGTGCAGACCTGGATAATTGAGATGGAAATGCTTCAGCTCCGCCTCCGTGAGCAGACTCGATGAACAGAGAGCGTTGTAGATAAGACTGGGCGCGTCGCTGTATGAAGGCACTTGAGCCAGCACCCATGCCTTGTCTTCTGCTTTCAGCGAGTTCAGGTCAAACATGTGCATCAGTTCGTAGAAGGAAGTGTTTGTCCTCCTGCACCATCTCACAGCCATTCTGATCAGCTCAGGCTCAGAAATGGCAACGTCCTCTCTACACAGCAGCAGTTGGAGACCGTCAAAGGTATACCCATCCATATCATCCATATGGTTTTGCATATTGCGTTTCTGCTGAATAATAATGTCCTTGGCTGCTTCGTGCAGCTCGTCGAGAACAAAAGGGGGCGCTTCTGCGTCTGGCTCCGGCGGTTTCTCGAATTTCTTGAGGTGATCCTCTTTGATGCGATTTCCGTCCACGCACTGGGAGAAGAGGCGGTTGAGTTCCTGGCACTCTGCACTCATGGCACCGGTGGCCCTCGCCCACTTGAGGTAGAGATTCTTGACGCGGCCCAACGACACGTTTGTGTATTTGGCAAAGTACACTAAGCGGTCCTCATCCGTAATGGGGGAGAATCTCAGGGGCTCACGAACTCCCGGATAGTGTGCGGCCTGGGAAACCGTCGTCGGAATGATGTCCGGATCCCAGGTGACGAAGAACGTATCGCCATCCAGGTCACCTCCCGACATCATGTCCGCGGTTGGTCGCCGCCCCGTCGTAGGAAACACAATGCAGTCGACCAGGTGCGCAAGCTCAGGCCTCTCCACAACGTCAAGCTTTTGAAGATCGCCTGGGTGCAAGCAGGGGTTTCTCGTCACCAAGACCTTCGTGCCCTTGAGCGCATACGGCTGTCCGTCCCCGTCCATGGTGACCTTGACGGCACATTGGCCCGGTTTCAAGACGCCCCAGGCGTCGCAGACTCCAAACAAGAGTCTGGATTTCGGGATGAGGATGCGGCATCTTTGCTCATCGCGTTTGTTCAGCATCTTGTCATATTCTGCCTTGACAAGCCTGTTGATTGTCGGGCGTACAGCATCCAGGGAATCGATGATGACCTTTTCGGCATCCTCTGGCATGTTTAAATGGCAAAGTATCCGAAAAGCAACTATTGGGTTGTGATATGCCTGGGCCAAAAACTCAAAGTGTTCTTGCTGCTTGCGAAGAAGGGTTTGTCGGCTGATGCCCAAAGCATCCAGGAGCACAATCACCTCGTCGTTGAGATGCCCAAACACATATGGCTGTTGCATCCACTGTCAGTATATAGACAAAGTAAGATATTCTTCAGCTATAACAATATCAGATGGGAAGACTACCTCACCTTTGAGTATTCGACAACGGAAAAAGACAAGTCGTCGCCTCCGCTGAATTTCTTCATCGACTTCCTCATCTTCAGCCAGGGCACCCCCTTTGCCATGGTTGGATCCAGCGTCACCACGCCTTTGTAGCCGCGATATCTGATCTGAAAGACCGAAGGGGTGTATCTCATGTTTCGAAACACGATCCTTGTGCGCCGTGAAAGCTCCTTTGCAAGGTGCGGCGCAATTAGTCCGCAGCCATCGGTGAAGATGAAGTCTCCTACTTCGATATCCGGTATATCCTGCACCATTTTCGGATCGACCTGCATCGCTGCTCGAGCGACTGAAAACAGGAGCCCAATTCGCTTTGCTTTCTTGGCTACCGTCTTCATCTTTGTAAAGTCGCCCAGGGCTTCCACCTTTCTTGAGATGTCTTCCTTGGAGGCTGCGCAGAGGTAGCATGTCCGCGACTTGAGCTGGCTGTTGCTGTGGCCATAGAAGTTGTAGTGCACACCGTGGATGCTGATGCCCGCTTTGAGGAGCCTGACTGCATAATCTGAGCATTCTCTGGCGGTCGTTGGCTGTAGCACCTTGTCGGCTGCGCCCTCTGACGATGACGAAGGGTTGGCACCTCGAAGGGAGCGGAACTCGGCGAGGGAAACGATGAGATACCGATCCAGAGGGAGATCTTGGATGGCACGGTTCATGTCCACTGGACCATAGCGGAGGTCGAGACGATGGCGAGCGTCCTTTGTCGAGAGGCTGACCATTTTAATGAGATTCAGCTTGTTCGTGGCTTCGGCGGTGGGAAGCTTCGGGACCTGAAATTCCCATTTCTGGTCATCGATGGAGATTTTGTCGAGGAGGACATGCTCAAAGTGCTTGGGACTGGACGAGGCTCGAGGCATCTTGAAAGTTGTGAGGCTTCAGTAGCTCAGGGATGCGGTTGATTCGGAGTAGTGCAAGCGAGAACATGTCCTGAGTACTGCCTTTGAACTTTGAAGACATGCTGCTGAGGTTGAGTTGACCTTTGAGCAGCACAGTTTCATCTCGTCTGGGGTAATTCATCCGAGAGGGGAGTGTGGTTGCACAGCAGGGCTGGGTTTCTCCGCATCACGAGGCAGCCGTGATAGGTACATGAGGTACATCTTGTAGGCCTCCTGCATGAAGTACTACCTCATTCAAGTACTCAAATTCGGCCGACGGAGCTCTAGAAGTCTCTTGTGTTGCTTCTACAATAGATATCTACCTACCTATGAAGTCTGGTTACCTTATTCATCACGGGGATGCAGACTTCAGCAATGGGAACTGTCAGTGCACCTCAAAGCTTCATTCCCAAGAACATCTACATCATCGGCGCTCAATGTACGGGCAAAACCTCGCTCGTCAACGCCTTAGAAGTTTCGTTTGCCAAAGTATTCGAGACAACACCTCCCACAATCGTACGAGAAGTCGCTCGCTCGGTGTTGAAAACTCATGGCTTCACAGCCAGCGACATCACCTCTGATCCCGCCAGATGCCTGCAGCTGCAGTCTCTCATCCTGGAAGCTCAGCGCAACAGCGAGCGCGAGGCCCTGGCGAAGAATCCATGGATCATATCGGATAGGTCCGGGCTTGATCCCATTGTATACGCATCACGCCATATTGGAGATGAAGCAGTCAAGCTCCTGACCTCATCTGATCACTGGCAGGAGCTGAGAGAACGCATGTCTCTGTCGCTGGTCTTTGTATGTGAGACGGTAGAGGCTTGGCTCGTAAGTGACGGAGTCAGGCTCATGCCGAAGGATGTGGAGGATTGGATAGCATACGACACGGAGTTTTGTCGCATGCTGGAAGCTGAAGGGATAGAATATCAGATGATGCCGCGTTCAGTTGAGACGCTTGAAGATAGGGTAGCCTTTGTGTGGTCGAGATGGGAGAAGGCGACGTTTGGTGGATAGATCGATGCGCATAATGAACCTTCATCGAACAGCTTTCTGGAATGCACTTGGTCATTGACGGATTGCGTCCTGATCTCTTTGTCAACAGACAATCCGATGTCACGGAATCTTGGTATGATTTTGGTAGGATATGGTAACAAAGCCTCATGTGTGCAACCACTGTTCAGACGAAAGCCAAAGCGCCTCTGCCTCCCTTGAGCTCTCAGCAACTGGTAGCACGATTGACAGCGGCAGCCATCACACGGACATCCAAACGATCTCAGAGTCACTTCAGCATCACACCGGCAGAGAAGCAACAAGGCCCTGGTCAACTGGTGATGATCCGCCCGCTTTGTTCTGTGCCTTTCCATGGACCAGATGAAAGGCCCCTGGACAGGGTACAAGGCAGCCCATACTGCACTAGCGGCGGAGCCAGGTACACCTCCCATCCTCCGGAGCGGAAAAACCCGCGGCGGCGGCTGCAGAGCTCCTCGAGCGGATTTGCCCCGCCAATGCGAGCAGCCATGCCACTTCGTCAAAGGCAAGGCCGACCTCCCATGATTTTGCCTGGAGCCAGTCATCCGGATTCCAGCCTCAGCCCGCGGTTCTGATACGCTCCAGGCCTCTCTCGCTGTCCGTTTGCCCTCCTTTCCCCTCTTCTCTTGCTTCTACTCGCCATCCTCCTTGCCTGTTCGCCTCGGCACGCTCTCGACGAGGGATCGACTAGCTCAACTCACGACTGCATATTACAGCTTTTGACTCTCCGCCAGCAACACCCCCCCGGCTGGTGGCCCATGAGCGCTGCCCGCTCCTCGAATACCCAGAAATCGCGCTGATACCGACCATTTCCCCCCCGGGAGCTCCCAGCTGCGCGCCCTGTCGCACTACCCGAGATGGCCACGAATGGCACCCAGGAGGCCTTTGCGCCTACGGACGTCCTTGGGGCTGTCATGACGATGCGAAGCGGGGAGCAGGAGGCGAAGAAGAAGGCGCACGAATACCTGCAGAGGTTCCAGAAGTCGGTACGTCGGCGCTCGCCTGGTTTTGCTGCTCGACGCGCTGTCGGATTTGGTACAGGGTCGCTAATGGTCACATCTGCTGTATAGAAGGACTCGTGGGGGACGGTAATCGGCATCCTCCAGTCCAAGGCCGAGCCCGAGGCGACTCTCTTCGCGGCCATTACACTGCGCGGCAAGGTTCGTTTTTCACTCACCTCTACACGCATCTATTTCTCTACTCTCCGTTTCCTGCTCACGGGTCTGCTAACGACACCAGATCACCTATGACCTCATCACGCAGGTGCCCCCCAACGAGCTGCCAGCTCTCCGGAACCAGATTCTTCTTCTGCTGAAGCACTACGCCGCCGGCCCCAAACCTATCCGAGTCCAGCTGTGTGTGTGTCTGGCCATTCTGGCCATCCAGATGAAGGACTGGGACGACGTGCTCCCCTCGGTTGTCCAGTCTCTTGGCGACAGCCCCGAGAGCCATGCTTGCATTCTCGACTTCTTACGAGTCCTCCCCGAAGAGGTGACTGAAGGTCGAAAAATAACCTTGTCTGTACGTGGATCGCGAACCTCTGAAAACGCCACGGCACCTGGCCATTTGCGAATATCTCTCGGCGGGCCGGCAATCAACCCGAAGAGCAAATCTAATTGTTTGGATATAGGAAGAAGACCTTGCACTGCGGACGCAAGCATTGCTGGCAGATAACGCAGACCAGGTTGTGCAGCTCCTCATCAACTACTCACAGTCTTCACGTAAGTGCCTATTGTCGTGAACGTCCCATGGAAGCGCAAGGGAATTGACATGTGATTGTCTAGCTGCCGCGTCCCAAAACCCGCTCCTCATGGAGTGCATCACATCGTGGCTTCGCGAAGTCCCCGTCGCTGCCATTGCCAACTCGCCGCTGCTGGACGCCATTTTCCATGGGGTTACATCCGACGGGTGCAGCCAAGAGGCCGCAGAGTGTCTGAGCACAATGCTCAGAGAGACGGGCGATATCGACGAATCCCAAGCCATTATTCAGACGCTGTTTCCTCGAGTCGTCAGTCTGAGATCGCGCATCGCCACTCTCGTCGAGGAGGAGGATACCGAATCGCTAAAGTCCATCACAAAGGTTCTGGCAACGGCGGCAGAGAGCTGGGTGGTTGCCATTGCGCGTCAGCCGACCCAGTTCCGGCCGCTCGTCGACGCCGTCCTCGAATGCGCCGCCCGCGACAAGGACCGAGAGGTTATCGAGCACACGTTCAACTTTTGGTACGAGCTCAAGCAGTATCTGGTGCTGGAACGATACATTCAGGGCAGGGTGGAGCTGGTGGACGTCTTCTCCAAGCTTGTCGACATCCTTCTCTCACACCTGCAGTACCCGCGGCCCGAGTCTGGGAGCGAAACGGACCTGTTTGACGGAGACCGCGAGCAGGAGGAAAAGTTCCGCGAGTTCCGACACCAGATGGGCGACACACTCAAGGACTGCTGCGAGGTCATGGGCGTGACCGAGTGCCTCACCAAGGTGCTTCATGCCATCCAGGTGTGGACGCAAAAGTACGCCAGTCAGGTCACCGAGACGACGGTGCCGCACTGGCAGGAGCTCGAGGCTCCGCTGTTCGCCATGCGCGCCCTCGGCCGCATGGTGGACAAGGAGGAGGACATTGTGCTGCCTCAGCTGATGCCCCTTTTGGTGCAGATGCCCAGCCACGAGAAGCTGCAGTTTGCGACCATCATGGTGCTCGGCCGTTACACGGAATGGACGGCGGCGCATCCCGAGTATCTCGAGCCTCAGTTCAACTACATTGTCCACTCGTTCCAGTCCGACTCTCGCGAAATCATCCGCGCGGCGGCCCTGTCGCTCAAGTTTTTCTGCACCGACTGCAAGCATCTTCTCTCAGGCCAGGTGCTGCAGCTGCAGACATTTTACGACCAGGTTCTGGACAAGCTGCCGGACATTAGCAAGGAGGAGGTTACCGAGGGTGTTTCCAACGTTCTTGCTGTGCAGCCCGTTTCCGAGACGTATCGGCTGCTCAAGACGTACTGCGACCCCCTGATTCAGAGACTGATGACAAAGGCAAACCATGCGACCACAGACGACGGCAAACTGGCCGTAGCAGGTAAAATTACCCCTTTTCTTTCATTTTCTCTCACCTTGACTCAGCTTCAACTAACCGCCAAATTGTAGATCATCTTCAGCTCATCACCATCTTCGTGCAGAATGTGATGCCCCCCGTCAACCCTGGAGAGGAGAATCCCGCCGTCAAGTACTGGCAGGAGGTCTTCCCGATCCTGTCTACGGTCCTGGAGAACTTCCTTACCTTTTCCCCCATCTGCGAGAGAGTGTGCAGGTGCTGGAGGAACATGGTCATCTCTTACCGTACCGCCATCACTCCTTTGCTGGCTGAGATGGCAAACAAACTGGCCAGCGGCTTCAACGCATCTAGGGAGGGCTGCTTCCTGTGGGTCACATCCGCCATTCTGCGAGAGTTCTCCGAGGCACGAGAGCACGTGGATCAGGCGACGACTGAAAACATCTACACGTTCTTCGAGGCGCAGTTGACGACGTTCCTGAGAGTTATGACTGAGCTTCAGCCCAAGGAGCTGCCAGACGTGATTGACGACTTCTTCAGGCTGCTCATCGACGCGCTTCTGTACTATCCCCAGAAGCTCATCCCCTCCCCGCTTCTGGCACCTATTTTCGAGGCATCCATCTACGCCTTGACGCTGGAGCAGCGGGATCCCCTCTGTTCCACGCTCCACTTCCTGCGGGATCTGTTGTCATATGGTGGCGACAACCCGGCGAGCAGTGAGGGGCTGCCAGAGGCAACCGCGGCAGAGATTAGGACGATTATTAAGAATCTCCTCCTGAGCCACGGCGAGAACTTGGTGAAGCAATGCATGGCTGGCATGATGATTACGTTCCCCAGGGACTGCTTTGCGGACGGCAGCGGCGTCCTGCTTAGCCTGTTTGAGCTTCTGCCCGTGGAGACGACAGAATGGGTCGCGCGCACCATCCAGCTGCTGCCTCAGGGCACCGTATCCCCGGAAGAGGCAAACAGGCTTCTGTCCAAGATCAAGGAGCGACTGGCGGCGAATGAGGCGGGGGGCATGCGGCACGTGAGGGTGCTGCTGCAAGATTTCACAAACACATATCGGCGCCGTAACGTTGCGCCTCGAGACGGCCTCGGACAACTCGAGGCGGCCAGGTTCCAGTTTGCCGGCTGAGGTGGGTCGGGACAAGCTGCCGAGTGAGTGCAAATAGAGTGAGAAGATAAGACATAATGACAGCAACAGTGACAGAGGCGAAAAGAAGAAGATTATGAGTAAGTGGGTGGGCATAGGTGCTTACAATCCATGCAATCTCGATCTAGGCGGGAGGGCGATGAAGTACGAGGGCGCGATTAGGCGTGTTGAGAGAGACAAGGCGCGCAGTTACTGGGAGATTGTTTGTAAGAGATTGAAGCCGGAGATGGAGTTTGAGCGCGGAGTCAAGGAAGGGCAAAAAAGAAAAGAGCCGTTGAAGAAAGGAACGACACTGAACGACATGTTGATGAATGGGCAACTGGAGGGATTTTGGAGGAAGAACCTGATCTGGGGTGCTGTACGGGAGGGCTGCCGACGACTATGCAAATATCCAAATACTACCGTAGATAGAGACATATATTTTACCAGGAGGATGTAGATCAACAAGGTAGGAATAATACCGAACATATGAAACTGGCCTGTGGTGTCGTGGGCGATGGGGAATGTCGGCATGTTGGTGTATTCAATCTGCAGATGCAAGACGCTTACAGAGGATACTGTTGTACGTTCAATACCTAGGGCGAAGTACCTAATGGTACCTACAATAAATGTAAGGGGGGGTCAAGCATAGAAAGATGTCGCTTTGATGATGTGTGTAAGAAGAGGCGGTTGAACGGGAACAAGGTCGCAAATGAAAAAAAGGATAATGCCCGATTCGGAAAATCGGCATCCTGAACAGAGGTGGTGCTTTACTTGATTACTATTCAACTCGGCTTATTCTTTCATGTTTGAGCGTCCAGTCTTTTCTTAGGTATTCTCTCTTTGATGACGGTGGCATATTGAACTACCTATCTGGAAGAAAACTACTGATACCGTATGAGAAAGTCGAGCGTACGAGGATGACTCAGAGGGTTACAAAAGGATTGACAGTACTTTTATCAGATTGAAACGTGTTAACGAAGGGCGCGCCCTGTACATAGGTAGTCCTAAGGCGGGACATTTGGCGTATATTCTTGAACAGGACTTGTCAATTGGACGATGTCTGTTCAACCAGGAGAAAAAGATGGAAAAGAAACGGATTGAAAGAAACAAATCAGGTATAGAACATGTGAATAGTATTAACGAATGTCAAGATAAACGACGGAGGAAGATATGGAAGGCAAGCACGCACTTGGTAAAAACATATGTGGTGCATGAATAAATATAAACACACATTGGAGCTAATACGCGCACCATTTGGGAATCGCTTTCTGGTGGTGAGCGCCGCATTTGTGTGCGTATGGTTGGTTTTTATGTAGGCACATAATTGCTCTGTTCCCCTGTTTTTTTTTTTTCTTCTGCCAACCGCTTATTAGAGGGTGGTGGATGGCTTGACTTTGGACCGAAAGAGTCATCCGCCGTTCCGCTCAGATAAAGTAGGTTATGACTCGGTATCTACCGGTCCTTTTTGATCTCATGCGATGTGTTTCCTTTATATTTCTCATCTTGGCCGGCTCCGTGTGTCCTTATACGACCACTTATTCTTCCCTTAAACGAAACGAATCAATACAAGAGTCGAGCAATCTCATTCAACACAGTACTATTTACTAACCACGCAATTACCCAACAAACTCTCCAACATAAAGTCATAGAAACTTAGAGAAAAAAACAAAAGAAAGAAAAAAGACCAAAAAAGAAACATGACGCCGGAAGAAAGTGCCGTTCCTTCAAGGAAATATACCTCCGTCGACCTCATCCCCTGGGACCCCGACAACGCAAGCCACTGCGCGCGCCTATACGACCAGCGCGTGGCGTGTAGTTGGGACGAGGACTTGATTGACGAGTGGAAGGGCAAAGTCCGTGAGGGCAACAAGATTCTCTATTGGATTGTGAGTTTTTGGGCCTCGGCTTTTAATGCAGCAGCAAGTTGGTGTGAGAGTGTGTGTGAGTGTGTGTGTGTGTGTGTGTGTGAGAGAGAGAGAGAGTGTGTGTGTGTGTGTGCACTGAATGAACATGAAGCATGAGGGTCGGAATGAGAGAATATCTAATTAGATGGACATGACTGACAACGAGCAATAAAACAGAAGATGAACGACGATTTGCCCGCAAAAGAAGAGCTTCTAGCAAAGCACACTGCACGATATCCCAACGTAAGCCACATCTAAGAAAAACAAGAACAGACAAACTCACTCTCAACGACGACTGAAACCGCCACAATACTGACAACCCTTGACGCACCTAGGAAAAAGAAGCCATCGTCGACACGGCAGAAACCGTCGGCAAAGCCCCCAGAACACCAACATCAGTCTCCTTCATCCCCATCGGCCACATCGCGCTGGACTTGTTTCCAGACCGCAACGAGCAGTTTAAGCTGCCTCAGAGCACGGTCTGGATCAAGTCGCTTTACATCTCATGGTAAGCCCCAGCCTTATAAGTTCTATCACCTAGATTTCTTCCTGGAAGTTCCAAGGCCCTGAAAGTCTGCAAGTCTCACACATAATCAGGGCCATCCAAGCCGGCGGCTTCGGCCGCTCAGCAATGCACCACCTCGAGCGCCTCGCCACCCAGCCTCCCCTCCGCGCCACGACAATGGCCCTCGACACCCTCACCAAGGACTTCCAGGCCACCCCCGAGAACCTGGCCATCTTCAACAAGATCCGCGGCGCCGAGCTCCCCGTGGAACAGTTCCGCTCCAACGAGGACTGGTATGCCAGGCAGGGCTATCAGGTCATTGGGTACGTCACGGGCTTGGCCAAGTGGCGCGATAGGGAGACGGGGGTCGAAATTGACGTCCCGCTTGTGTTTATGAAGAAGGATCTTGTGTAGTAAAGGTTGTGCGGGATGTAGTAGTTGGTATGGGATAGGGGATTTGGTGGGAGGGTTGGTGGATGGGACGATTGGTGTTTTGTTGTGTGTGTGTTGGAAGATGGGACTCATGTTCAGACTGGCCTGGGTCTTGTACATTGTCTGTTCTGCTGTCAGCTTATAGACAGGTCATTGTAATGAACATCAATTTTGAAACAAGTCTTTTGGTGGTCTTCAGTTGTTGAGCGCGTGTAAATCGTCTTTGTGTCGTCTTGTCTCATGATGGCTCCTTATTGCCTCTTTGTTCACTCAGCCTTTGCCCCTGAACGTCTGTTCTCTTTCAGCTTCTCAATATTGAGGTTCACATAGCCTTCAGTAAAGCCAGCCAGGGCTTCCTGTTCAAAGTTAGCAACTTCGACAAGATGGATGTAGGAAAGGGGCTGCTTCAAAGACAAGAACTCGGACTCAGTTGAATCTGTATATCAATCAATATGCCCTCAATTTGCCCAACCCGTAGAACTCTGTGATGCCGTAGACAGCTCCATTCTCACCGTCAGCGCCATTTCGCATCAAGGACTCAGGAGAAAGAGAGTCAGCCATGGCGCCCAGCACAAGAGCATCCAAGCCCAGTGCTGAAGCACCCTACACAGGTCGCATAACCCGCAGCAGAGCAGCCAGCCAGAAGCAACAGGAGCAGCAGCAAAAGCGACAGCGACAGCAACAGCAACAAGCACCCCCGAAACTTCGTCGTTCAAAGCGAAAACGCGCCATTGGCGCTGACGAAGACGACGACGACGACGAAGACAAGGACGGAGATGGCAATGACAACAACGTCCCCAAAGACAAGAGCCCACCCCCCAAGAGGAGGAGAGGCCCAAACCGCTGCAAGTTCTGCGGCGCCGACCCCGTAGGCAAGGACATGTTCCAGGAGCGGCCCTGCGACTACACCAAGATCTGGAAGGAAAACTACATCGAGTGCCAGAACTGCGCCGACCACCGCTCCAAGAACCCGGGCGTCCAGCACAGGTGCCAGCCCCCCAACATCAACAAGGTCTGGCGCCAGTACGGCATCGCGGACCCGACGACATACTCGCCCGCGGCGTGCGATGCGTGCCGCGGCGACAGGTTCGAGCACCAGTGCAACGTTGATTCGATCCTCGGGTACGGATGCACCACGACAAGGGCCTGCAGGGAGGGCACCTGCACCGTCAACGGCGTGCCGATGGAGAAGCCGCCCCGGCCCCAGGCCAACGTCGTCCGCTGGACGCGAGGAGAGTGCCAAGTCTGCGAGAACAAGACCAAGAAGGGCACGGCCACGCTGGGATGCAGCTGGCTTAGGGACCGCACCACCTGGGATCGGGCCTGCGACTATTGTCAAGCCCACAACCTGGTCTGCATGAGCGGCGGCAACATCGTGGCCAGTCCCGCGAAGCTGACGCTGCCAAAGACGTGGGCCCTCAACCATCAGGTCTTTGACTGGGGCTTCATCGAGTGCAGGGCCATCAACCCGCACCGCAGAAACTGCAAGCGGTGTCTCGAGGACGGCCACGAGCACTGCCGCGTCGATGCCGGCGCGTACGGCTTCGCCTGCAACCGCTGCGCTCAGCTGGGCATCGACTGCATCGACAGCAAGGACGACACTCACTATCCCATCTTTGACCTGGCCAGAGTCGGCATCGGCGGCTTCATGCCCTTCCCCGAGTGTTCGTGCTGCACAAGGCACGGGAGGAACTGTGACCTCCAGCGCCCCTGCAACTCCTGTGTCAAGCATGGCGATGAGTGTGACGAGTTCACGGGCGTCACGGCCCGATACTGCTTCAACGGCCGGCTGGACCCGCCTCCTGGGCCTCTTTATTACCTGGCCCTGGGATATGGGCCGCAGGGCGTCGACGACCCCAAGGACGGGTCCGCCATCGAGCATTGGGTAGGTCCAGCGACCAACGTCTACTGCATGCTTCCCAACAGGCAGAAGAAGGAATATTTGACGGCATTGGGTGCCCATTTGCGAGCCAGACTTCATCCCCCCGGGGCTCCGCCTCACGGTGATGTCAGTCAGGGGGGCCTCCTCACCAGGCGAGCGAGTGAGATAACCCGGCAGCAGGTTGCGGCGCTGATCCAGGCCCAGTGGCCCCAGGCGCGTCCGATGAATCAGTATGATGTTTATCAAGAATACGTTGACAAGGCACAGGAGCAGGTCCAGGCTGTGCGCGCCGGAAGAGCCGGGGTGAGACTCCCTGAGCTACCCGAAACTGGAGGAGATGGCGGAGACGATGGCGGCGACGACGACGACGACGACGACAACGGTAATGGCGCTGGCAATGACGGCGGTCATGGCGGTGACAACAACATCGTTGTTGCCAACAATGGTGAAGGCGGCAGCGGCGATACGCTGATGCGCGACGCAGCTGGTTTCGGTGACGAGGAGCGTGCCCATATCAATGCTGCTGGCATCGCCGCCGCTCGTGCCCTTGCTCTCTCTGCCATCGCAAGCCCACCCCGTCCAGCTCCAACACCTTTCGAGGTCGACGGAGATAGCTCTCACTGGCTCCTGGGGTACATCAGTCAAGAAAACATCATCACTAACCGTCCGGATGGAGCAACAGCAGCAGCACCTCAGTTCAGAACCCCCTGGATGCATATGCCCACCCAGCAGCAGTTTGACTTTGACGCTCCGCTATATTCGAGCCAGATGATGTCCGACGTCGACTTCCATTCGTTCAACGTCCCTGTCTTCAACCCCAACATGGACTTCCATCCAGGTCCAGCCCCTTTCACAAGTCCAGCCCCTTTCACAAGTCCAGCCCATTTCACAAGTCCAGCCCATTTCACAAGTCCAGCTCACTTCACAGGTCCAGCCCATTTCACGAGAAACGTCGGCTTTGATCATTTCGCAGTTCCGGTCCCCGATCCAAGAATGGACGCCAACATCAATCTCGGCTCGTACGCGGTGAACCCCGAATTCAACCCGTTTCAAGTCCCCGCTCCTGAAGTCGAGATGGATGTCAACGACATCAACTTTGACGACATCGACATTGACAACATCAATGTGAATAACATTAACATAGATGACATCAACACCATCAACATGGCCGATATCAACGTGAATGACATCAACGTAAACGACATCGACGCCATCACCATGGCCGACATCGACTTCAACCTCAACGGCAACTCATACACCGACTTCAACCCCACTCCAGTCACCGAAGCTGTCGACAGCGCAGACATGGACATTGATCTCGACCTGTACACAGGCCGACCCAACTTTGACCCGTTCCAGGTCGACGACGGAGCGAACACCGCTTTCGATCTCGATCCCGTTCTCAATCCTCTTGCTGAGCCCGAGTTCCAGGTCGGGACGAACCGCAGCGTGCACAACGGCACCGATCCCAGAACAGGCTTGCTGGACACGCCGGATCTGGACGACGCAATGATGTCGCTGCTCATGCCATGAATACCCAGGTGATGCACCAGCACAAAGGTTAGGATCGAGTCCGTTCCACCGAGCAGGCACTCGCACTATAGCGGCTGCGCAACGATGCCAAATCCTTTCCTGCCCCGTGCCAGAATCACAGAGGCTTGCAAATTGTGCGAGATTTGCGAAGTCGAGTTTGGCACCTTGAAGCGGTCAAGGTTAAGTATGGAAGCGGAGGAAAGAGGCAACTGTCAGGCCAATTCCTGGAGTTGAGCGAATGGGAGGCAACGTCTGTTTTGCTAGAGGTTCCTAGATAGATAGAGTCAGCATAGGCGTTCTGGAGTATTGTAATTGTTTTTGAGAGAGAAACGTTCGGTTTTGGTATTCCAGATAGGAGATGCGAGTTTGTAGAAGCGTTTGTTGTCAGATGAGTTTGATGACGGGGAGAGAGGAGGTCATCTCAAGTAAAAGGACGTCGGCATGGAAAAAGCCCATCCTCCGCACACGGCTGGGTAGGTACATGTAACGGTATGTTTGTATCATGGTGTGACACATTTGACATTTTGGAACGAAAAAAAAAAAAAAAAAAAAAACACCCATTACGCCCAAAACTTGTGATGTGCGACTGAGAAGTCTGCTTGTGTAGAGATTACCTGACAAGATAGAAGCGGTATATGTAGGAAACACCAGCAGAAAAACAAAAGTTTCAGGACAAGGGCCAGAGGAAATCGGAGGAAAAAGCCAAGGAAGAAAACAAAGGCAGTAAAGAGAAGTATAATCACACAAGGTTAGCAAGGATCAAGGCAGAGGTATCAAAAGATCAACACAGACCAAATTGGAAGCCAAAGCATCCGTAAAATTGTTTGTCCTAAATACAAAAGGACAGCAGAATCTTGAAGCGAATCCTCATTATACCATGCAAGTTAACAGTCAATAAGTAGAAGAAAAAAACAAATTACACGTGTGAGATAAATGGGATATAAGAGAAGAAAGTATGACCCGTATTCTCAGAGTCAAGAGAAGAACCATCCTCGCAAAAAAAGCCCACGAGGGAGAATTAATGGCCGCGGCCTCCCCGAGGCCTTCTTTTTGTCTGCGTGCACACACGCATGCCGCAGAGTCCAAGTTCCCTCGTCATCATGCTCTCCCGCCCTCGCCTGGCCCGATTCATTCAAAAGCGCCTCCCCTCGTCTGTTTTTCTTCCTCCCCTCCTCCTGGTGGTGCAACGAACAGGCCCCCCTTTTCGTCGGCACGCTGCGGAACCGCACGCACGCGCGCGCTTTGGCAAGGGGCGCCAGGCTGTGTGTGTGCCGTTTGACACAGCTAACCCCGTCGGTTTCATCTCGCAACAACGCGCGGAGAAATATTTTCGTCGAAATAAACACAAGACATAAAGGGAAAAAATGAAAAAGGCAACAGAAGAAAAAAGAAAATCCGAATGCGCGACCCAAGTCAGAACCCGACTCCCCGTCCGATGCATTGAGAGGTATTGTGTGCTCGTCGATCGTCCAAGGCCGTCCGCCGCGCGCTGTAGTTCAATTCGAGCGTCCAAAAGCCTCTCGTTTCCACCATGAATGTCGCCTCTAGTCATCATGAATCACAAGACAATGCAGCCTCCCATCTCTGGCTTGCACAGCAAAGGCTCTCACATGATGACGCACTTGCAGCAGCCGCCCTCCTGCTCCTCGCCCTCAATGTCCATGGGCTTGGGCGGGTTGGCGCCCGAGTTGGTGCCGCTGCCGGTTGAGTAGCCCTGCATCTCGCGGTTGTATCTTCGGATCTCGCGAACAATGTCGTAGAAGGCCTTGTCGACATTGATTCGGGACTTGGCAGACGTCTCAATGAACTTGCAGTTGAACGACCGCGCCAACGCCTCTCCCTCTGTAGACGTGTTAGATACCTGGACTTGAGCGGCATGTCGCTGGTGACGAAGCATGCATGCTTACCTTGCCTGGTGACTTCTCGCTCGCCTTCCAGATCGCACTTGTTGCCAACAACCACCATGGGGAAGTAGTCCTTGTCCTTGACTCTCAGGATCTGCTGCTGGAAGGTCGTGATTTCCTCGAAGCTCTGTCGTGATGTGATGGAGTAGACCAGCAAGAAACCCTCTCCTGTCCGCATGTACTGCTCTCGCATGGCACTGTACTCCTCCTGACCAGCGGTGTCGAGAACATCGAGCAGGGCGACCTCATCGTCAATGACGCATTGCTTTCGGTAAGAGTCTGTTTAGGTTGTCGACGGATTAGCCAAAGGGCTCGGATCGGGTAGTCGAGGAAGTGGGAGACGAGGTAGCGATGGGTGGATGATGCGTATCCACGAGTCGCGAAGCCTGGGAGAAAAGGGGCAAGGGCGACGAACCTTCAATTGTGGGATCATACTCGTCGACGAAATGGCTCTGAATCAATTGGATGGTCAAGCAAGATTTACCGACACCACCACCGCCAACGACGACGAGCTTGTACTCTCGCAGGAACTGACACGCAGAGAAGCCAATGTTAGCTATTCGGAAGAGGCCAAAGCAAGGGACAGAGAAGGGGGGAAAAGACGAGGTTGGCAAGCGAAAACCGCGCGCGCAAGAGTCGCCAACGTACCTTGGTTGCTGCTGTAGCCATTGTGAACGAGACTGTATGAGGATTGCTAGCGGTTGAAGGATTGCTTCCGCAGCTCGTGAATTTTTTTATTTTTGATTTTTCCTGCTTGTCCTCAGGAGGTGCGCCTCAGCCAATGAAGGACAAGGGAACACCGGACTCTGGAAAGGGAGAGGAGGACGACGACGGTTCTGCGAGAGGATCGAAGTCGGTCAGAGGAGGGATGGAAATTGAAGAAAGATCAGAGCTGGCCAGAAGACAATGCAAAATGCAGAGAGAAAAGAAGAATGAGCCGCAGCGGGCGGGATTGGCAGAGGAATGAATGAGGGAGAGGAAAGATGGAAGACGGAGAGATTGGATGGAAGACGGGGAGGGAGAGGGGTGGAATACGGGAAAAGGCAGCGGAAGGGGAAAAGGCGAGAAAGGGTGAAGGAGAGAGCAGACAAGGCCAAGGACTGGGACTGGGACTAGGCTGGGACAAGACACGCCTGGTTTGGCCTGGGCGAGGACGAGGAACCGCGCAGGTACAGCTACAACCACGAGTACAGGTGCTTCGTACCGGGCGACAATTTGGGGTTAAACGGCAGGCTGGACGGCCCTGTGCTGAGAGATTGGCTGGCCGCCGCGCTGGGGGGGGGGGGGGAGAGCGCGAGCCAGGGGCCCCAGCACTGGTCGGTGTGCCCTAGCGACACCTGCAGGGCCTGCAATGGTCCCCTAGCTGCCCGCCTTAGCACCGGCGCCGGCTGCAGGTAGCAGGTACGGGTGCTTGTGCCTGTGCTTGGGCGGGCTTCGATGTTGTTGGCACAAGGGAAGGGGGGTGGAGAACTGGCGAGGTGTGGGGAGGTCGGGCGGATTGGCGGGCACGGATTGGGCGATCGGGGGGGGTGCTTTAGTGAGGTTCCAGTTGGTTCAGGGCCCTTTTCTGGGCTTTGGGGGGGGGTCGAGCTGCTGCTGTTTCTGTGTGGCTAGCAGGCACCAGCGCGACTCACTCACTGCGAGCACCACAGGCGATGAGGTAGGAGGTAGGTACTTGCCAGAGAGTACCGGGTACCTGCCAGTGGACGTCCCTCCTATACTGTATGTGTCGTTCCTCCAGGGATCTCGAGTCAATTGCAGCAGTGCCCGCTGGTGGTGGTCTGGAGAGCAGTGAAAATGTTCCGTTGTTACTCCGTAGGTACTCTGTACAAAGTGGGAAGAAGCGGCGCGGTTCGGCTGCTTCAGCGGCTCGAGTGGCTTGCCGGATCCCCTGGTTTAGTAGCAGCAAACCAGGAGACGAGGTTGAGGGGTCAGAAGTGGACGAAAAATGAAGGAAAAGATGATGGAAAGACGATAGAACGTTTTCATCCGGTCAATGATGGAGGATGCATTACAACAAGGGAATTTCACCACCGACATCCTCGGATTCTTTGGGGCACTGGAATAATACTGTAGGTACTTGAGGGAAGGGGAACAAACGGTAAGGTACACGCACTCCACACGATCCACGGTCTGGAAGGTACCCGATACTCCTTTCTCCGATACATCCACCCAACCGCAACCCCGTCAAGGCGCCTTGAGGTACGAGGACGGAGCAATTCGAGCAACCGTGAACATGAAGCATGGGGTGCCGGCTTTAGCGCACTCTCGATTCCCTATCACGGCCCCATCCAAGGTGATTTTGCTCTCGAGAGAGCGCGTCAAACGTGCCAGTGCTCGTTGTAAGTGCGGTGTAGACGTTCAACGTGACAAAAGAGCATCGAGACAAGTCCACATACACGTACCTTGCCTCGACTGCTCGGAACATTACAGGAGAATGTACATATGTAGGATGGTAGGTACCTAATCAAGAGTATACATGACGATGATGAGGTACAAAGTATTACGGGGAAATCTGATGTGGTTGATGTTTGTCCAACGTCCAAGGTTGTTTGCATCAGGGCATCGGGCGGATTCGAATCGCGACTCGAGACCACATGCGAGTACAAGTACCTGTACTTCGGGACAGCGCCTCTCACCTCTTCTTTGGCTCAGATCAGGTATCTAAACCCCAACTACGGATGATAACGCTTCTTCCAACCTCACCGGTGTTCGTTTGTTGATTCTTCTTCTTCTTTTTCTTCTTTATTTCCCAGCTTTATTTCACTCGCACGCAAGAAAACCAGCCACTGGACCCTCTCATCACCCGCCTAGACCCCAATCTCCCTTGCTATCCCCCCCCCCCTTGTTCAACGCCCGGACCCCTTCCGGCCGGGTCTGCCCAGGACTCCATTTCTCTCTCTCCATCCGTCTTCTCCTCTGGCTTTCCCGTCCCTTTTTCTTCCACTCTGATCAATCAAGCCGTCTTTGCGAATCAGGTTGTTTGCCGCCATCACATCACCGTGCAGCTAAATACCTGGACAGGTACCGTCGACCGACTCCATACATGCGCGTCTGCCGCTGCAACTAACGTATTAAGAGCTCCCCTGGAGGGTGCATCGTGTCTGAGGTGCATGTCAAGGGTCCGTATCCGTTACATCTTCTCCGTCTCTTAGTATCTATCTAGGTAGTTCATACCTGAGATACCTTACCATGTAACCACACAGTTGAAGTGCATCAATGCCGTTCTACCACCCCGAGATTTGAACATGATGCATCGGCATCGAGAAGAGCAGAGCAAACCGATCAAGTCGAGTCGAGGTAGCATCAGCATATTCTAGCCACTGTGGAAATACGCATGGGCTTGGACAAAAGCAGCAGCAGGTAATAATACTTGTACAAGCACACACGCCCAGAGTGGAGGATCAAATCAAATCAAAATCAATTGCATGTTAAACTTGAACTGTTAGCGCAACACCCCCTTGCTTCGGTTCTTGTCCTTCTACCAGCTCCCATGACTCTCTGTCCGCATCTTTCTCTCCGACTTTTGGGCCCTCCCTTTTGCTTGTTTGAAGCACATGCTCTTTCTGCTTCTTCCTAAATCATGTATTACTACATCATGAGAGATCACGGACACCCTTAATCGAATCATTCATTCGCTACGATCTGCATGCGTGGAAATCCCTTCGTCAAAGGCCCTTTTCCTGCCTCGCTCTCGGTCTACCAATCGGCCCAAGTGGCACGCCGTGGCTCGTGGGCTCTTTAAGGGAGGGGGGGCGTGAGCTCCATTTTGCGTCTTGTCGTTGATCCATTTGATATTAGCTCCTCGCTTCCATTATCACGGATTGGCTTTTTCTTCCGTATGTTTATCGACTTGCTTATTGGAAATCACACGAGCTACAAGACTCTTGTACGAGTACGCCTCTCGCGATGTTGAAAGCGGCAGCACAGAGTTGACCTGTGGTGTTGGACATTGATTATCTCTTTCCATATATCCGTACACCCCAGAGCAAGTGTGTGGCATCAACCCATGGATCCATCTACATACTGTTCCTCTCGTCATCCTATCGATTCTTTTATTCTTCGTTCTCCCCTTCTCTTTGCCTTGGCATGCAGATTCCATCACGGCAAAAAACAAAGAAGAAATCCTCCGTCCTCTTTGACGAAAAGCACGTGCAGTCTCAGGCAATGTCCGTCGTCCCAAAGCTTCATTGTCCTTCTGTGTCCGTGCCTCGCTGGAATGGGGGGATGCCGCGTTTTGGCCGACACGCAGTGGCCTAACCTCCTTGATGATGATGCTGCTCGTCGTGTTATTTCCGTCAATGACAGGTCCTGTGAAATTGACATCGGCCAAACAGGCAGGCCAGCCGTCATCTTCCAGGTCACGTTTGTGGCCAGCACAGACAGTTGCAGGCAAGTACATAATGAATGTAGCACTACGCGGACCGAGTGTGACTCTAGAGAGTTGCTCGCATTCTCTGTTTGGCATTGATTTGCGTCGATGGCATCAAATCAGGCTCGGGAGAGTCCAAGCCTACTGTTTCGCCAGGTAACCGGAATAGATGCGTAGACGAGAGGGAAATGAAAAAAAGAAACTGGTAGAATCAACGGTATACCTAGGTACGAATATCTCGATTGGCTGGCCTTGTGTCGTCGTGGTAGGTACTCGTACGCGCCTTCCATCTGCCCTGCGGTTCAGCCCTTGGTACACTTGGTACCTGAATCTATTAGGCACCTTCAAATGTTGCCTCTACACCATTCGATGTCCATCCTGCCACTCAGCTCAACTTCTCCCAAACACGATTGTCCGGCCTCGTCTGCTGGCTGCCTAATCCCATCATCCTTCGCTACCCAGCCCCTGGATGCGGTGCACTCAGCCTCCGGCAATCGAAAGCCCTTGTGTTTTTGACTCTTCTCTGGTAGGTACACCGATCTACAAGTGATACAAAGAACAACGCACAATGATGAAGAGACATGCTCCGGGAGAGACAACAAGAAAAAGGTCCGTCTTCAGTTGCGGCAACTTGAGCCGGCTCTTCTTCTTCTTCATCATCATCATCTTCTTCTTCTTCTACCGCTCACGTTGCAAATACTAGAACAATGTGCCTGTGCGACTGCTATCACAAGTACTACAAGGCTCAACCGCCCACGCCTGCTGGCCCTGCGCTGTTGAAAGGCGGCATCCCCTGGTCGTCAGTTGATGCCCAATGGTGGCCTCTGCTCCTCCCCGATGGCGCCATACGTCGTGGGCATTGAAGCCACAAGGAACCAAAGGTTCTTCAATGATCAACGGCGTGTCTCTCGTCTCTGCTGCCCCTGACGCAGTTCGTGCTACCCACTCCCACCCAAAGCCACTGCCTTCTTGTCACTAGCACCGCATGCAGCTTCAATCTGCAGCTTCAATCGCTCATGCTAATAATCGGCTGCTGCTACGCCAGACGAGTCCTAGTCCGACGACGCGGTGGAGGTGCAATTCCCTTGCGCACCCCTGCGCCAATCAAACTGGGCTCCAGTTTTGGCATCATGGGTCATTTCGACAGGCGCCCAGACCGTGTCAAAGGCCGATTCGATCCATCCATGAGCGGACAAGGACACACCCGTCCGTCTCTTGGGGGTGGAGGGGCCGTCAATCCCAAGTCTCGTTCGCCGCCATCCAGGTGCCCACGATCGCTTCAAGTTTGGCCATAGGCATGCGTGTGATATCTCTTACGGTGGGGGGTCTCACCGAGGCTGCAGTCGCCTCCAGTTGAAGTTGATGGATCAATGGACATGGACACCATCTGCATCCCGCCTCCAGGCCACACGACTCGACGCCGGCTCTAATACTATTGCCGCCGACTTCAGGCAGAGGCCCGCGGCTGGGGAAGCACAGCAGCGCGACTGACATGATGTTATGCAGCCTCGCGCGGACTTTTGCAGGTGGCGATTGGGCATCAGACACCAGACGCTTGAGCTCCAGCTGCAAGTCCTCGTACAACTTACGTGGGTACATGAACCCTCATGCAGGTCGTCGAGGTGGGCGGGCGGCAAGGCGACCTGCAGCCGGACTGCGTACATACATGACATGCAGCCAGCGGCTGGCCCTCAGTTCTTGGCTGGCGCCAACGGGGCTGGCGACAGATCAAACGCCGCTGCCTGATTTGGTACACTTTCATATCTGTCGAAATGTCCACTGAGTTGGTGATGTCTGGTGGTTGGATGCCATGGCCACGACTACTTCACATATTAGCCACTGCTGAGCCCCCGACTCACCCAGAATCAACGGTTCCGCCATGCCACGCCGCCCGTTGCGACGATGCTACTGCCTGCTAGTATCCGGACTATTGCTCCAGAGTGAGGCCGCGATTGGAGCTTGGTGCATCCCGACGCGCGCGCACACGCAAGGCGCACCAGCGAGTCAGGCTTCGGTTTTTGTTGCTTGATATCGAACCGACTGCAACACCATATGCTGTCTATCTCTGTCTCTGCGACTGTCTCGGAGCCGCTCCCTGTCCGTCGAATCGTGAGCGAGTCGTGATGCCGCCTTGCTTATTTTCGGTCCGGGCACCGAGACCTTGGACCCAGTCAGTCGGTCAGTTAATCCCTCCGCCAGTCAGTCACAGTTGGTCTGCCTCTCCGTTTGCCTGTTTGTTGCCCGCCTTGCCGTCTGCTCTGTCAAGACGATCCCGTCGCAGGTGGATCGCAACTTTGGAAGCCAATTCTTCGTTACGGCACGACCCCTGGACGCAATCCGGGCCTTGGACGTCATCAGCAATTTGCGCCGACCCGGCATCTGGGGTAACCTTTTCTCACCTCTCTCTCGGGGGATTTTTGTCCTTATCTTTCTTTCTCTTTCCCCTCTTGCTGTTCTGCTCCTTGTCGGCCGAGTCTGTCAAGCGATCATCCGTCGCTTATCCCTCTCCCTTTCCGTCGACTTCTCTCCCCCTCCCCTGTCGGTCCTTGCCTTTGCTGTCCATCATCAGCATGCTTCATCTCATGTCTTACAACTGGGCTGGATCGCAATCCTTGGCGAATTTTTCACTTGGACACTTGACCTATCGCTTCTCAAGTCTCATCTCCAGCAGATGACAATTGAATCTATCGGACATGAACAAGGCGAAATGAAGCGTTGGCCAAGCACGAAGCTCCATTTCGTACCACTCTATCGGCCTTCTAGAATGATTGCTCTCCACAACCGACGCCTCCACACACACCCGTTCCCGCTAACCTCTTCATCTCCCCTCCCGGTTGACCATTTGCTCCTTGTCCCCCTTTTACTCCTACAGTATTACATGCACATCGCCCTTTGCCGGACCCTCGTCTGGTCATCATGTGTTTGTACAGGGTACGAGCTTAGACTCGACTTGCAACTGCACAGGCACACGCATCTTTGTAGCCTGACAGAACGTCATCAACAAGTTCACCTCCCTGCAATACAGGGTACAGGAGACGGGCTTGGTGTGTACTATGTACTAGTACTACTAGGTATGATCGGAGACGTTCATCGCCATGGTGTGTTTCCGATGATGCACCTGAATCGTTACTCTTGCCGGGGCCTCCCCCTTGCCCGCACCAAACTTCAGTCGATTGCTTCGTTCTGATTTTCGAACTTGTACAAGTGAGCTTGGCCTTGGAACTGCAAGATTGGCGAATTTCGCTGGGCCACCATGAATCTTACAAAGTATGATCATTCAGTAGGTAGGTATGAGTTGAATGCTACGTGGTATTGCTACCGTTTCCTTTTCCGCTATCACTCATGCTCAGCACACAGATATTGGATGTCGCTTCTCCTCTAGTCCGCACTCACAATACATTGATTTTGATGCGTCTTCCTCTGTCTAGCGCGTCGTCGTGGCCACGGCATCCAGTCTCGAAGTCGAACCTAAAAAGGCCATCTAGGTTGGGATTTACGATGAACTTCGATGCCAGCATGCCCGTAATCCGTGAGCTCATCATCGGCTTCCACCATCATCTGCCGGACAGGGATGAGCTCGAAAGGGGAGGAGAAGGAACCAGGCCAGATTCCAAGTCCAGTCAAGCTGACGACATGCCACTCTGGGAGCCACGATGCTACGCAGGATGGAAACTGACTTGCTTGATGCAGCATGTACCTGTAGCGGCTCGTCGATACCTACCCATCTTGTTTCTCGCGGGCTCGTTGGTCAGCCCCAAGGAACCAACGTTGGCAGAAAGGCGGAGATGGTACAGACAGACAGACGTGGAAGAGACCAGTCAGTCAGGCAACTGGTTCCTCCTTCATCCAAGGTACATGCCACTTTGGAGCGACTATCGTATACAGACAGACATTATCATCTGCAATGCTTCGGTCAACATGCAGCTTTGAAACCAGGAATGACGCGGCAACCCAAGCCTCTCCAATGACCGTCCTCCAAGTCACAGACATGTCTTGCCCGGCACACAGCCGTAGATCAAGAACGTTAGTAGCACATGAGCACGAGCTAGCTAAAACGCAGCACCAGGCTGGATCGCGGGCTCACAGCGTTTACTACTTACTTGCACACCTGCAGATTCAGATTTCCACTACAGAGTCACGTTTCCGCGATCATGGATACTACTACCTACCTAGGTAGATACGCATACTACCTACCTTTACAGCACACAAGCACTTTGGTATTACCGTGCATCTCCCGTCTTTGCACGCCCCCCCTTTTCTCGCATGAAGTAGGTAGATGGTTTCAAGCACTGTCTCTTTGGGGGTTTTACAACGGGCTTCGGGTCTACTACTATATGCTTTTGTTCTATTGTCTGCAACGGACTGACTGAGACATCCGAACGTTTACTCGGATAGTCCGAGCCGAAACCGGCAGCAAATAATGCAGTCCGTGATGACGAGAAGTCATGGTCTGTGACGTTGAGTTGAAAGATGCTCTTCAGTGCCTTGTCTTGCCATACCTGGCCTCTAGGGTCCAAGGTGAGGTAAGTCTTAAGCAGGTTCGTAGATGCAAGTAACAGAGGAAAACAAAAAGTTCGCTCGCTTCGGTTAAAGCTACAGACGAGGACAGACGAAAGAAACAAAACGTGATACTGCATCCGAAAAGGGCGCGGTCCGACAAGTGGCGAGGCGAAAAGACGGCCGTAGAGCTTACGCTACCCCTTCAGCGACTTCCAAGTCGAAGCGAACAGCAACAAGTCAAAGTAATAGGCAGGCAATCAGGAGACAGTGACATTTGCTGTGTAGAGAGCTCTAATGTGTATATATACTAAGGTACCCAAGGCGTGCAAGTACAAGTACAGTATGTACACTGCGAGTTAGCCGTGTGAGCAGTGGACCGTCTAGAGTTTCTTGTCGGCCGGCTCGTCGAGTTCGTCTTCTTTGGAGACGCGTTTGCCTTGGACTGCTGCTTCGACTTCTGCGACGAGACTTTCGAGATACTCCTTGTCCCTATACAACAGACAGACGTTAGCCAAGACCCCGTCCAATGAATGAATATGAAGAAAGGGATAGGTTCAAGGGGCCGTAATAGGATCGAAGTGAATATTTACCTTCCAACCAGCGTTACAGTGTTGCGCTTCCTGCCCCATCGCGGATAGCTCCCTACTTTGACGCCGTGCGGCTCGACCTTGGCGGCCAGCTCGGTGAGGAACTCTGCCACGGCGCTTTCGGGCAGGGGCGTCGAAATCATGATTCGATGGGTTCCTTTGCCTTCGGGGTCGACGAGGCGGGGGAGGATGTGAGGCTTCAGTCCATCGAGCAGCTTTTGGACTATGCAATGATGGTAGAGAGGACAGACACAAATTGTTAGCCTTGGGCTTTCTATGCGAGTGTTAAAGCAAGCTTGGTGATGTATTCGACTCACAGAGCAGCGGGACTCCGGGCAGGATATGCACATTCCTGTTCACAACCGATACAGGAACCCACATGTCTTCTTGCGGGAAGATGAACTGCTCGCTTAGAGGGCGAGACTCGTCCGTCGGGAGGTAGACCATGCGCAGCCTGGCCCTGAGAGCCGGTGAATCGACGTCCCAGTCAAAGTTGGGCTGCTTGGGGTGCGGCTTGGAGAGCTTCTTCATCTTGTCGTAGGCCTCCTGGTGGAGCTTCAGGGGTAGTCCGAAGGCTTTGGCGATGGACTGGTAGGTGATGTCGTCGTGTCTGTGAGGTTTGAGGACGTTTGTGAGAATGTTTAAAAGGAGCTACGGATTGGAGAGAAGGGGTTTTTTTTTTTGTCTCTTACGTTGGGCCGATGCCTCCGCTATTATAGGTTGAGTTCATGGCGGTTAGTTAAGGGGATAGAGCCGATTTGGATATTCATGAGCTCACCTGGTGACGACAAAGTCGTAGCGGTTGCTCATGCGTTTGACAGCCTCCATGATTTCACTCTCGTCGTCTTCGATGACTTCGATCCGTTTCAAGCCCTGTGACGGAAAAAAGAAGGTTAAATCATTTGGGTATTCAGAGAGAGTCACGGATATCGATGGGAGACTGCAAACTCACGATGCCCAGGGAGAAGCACCATTTTGCCAGGTACGCCGAATTCGTCTGCGAAAGCGTCAACTCAGGACCTCCTCTCCATCTCATGCCTCCCCAAAAGACTTCAAGCCCATGTACTGACATCAACAGTCTGTTTCGAAGCCGTTAGCTTTTGCCCTCTGGCCAACTATGTAGTAGGATTCACGCCGTAAAAACACACCTTGCCGCCTAGCACTTCATCGCCAATAATCAGGCACGCCGCCGTCTGGATGAGGCGGTCCCCGGCAGCTGACATTTTCAGGTACGAAGCGGCCGGACGAACGCGGGATTGGGAGATGAAGGAGTGAGATGCGGCGGTGGGTAAGCGATGACTTGCGGCCTTGGATAGCCGTGAGAACATGGATAATAGAGGTGGGGGGAGAGCCGATTAGATGGAGGGCGTGCTTGAAATATTCTAGTCTTTCTTATCAGTCTTTCTGCAAGTGATTGATGATTTCTCGTCAATGTCAACTTTGTTGAAGAGTAATTGATGCCTCAAGCCTGTGATTATGAAGGGGGAAAACCAGCATCCAAAGCCGGTTCTCAAACTCGCAATTCGAGCAAGAAAGGCATCAAAGACGGCCCGTGACGCCATTGATCCGCGAGCGAGGCCGGCGATTGATTTGGTTGAGAGGTGGGGGGGTTTTTTTGGTTAGTGGTTTAGCGGGGACCCGGAAGAGGGGAGCTCCAAGGTACTTACTCGTACAGTGGTCTAAGTACCTAAAGCAATATTAGGGTCCAAATCATGGGATGACCTCTTGCTGATACCAGCATCACGTCAAGGTCCAGCATTTAGCTGTCTGCATCCTTAACAGTCTCTTGGAGCTATATCGCAGCCCAGTTCTTTTCAATACTGCCTTGTGACACTATATATTCTCTCCGTCACCAGCTTCATACCACCACAGCCATGGCAAGTCACTCCCTCAGAACCCCGCCATCATGATACGATCCGACGATGCCCCTCGACCCTGACCAAGTCCCTGACCCAAGCCCATGTATGTTGTTGGTATGAGTGCTAACTCGCGGCTGGTGGCGACAAACAGGCTTCCGAATCAAGGCTCTACAACATCTCCGGCGAGACCAAGGAGCACCTGCGCAAGTTCCGGCTGACGACGTCCCGCGCCAGCAAGCCGCAAGCAGTCATCTGTATGTACGTCCAAGGCCGCGGCTATCACGACACGGCTCGACACGACACGACAAACACGTTGCTCGAACTCGATTCCAATGCTAATCACTGGCACTTGCCTGACGGAACAGACCTGATCGATAAGACGACCCACGAGATTCACCAGGATCAAGACAAGACCACGTACACCTCCCTCGACGAGATAGCCGAAGACCTGCCCGACCATGCCCCCCGATTCATCCTCCTCAGCTATCCCCTGACAATGGTAAGCCGATAGTTTCATTTCCTTTAAACCTACCCACCTTGTCTCTATACAGACATGCAGCATATCAGACTGGCTTACATGACATATAGCCCGACGGACGGTTATCGGTGCCCTACGTGCTGCTCTACTACCTCCCCATCACGACAAACGCCGAAACGAGAATGCTCTACGCCGGCGCAAAGGAGCTGATACGCAACACGGCCGAGGTCAACAAGGTCATTGATATAGAGTCGGCGGAGGATCTAGAGGACATTCCCAAGCAGCTGGCCACGGAGAAATACTAGGACCTGCGGAAATGGGGAGGAAGACGCTGTTGCTTTGGCTATGTCCATCCATCATGTTATATCCAATCATTTGACTAGATCTGTTCTATATACATGTACATTTTCGTTGTTTCCGCTATGATACACTATTCTGGCAGCACACTCTCCTCGTCCAAGCCCAGCTGCCGCCCTACATTCCTCACCACCTGCTTAAACGCAACGCAAGCCGGACTATCAGGGAACGAATCAAAGAAACTCTCCCCGTAATCACACGCCATCCGTATCCTCGGATCCAAGGGCACCGACCCCAGGAACGGAATCCCCATCTCCTCCGCCAGCGCCCTCCCGCCCCCCGTGCTCGCCCTGAAGATTTGGCTCTCGCCCTTGCAGTTGGGGCACACGAACGCGCTCATGTTCTCCGCCAGCCCCAGGATCCGGATGCCCGCCTTGCGGCAAAAGTCGATTTCCTTGCGCACGTCCAGCAGCGCCACCTCCTGCGGCGTCGTCACCACCACCGCGCCGTCGATGCCGCTCTCCTTGAGGAACGAGTTGACGCTCAGGTGCTCGTCGCTCGTCCCCGGCGGCGTGTCCACCAGCAGGAAATCCAGCTCACCCCACTCCACGTCCTTGAGGAACTGCTTGATCAGCCCGTTCTTCTTCGGGCCCCTCCAGATGATGGCCGCGTCTCGGTCCGGCAGCATGAATTGGATCGACATGACGGCCAGGTTCTCCGTCACCCACACCGGCGACATGCCCGTGGCGCTGACGTGGATCGTCTCGTCCTCCACGCCCAGCATCTTGGCCGTGCTGGGCCCCGTGATGTCGGCATCCATGACGCCCACCGTGCTATCCGGGTTCGTTGAAAAGGCGTGCGCCAGCAGGTTTGTGAATGTGCTCTTCCCTACGCCACCCTTTCCGCTCAACACGAGTATCTTGTGCTTGACATTCTCTAACCGCGCCGTGATGATTGGGATGTCTGGGTCGGGGCCCTTGGGGGCAGATGCGCAGATGGCCTGGTTGGGACAGCCCTCGCATGAGGACGCCGTGCCGGCTCGCTCGGACTCGGGGCCGGGGCAGTGTTCCGGCTCGGGAGCGACCAGCTGGGGCTTCTGTTTGAGGGGGTTGGCGATGACATCGGCGACGGCCTCTGGCTCTTCTAATGAAGGCGCCATTGCGGCGGTTGTGTGAGTTCCAGGACGCAGTGACGGCTCCTTGTGGCTACGGCGATTGGAATGACTGCCTGTGTCTTTCTTCCAGGTTCTAGAGAGAAAATAGAGTAACAGGATTGGACTGTGGCACGAGGATTGCAAGATGTTGTGTAGAGAAAAAGAGTTGATGTATTTCGGTCGGAAGTGGTAGAGGTGAGTGGCTAAGGCTTAATAATGGGAGTTACACCAGTGGAAAGCTAGAGTTGGTAAGCCATCATGCCCGAGATCGGGATATTTTCCAAGGGTACCAACTACTAATAGCACATAGATTTTTAGAACTTAATGAACGATACGGACACTTGAAGAGAGACGATCCAATATTCTATTTGCATTGAACAACAAATGTCTGAAGAGATTGTTAAAGGAATAAGCCTGCCCGCATTTCCTAGCAAATTGATACAGGGTAAGTGATGATTAGAAAGGCAGGGGAAAAAAAAGACAAAAAAGAAGAATCTAGGTTCCAGAGGGAGTCGAACCCTCGCTGGCGGAATCAGAATCCGCAGTCATAACCGTTAGACCATGGAACCGCTGAAGTGGTTATCCACTTCTCATGGCATGCCCAGTGAGCTGCATTTGAGCCTTATAAAGGATACCACATCAAGATTTTTTTTTTTCCAATCATTCGCCCCAATCCTCTTTTTGCATCTGATAAGAGAAATTCGAGACTGTCACCCCACCACCCCACCTAAATTTTCGTTCCTTGATAGAGTGCGTGCAACTCGGCTCGGTCTCCGTTGACTTTATTTCGAGATACCCTCAAGTTTTGCATATAGACACAACAAGACAAAGAAAAAAACCATTCAAAATGGCTAGCACCACTATTGCGAGCCTCAGACAGAGCCTCTGCTCAGAGGAAACGCCCCTCCCCGTCCGCTTCCGCGCCCTCTTCTCCCTCAAGCATGTCGCAAAGACGTCCGACGCCGACGAGGCCCTCGCGGCCATCGAAGCCATTGCCGCTGCGTTCGCTTCACCGTCTGCGCTTCTGAAGCACGAAGTTGCGTACTGCCTGGGGCAGACTGGGAACGACGCAGCTATTGCACCTCTGCGAGATGTCTTGTCAGATCTGAAGGAGGACCCCATGTGCAGACACGAGGCCGCCGAGGCTCTGGGTGCCCTGGGCAAGGCCTCCAGCTTGGATCTTCTACGGCAGTTTAGGGATCGTGCTGGAGAGGAGGTTGTCGTCAAGGAGACGTGCGAAATTGCCATTGACCGCATTGAGTGGGAAAACTCTGAGGCAAGGAAGCAGGAGAAGCTGCGTCAGAGGTACCTATTCTATACCATTTTATTCCCAATGTCCGGTTCAAATTCGCTAATGCTATAATCCAGCGACTTTGCTTCAGTCGACCCGGCGCCCCCCATGCCCGAGTCCGAACAGTCGGTTGAAGAACTCGAGCGAGTGCTGCTGGACGCCAACCAGCCGCTCTTCATGCGATACCGTGCCATGTTTGCCCTCCGCGATCTTGCATCTCCTCCAGACCTCCCGACCGCTGTCCCTGCCGTCCACGCCCTTGCCAAGGGCTTCGCCGATTCCTCAGCACTCTTCCGCCACGAGATTGCCTTTGTCTTTGGCCAGCTCTCACATCCCGCGTCTATTCCCGCCCTCACTGAGGCTCTGAGCAATCAGGAAGAGGCTAGCATGGTGCGCCACGAAGCCGCCGAGGCGCTGGGTAGTCTCGGAGACGAGGAGGGTGTCGAGGATATCCTTAAGCGCTTCCTTCACGACAAGGAGCAGGTTGTTCGCGAGAGCGTTATTGTGGCGTTGGACATGGCCGAGTATGAGAGGGGCGGCGAGACGGAGTATGCGCTCATCCCAGAGGTGGCCGGCGCCTCTGCATAAAGGAAAGGAAGGAATAGAAGAAGAGAAAAAAATTTCCCCGTTACTGATTCGTAGAATTTCCCACATAGAGAGATATGCAGAGCCTTAATTGTTTTCGTGCCAGCTGTTACCACACTCGCAATTGTAGATGACAGTTGATCCTTCGTCGGCACTTCGCAGTTGCACCGTGGTGTACTTGACTTCTTCTCGGCCGCAGTTGGGGCATCGCTCGCGAACGGTGCTCTCGGTGTTGAGCGTGTGACGCTCCACGGCTTGGACGCTGGACTGGAGCTTCTGGCGCAGGAAAGAAGGAAAATCCGACGGCTTCGACTGTGTCACGATGATCTTGGCGCCGGTATCTGAGGATCTCATTCGTTAATTCCTCCCTTCTCGTGCGTGTTAAAAAACGTCCAATCCTCTCAAACCTTTGTTCTCGGCGCTGCAGCACTCGCAGCTCAACACATTCTGCTCGGTTCCCTTGGTCGCCGGAAGTAGATTTCCGCAGTCGGTGCAGAAGACCATGGACCCAATGGCAGCCATCTTGTCAATAATTGTTTTTTCTTGTTCTTCCAAGGATCTTCTCAAGCCAAATTGCCAGCGCAGAGCCTAATGACGAATTTTCTACGTGGGAGCGCTGAATGGAGGGATTCGCGTGGAACCAGCTGTACAAAAATTGTCATGCAAGACAACTGGCAAAAGATCTTGCAGGACCACTGACAGGGGCCTGCTAATCCGGAATAACTGATAAGGCAAGGTACCGCGCGCCGGAAGCGCGCCTGATTGGCCGCGGCCGGCCCGCACGGGCCATTGGATGTCTTTTGCGCTGACGAGATTGGTCCAGCGAGGCTGTCGGGATTCTCCAGGCTGGTGATGCGCGCGAGTCCAGGATTCGACGAAACCAGAACATCGTACCCAACCGGCAGCATCTTGGGCATGCATCGAGGCCACGCTTGAGCTGCTGTTCATGCCTTGTTAATTTCGACCCTCCCGTCGCCCTCGACGCCACCGGCCGCCGCTCCGGCGCTCAATTCCTCCCTCCCTCCGTCGGCCGGCCCTTCAAAAAGCTGCACCTCTGCCCGTCCAATCCCTCCCATGACACGCTGAGGAGCCTCTGCTGCGCCTGTAGCTCCCGTGTCGACGATGCGTCCGTGGTGAGGTCTCGTCAGCATCCAGACTCTGGCAGACATGCAGCCGAACAACATGCAACGCTCCGACGAGGGCGGCAGTGCCAACCACAGCGCGGCCGCTCCTCAGAACGCGATCTCGCGACCATTTACGCTGCAGGAATCTCTGCCGTACTCTCCACAAACCTCAACCGTGCCGTTTGTTTCTGGTGAGCCACCACCGTGTCCCTGCTTGATATTTCCACCCATTTCTGCTTCCTACCTACCTCTATATTTGCTTCATCATCTCCATCTTGGAGCTTACGGCCGTCCTCTATATGCTGGGAAGCTACTCACACTGCTCCTTCCTCCAGAAATCATCCCCGACCCTAGCCTGGGTTTCGGCTCGCCCGCTCCTTCCATCTCAGATCTCTTTCCACATAGCGAATACGAGCGACTGAACAAAGAGGCTCTCGGCCAGCCTCACCTTCCACGAAGCACCAAGCAAGCCGTTGACCTCGTCCTGCACGAAATCAAGCCTTCTCAGAGGACCCATTAGTATGTCTGAAGCTCTCGTTCAGGAGGTGCAGTTGCTAACATCTTGCGTAGCAACTTCAAGTCCGTACTGGCAGGGCAGCCGAACCCGCGGTCTGCTAGCCTCTCGCAGGGCCTGTCTCCCATTGCGCGGGTCGTCTATGAGAAGGTCGGGGGCTACTTCAAGGCGACCAAACCGAATGTTGCGGGCCCTCACGCTGCTGGCGTTAACGGCGACAAGAGCCACACACTCGCAGCGGACATGGCGGTGCCAAGCAGTGCGCCCGAGAACCCTGGAGCTCCTACAGATGGCCAAGCGAAATCCAAGGCTCGTGGGTCAAGGATTGAGGTCCTGATTCCGGCCAGAAGAGGCTTTGACCCGTCAACTTATGTCGATGCCACTGCCTCTTCCAACGTCCAGGCTTCCCCTGAATCGCCGGTGCAGAAAGCACTACCAACCGTGCCCACCACCCTGGATGATAAGCAGACTAATGCTGACTTTGCATCCTCCGATGCAAACAACGTCAACTATAACCATGCCTCCTTCCGAGTCGAGCTTCCTTCGTCGCATATCAAGAAGGACGAGTATCTGGAATTTGCACATGTGCCGTCTGCCCCCGATAACCTTTCTTCCCGCAAAGATGATCGGCACGCAGCTCCAGACGGCCAAGGCCTCGTTAGCAATGTCAGCCTTGGCCAACAGCAGCGAGCAGAAACCGCCCTTGAGTCGATCAACACCCTTATGCGGAGTGTCTTCGCGGCGGTTGGACATGCCATTGCTATGGAACCGGGACATGACCAAGTCGTGACGCTGAACAATCACAACGAGGTCATCATGAACGGCGGAATGCACCAGAAGCTACAGAGCGCCATGCAGAAGGCCATCTCACTCAAATGTTTTCACAGAGTCCCTATTGAGGACCTCCTCCACATCATGAAGTTGAGCGATAACAGCGTCCGGGCGGCTGAAGCATTGGAACTTCGGGTTGACGAAACCTGGGATGAAGCCAGCCTTGAATCTTGGGTTCAACAGCTACCAGATGTTGAGCTGGGCATGAAAGCTGCGCGTACATGCCTGCGGATCTTGTCCGGAGGCCGAGAGGATAAGCGGCTCTACGCAGAAGGCGCCATGACCAGATGCTTCAACGTCTTCAAGACCGTCACCGAAGACATCATAATCCCTCTTGTTGAGCTTCGCAACTCGTCCTCTTCGGCAAGCCTATTCCGGATGATGGTCAAGCACAAAAAGGCCTTGTCATCTACTTTCGTCTGCTGTCAACGGCTGTTCGCCACCCTTGCGGAGTTGATCACGAAAGTTGAACTTTCGGAGAGCGTTCTGAATGCTCTAGAGTACACCGCGTCCAAGCTGGTGTTCGTCGAGAACGCCTATTTTGAGAAGGATTCGGTGGTCGGGGTGCAGCGATTTGATGGTATCCGCAGTGTTGCTATGGACATGCTCTGCCAAATCTTCCTCATCAAGCCCGATCAGCGACAGGGCATCATTGACGATATTCTTACGTCCCTTGAGAAGCTTCCCGTGGGCAAACAGAGCTCCAGGCACTTCAAGCTAGCCGACGGCGGCAATATTCAGCCAGTGTCTGCACTCCTCATGCGATTGGTCCAGGCCAGCTCTGGAAGGGTTCAGGAGAACGAGGGACGTCGCACTGCTGCACTCCGTGGCCTCGGCGATGAGGATGATGAGATGGAAGAGGATGCCGATAGCGAGGATGAGCTCCCTGACAAGACGACCAAGAAGGAAATGTTATCCTCTGTTAACAGCGAGGAACAAGGCGCGCAGCAGCACGCCGTCGCCATCCAAGAGCTGGAGGCGGCTGCTGATCCTCTCAGCGAAAGCGCGGCGCGAAACGCTTCGTACATCATCAACTACATAGTGAAGCGAGCAATTGGATCGACCAAGTCAGGCGACACCCCGTACCGAAACCTCTTGGATCTCTTCGTCGAGGACTTCACCACATGCCTCGACTCTCCAGACTGGCCGTCGGCGGAGCTGCTCTTGCGCCTCCTCATGTTGATGATGGTCCAGCTCTTTGAGGCGCCCAGGACAGCCGCGCCCGCCAAGAACATGGCTCTCGAGATGCTCGGTCACATGAGCGCGGCCATATCGCGTCTGCGGTCCCACGTCAAGCGGACTGCCAACTTGTTCGAGGTTAGCAACGTCGACGAGCTGTCACGATATCTGGCTGCCCTGGCGTGCCACGTTCTTGAGCAAAAGAGCCCCATTGAGCACATTGTTGCCTGGGACGGACCTTATCGAGCGACGCTGGAGTTCCTGCAGGCTCGATTGTCAGACGACCCTTATCTATTCAGCGCCGTGTCGTACCTCATCACTGACTGGGCCACCCGGGTGCACACGGGATACGATGCCATTCAGGACAATGACGCTGAAAGAGACCAGGAACTGGGCCGCCTCGCCTACCGCCTTCGAATGATGATCCAGGATCGCCGGTGGCTTTCGAACGAGTACACGTTCAAAGCTGTGAGCGCGACTCAAGCCAAGCTTTCGTACTCCATTCTCCTGCTGCAGTCTCCGCTCTTTGAATCCTTCAACAAGATCCTCAACATTCTCCTTGGCTCCATGGCAAGTGATCAAGCAACAGTACGCAGCAAGAGCTTGAAGAGCATCAATCAAGTTCTGGAGACGGATCCCTCTATCCTGGATGGCGATTCCATGGTGATCCAGCTTATCCTAGACTGCTCGAGCGACTCGTCTACGCAAGTGAGAGACTCTGCTCTTGGCCTTTTGGGAAGCTGCATCGCGCTTCGGCCTGTTTTGGAAGCGCCATTGACGCCCAAAGTCATTGACCGCTTTCAAGATGCTGGCGTGGGTGTCAGAAAGCGAGCCATGAAGCTCGCCCGCGACATTTACCTCCGCAATCACGACAACGGACTTCGCAGCTCTATAGCAAATGGCCTGCTCCGACGTGTCCAAGATCCTGATGATGGCGTTCGCGACCTCGCTCGCCAGATGATTGAAGAGGTCTGGTTCGCGCCTTTCTACGGCCGTGACAATTCAGCCGCTTTTCAGACCTCCTTAGCTGAGCATGTGGCTCTGATCATTCAGACAGTCAAGACAGGCAACGTGACGGAAATTCTAGACAAGGTGTTCCAGTCTATTCTCCGACCAAAGGACAAGTCGCTAGAGGGCCCATTTTCTGTTTGCTCACAGCTGGTGAGCAGCATGTTTAGCCTCATCGACAGCGGAGAATCGGAAGAAGGAGGCCCGACTGGCCGTGATGCCCTGCAAGTGCTCACGATCTTTGCAAAGGCCGATCCCAAGTTGTTCAGTCTCGAACAGATTAGACTTCTGAAACCCCATCTCGCAAGCTTCAGCGGCATCGACGAACTGGCAGCTTTTCGAGCAGTGACGGTGATTTACAAACGCGTCCTGCCTCAGCTGCCGACGGTGCCCAATGAGTTTCTGGTGGAAATTCGCCTGCAACTTCTCAAGGGTATCGGGAAAATTGCTTCGCGCGGTGCTTTGGACGACCTAATTGCATGCACAAAGGTTGTCTGCGATTTGCTCAACGACTTTGGACCATTGGCCAATCTGGTCGCTTCAGGCATACTTGGCATTCAGAAGCTGAGGGCTGGAGGTGCATTGCTGGACAGCAAGAAGATCAATTTCTTTTCGGCCTATTCCATCATCGTGGGCAACGTTGGCAAGCACTGCGACCTGGATAAGCAGAAATCAGTGTTCCGGGCTCGTCTTCCCAAATGGGAGGGAGATTCGGTTCCCCGGCTCATTGTAGATGTGCTCTCGCCATTCACCTCGCCTTCCCAGCCGCTGGAGGCACGAAAGGCGGCTCTTGATGCAATTGGTATGGTTTGTCAGTCGTGGCCACGAAATTACGTCCTGGCTCAAGTCTACACGGCCTTTCAGCAGGTCTTCCAAGAACAGGTTCCCATGCTTGAATCCATGATCTTGAAGTCGTTCAAGGAATTTTTGCTCACAGAAGAGAGCCGATCTGAGCAGGGAGCCGAATCCGGGGCGACTGATAAGAAACGGGAGCTCACGGTCATGGGCGGCACTAACTTTGACGACGTGGCCAGCGCTACTACCCAGAGGTTCCTCAAGGACATTACACGCATCGCTCTGGGAAGCCTAGACGAGCACGCCTTTCTGGCAATGGAAGTTCTGGGAAGCATCAACCGCCAAGGCCTGACACATCCCAAGGAGACGGGAGTGACGCTGATGACGCTGGAGACGTCGTCAAACCGAAAGATTGCCGAGCTCGCCTTTCTAGAGCATCGGTCACTCCACGAGAAGCACGAGTCGGTGCTCGAGCGCGAATACGTCAAGGCTATCCAGTCGGCATACAACTACCAGCGAGACATTGTCAAGGACTCTCACGGAGCCATCCCCGAAGTGTTCCAGCCCAAGTTGCACCTCATGATGGAGGTGTTGAAGATCAGCAAGATGAAGAACAGGCAGCGCTTTTTGGAGAAGCTCTGTGGACAGATCGACTTTGACATTGCGCAGCTTGACGCAACGGAAGAGATGCCCCCGCATCTCGACTACTCCCGATTCATCATTGAGAACATGGCCTTTTTCGAGTATCAGACGGTTGGAGAGCTCCAGACAGTTGTGAGCATGATGGAGAAGATTGTGAGCACAACCGGCGCGACCCTCGCTCACCTCATCGAATTGGAGGTCTTTGACGTGCGGCTCGACCCGGACAAAACGGAACAAGATGAGGTTACGGGTCAGCTCATGACGGAGACGACTGAAGCGCAGGCGGTTGCGGAGGGAGATATCCTTCTCGGCGTCAAGGTAGACCCGGGCCGACTGCGTCAGTTGACAACGGGCGCCGTCATCCTCTCTTGTCTGTGGGAAGCCCGTACGCATCTTCGGCGCCTGTATGGCATGGGAACGGGCCGACACGACGGCAAGGCCAAGGCACTCGCCAAAGATCTCAACAAGATGCCGATGAAGGTGCAAGGAGTTCATGGAGAGCGATTCTGGGACGAGGTGACCGCGCACGTGGGCAGCCTGGAGACTATGAGCAAGATGGCACACAAGTGTAAGGCCTTCGTGGAGCTGATGAACGTCGACAAGGAGCTCAAGGTGCAGGACGACGATGAGGAGATGGCCATGGACGGGCCAAGTACGCCTAGCGAAGGCGATGCTGACCGTGCAACACCCGAACGGGGTCGCAAGAGGAAAGGCGCAGGCACTCCCGGAGGCCGCAAGAAGCGCGCTCGCTCGGGATCTCAGCCACGCAAACGGGGTCGGCCACGCAAAGCGGCGGAGCCACGCGATGAAGATGATGATATGGATTGGATCTAGAGAGCCCAGGACGGGTTTCGATCTGGGTCGATCTGGTACCTACGTTGCTTGATTTCTCTTTATCGCATCACATTTCCTTTTTTCATTTTTTCCCCTTTGTTTGTTGTTCTTTGATCTTAGCGGCACATACGGCGCCAAACGGTTTTTGTTCCTCTTTAAACACTACTTGCTCCCTGTTGCTTCGATGCGGGAGCGGCAGTGGGCGCGGCTGGTCAAACGATCGCTTCTGTACCGTCTGACGGCGGATAAAGCAGGCTGGGGGCGTGCATTTTGCTCAGCATATAGGAAAGGCTACGGATGGAACGCATTTGATGGCAGATACGGCGTTTACAGGAAGGACACGATTCAAGGGCATTTTCGATGATACCTGCTAGGTCGATTCACCTAGGTACGATAGAGTACTCGGGTAGTTTCCTTGCCTCAAAGACTTGAAAGGCATCAAGAAGGAAACCAGTAGAATCTTGGTAGTACTAGTATTGACGATGTATTACCGATTGCAGATGACGTCTTGTGCGACTTGTGAGCTGGTGTTTGGGACGCGGCTGCTGTGCTCCTACGTGCTGTCATGCTGTGTCTCCCATGGGCATCTGACTCGTAGCGTCGGGAGGATCTTGTTGGCGCCTGACATGACAGGGCATCTATGAAGCTCGAGTCTGGCATGATTTAGGTCGTTGCATGAATTTGGGATTCGGGTAGAAAAGGTGCTAGGGTAGGTAAGGTAGTTTGTTTGGACAGCGTGGACTGTGATGGCGCGAAGTAGCTGCATGACTTTGAAAGCAAACATGCGAGAAGGAATACGACTGCTAATACTACCCAAGGTAGTAAGTAGTATGTGTGGCGGAACGGGATTGGATGGGGGATGTCTAGCCAAAGAGGCCCTTTTGTCTTAGGGCGTTGAGGAGTAGTAATGGGGTTGTTTATGGAGAGGAAGGGAAGGGGACCTGGCGATGCTGACGAGAGATTTGGGTGAAGAAGATTGGTTCTTTTGCCTGTTTTGATGCGCAGACATACATACATACATACATACATATATATATGTATATATATATAAACTGACATTCGAGGTAAGGTACGGATGGGCTTCTAGATGGCGTTTGCCAAGGCTGTGCGGGAGTCGTTTTCTCTCTTGGTGTCGCCTTGCCAAGCAGAGAGAGATATGCAAGGTAAGACGCAGCGATTGGGGAATTTGGAATCCACGTGAGGAACACGGCGAAGAGGGACTGCGCCCGCATCTTAGGTCCAAACAGGACTCCAATGGACATGCCCAAAAAAGCTGCAAGTTTTTTTTTTTTTTCTTTTACTAACAAAGGTGCATGAAGACAAGATGCAGGGTGTAGGGAGTTGCTTGCTGGCTGGCTGGCTGGCTGGCTGCATGGTCGTCTGCATCTGACGTCAGGGGGGTGGCATTTTTGTGTGTGTATGGATTGGGTATCTGTAGGTAAGCTTTGGATTCTTACGAGATTCGATGGAAGAATGCAGTACTCGTGGGGTGGACGCAGGAGTGCATGAAGCTAGAGGAGCTACTGTGTGATCTTTGAATTTTCTTGGACACGTAATGACGTACTTGCAAGTTGTGATGGTTGAGTTTTGGGTTGTGAATGGTAGTGAAGATTGAAACTTGATTTTCTTGCGTGTGGCTGACTTCATTGATTGGGTTTTTGATGGTGATGAAGGGACGATGAAATGGTGTGGCGCCACGGTTCCCTTGTTGGGCAACTGGGTGGAGGAATGATTGGCTTCCAATTTGCGGGTGGGGGGATTTATCGTATGCACCTGTTACACGTGTTGTGTTGAAAACTTGGACAGCCGGCATGGTGATTACCTACTGATTGTAGGGTTCTTTGATGCTTGGAATTATATATAGAGCAGCGGTTGAGTCCATTCTTTATCTTGGGACAGTTTGCTGTATTATCTTACAGTTCTGACGAGCATGATGACCAATTCTTCTTTTTTGTGCCTGTGCCTGAGGAGAAGAGAAGTTTGGCTCCTTCCCGGTCAATCAAGGGGCGGGACGGGGGGAGGATGCTGGAAACGGGCTAGGCTTGATCGGGGAACGACTCGACGGCTGGTGATGCGCCGGTTTTCTGTTCTGTGGAGGCAAGCGGATCTGGTGTGACGAGTACCTGCCAAGTACCGTGGGAGTACTACTCGTACCTACTCTGTTGCGGTTCTACAGACTGGACATGCGAGGGGAGGTTTGTGTCCATGTCTGATTCGCAAAGTTATTCTTCTGTACTCTGTTTGTGTCTAGGCAATCTTGGTTAATGGGAGCGCGCTGATTGAATCCTTTGAACTGAACTGATATAGTAATAGGTAGGCTTTTCCCCTTTGTTTGGCGTCTTATGCTGTGTGCTGCGTCCTGTTGGGTTGACATTGTTTGGCTCAAACGGTGGCTGAGACGGGTCACCGGTCGTATCGTTTTAGCTGCTGCGCGGACAAGCTTGCCGCACCGGCTTTTTTCTTCTCTCCAAGGGCAAACAACGCGCATCAAGACGGTGAGAGGAGGCCTCCGTGCGCGACCCGGAAATACTTGGCCTTGTCACCTTTGCACGATTCATTGGCTATGGCTTGAACAAGCAACTCAAGGTAGATACCTACTGTACACCTAAAGTTAGTACATAGGTACAGATGTTGCGCTGGCAGAGAGGGTGTCGTTCTATGGAGGACAGTCCTGTGCTGTCTGTCTGTTGGGAGTACAGGAGAGGGAGACGGGAGGCATGCAGCGCACCGACAAAGATAAATGAGGAATGCAGGTATTTGCGTATTTGTACCACCACGATACGCTCACGTCAACGACGACCTGGTGAGATCATCTGAAGCATTTGTGGTTGTGCAAAGATCAAAGAGAAGTTGATCGAAGACCGACCCTGCTTGTCTGTCTCTCTCTCTCCTGGCGGCAGTAGGTACCCGAGCAGTACTTTCTCGGCACTTGATTTGCCCAGGGCACTTGTAGCGGTGCAGCAACCTGGAAAGCACCACCAGCAGCCCTTTGTAACCCCCTAAACAGAAAAGTGACCTACCTGTACCTACCCATGGATGCGCCAACAGCAAGCTTTTTTAAGCTTGAGGTGGCACAACAACCTTGAATTCTAGGGGATCAGCAAAGGCCGTCATTGACTTGTACTGTATCTCCCTCTTTTGCTGGCGGATTCCCACAAGTCAAAAAGCTCGAGGGCGCGCCGTTTGCAAAAAAAAGGACCATCGTGTGCCTGGTCTCGTGCCTTTTTCTTCTTCCTCTTCTTCATCTCTCGCTTGTTGTGCGCCTGCAGCCAAGAGAGGAAAAATAAAAAGAAAAGAAAGAAAGGAATATCCAGTCCTCGCGGCCGAACTGCGCTTCTCCGCCATTCACTCAAACGCGCACAGTCGGAACCCAGGAGAAGGAATTCCAATTCCAACGCCAGCACAAACACAAGGCACAGCTTCCAAGCTCCTCTCTCCTCTGCATAGCCTTCTTTTCATTTTCCCACTTCTCATCATCCATTCTTCATTACGACTTACATACACATCATCGCCTTTGCTGCTGCCGGCAATTCGCATCTCGTTATACTACCGCTACAACCAGCACAGCCTCCTTCGTTCGCCTCTCTCGACCCCGACCGACGCAACGACGCACAACCCCCGCCCTATTGCCGGCTCCTCTTGTCTTGGTTGCCTGAATCCGACCAGTCTGCCTCACGATCTGCCAGAGCCAAGAGCCAAGACCTCGGGCCAGCGATCCGAACGAGCGAGTGGCTTTTCGTGCGACCCCTCTGACGCCAGCAGCGCGACAAGAAGCGGCGCATTGGGCATCCCTCAGAAAAAAAAAAAAAAAAACAAGACGAAAAACATCTAGTCCTTCGCCGGCCATACGCCTGTGCTCCCGGGAGAAAATAAAGGCCAGATTTCGCCCTCAATTCTCTGTTGCGACTCTTGCACAGGTCTCAGGTCACTGCGACAGCAGCCCGCCCTTCGAGGTAATACCACCACCACCACCACCACCACCACCATCAGTTACTACTCCGTGCCTCGTCCCGTTACGCGTGTTTTGGAGCCTTGCCAGGGGGGCGCTGTTCCCGGGATATTGCCTATTTACTCCTGCGGGACTAGTTCAGTTCCTCTCCGCCCGCGAGCGCCATTCAAGCCACAGCCCCAGGAGAAAGTGGAATTGGAATTAACTCCTGCTTGCTAGAATTTCCCACGCAGGCTCGTTTCCAAATCACCGGCGCCGAAAAGCTGTTCGAACCACGCGTCCCACGCAGAGGCAAAGCCACCGAGACAAAAGGGAAAAGGACCGGCGTTTTGAGGCGAAGCTTGTTGCTTCTAGCAGAGCTCGAAGGCCGCCCGTCTGCGATCCTGACTACAAAGTCTCTCAGCGATCCTGTCGGTTCGTCATACTACTCGTTACACAGACCCTCTCCGACACCGAACACAGATCTACATACATACGGACGCGCGCGCCAAGTCGGTGACAAGAGCCCGAAATCGAAACCCGATCCCTTTTTATTTGATTGTATCAGACGGGAGCACTAATCGCTCAGTGGGGGAACAAGTCTTGGTCGAACCGGGGCTGAGTCGAATAATACTTGGACCATGTCATCATGTGAGTGCTGTTATGCAGTGTTTTTATGCGCCCAGCCAATTTCCTATTGATTACTTGGGCTCGACGATCCCCATCCCTTGCCTCGAGACAAATGGGTCTGTTGTGGGCGTGGTTCGTCGGGTCTCTTCCACTGCAGCCGACGCATCTTCTTCACCAACACCAACAGACGGCTGAATTGACAGCATTTTTGCCCCTGTCATTCATTCATTCACTCATTCACTCACCCACTCACTCACTGACTGACTCCCCTCTAACCCGTCACTCCTTGAATTTGCACCTTCTTTCGTTCTACCCTCCTTTACCTCGCCGTCTCATGCTTCTTGCCCTCCGCGCCCTCGAAGCTGCACGCTTCTGCTCCCTCCCCACGCATCGCGAATGTCGTCACACGAGGCGACGGACGGCAAACCGGCGAGAAACCGACTAACCAATCTGCTGCCAGTCAATCACGCCGACATCAAGCGCAAGGCGCACCTCGTCAGCCGCCAGAGCGGCGAGTCATGGAACTTCTTCCGCCACCTCTCGTGGGATAGCAACAAGAGACGGTCGCAGACCTGGGACGGCGCCCGTCTCGAGGCCCAGCGCGAGGACAATGCCGCCGGCGAAGATCTGACCCATGCTGCGACCTACCCGGCCAACAACAACAGCATACCCTTGAGAGACACGTCGACCTCGGGAACCGGCAAGCAGTCGGTCGAGGACAACCACGACCGGCCGCTCATCGTGCAGCCCCCGACCGACACCGATGGCCTGCGTAACCGCAGCAGGGGAGACCGCGACGAGGTCGCCGCCGCCGTCGCCGCCGCCGAGCCCGTGCCCGACAAGCCCGAGAAGAAGAAGTCGGGCCTGATCCGCCACGTGCAGCCCAAGGAGCCCTTTACCGTGGCCAACCAGCTGCAGCGCACCCTGCTCAACTCGTGGATCAACGTGCTGCTCATTGCCGCCCCGGTCGGCATCGCCCTCAACTACGTCAAGTCGGTCGACCGCATCGCCGTCTTCGTCGTCAACTTCATCGCCATCGTCCCGCTCGCCGCCCTGCTGAGCTTCGCAACCGAAGAGATTGCCCTCCGCACAGGCGAGACGCTCGGTGGCCTGCTCAATGCCACCTTTGGCAACGCCGTCGAGCTCATCGTCGCCATCATTGCCCTCATCGACAAGAAGGTGGCCATTGTCCAGACCTCGCTCATCGGCTCCATCCTGTCCAACCTGCTGCTGGTCATGGGCTTCTGCTTCTTCTTTGGCGGTCTGCGCCGTCCCGAGCAGTACTTCAACACCACCGTCGCCCAGACGGCCGCCTCCATGCTGGCCCTGGCCGCTGCCTCCGTCATCGTCCCGACCGTCTTTGACGCCGCCGCCAACACGCCTACCGACAAGGTCGCCAAGCTGTCGCGCGGCACGGCCGTCATCCTGCTCATCGTCTACGCCGCCTACCTGGCCTTCCAGCTCGGCACCCACCAGGCCGTCTTTTCCGAGCAGAGCCAAAAGGTGCCGGCCAAGCCCTGGAGCAGCAGCTCCGCCAACCCGGATATCAAGCAGGGCCTGTTGGTGCCCGGCTCCGTCGTCAGCCGCGGCATCGTCAACAAGGAGGGCGAGCGGGTCGAGAACCCCGAGGATGAAGAGGAGGAGGAGGAGGACCCCCAGTTGCATTTTTACGTGGCCGTTGGTCTCCTTGCCGGTTCCACCGCCATCATTGCCCTCTGCGCCGAGTTCATGGTTGGCTCCATCGACGCCATCACCGCCAACGGCGGCCTGTCCGAGGAGTTTGTCGGTCTGATCCTGCTTCCCATTGTCGGCAACGCCGCCGAGCACGCCACCGCCGTCACCGTCGCCGTCAAGGACAAGATGGACCTGGCCATTGGCGTCGCCGTCGGCTCCAGCATGCAGGTCGCCCTGTTCCTGATTCCCCTGCTGGTCGTCATTGGCTGGGGCATGGGCATCGAGGAGATGAACCTCAGCTTCGACACCTTCCAGGTCGCCGTCATGTTTGTCGCCGTGCTGCTCGTCAACTACCTGATTGGCGATGGAAAGAGCCATTGGCTCGAGGGCTGGCTGTTGATTTGCCTGTATGCCATTATCGCCGTCTGCGCATTCTGTAAGTTGTCAAAGCAATCATTCCACCTTTGATATGCCTCTTTAACAATTGCTAATCCTTCCCTAGGGTACCCCGATCAGGACACTGGTCCTCAGTCGTAGACCATTTTCTTCAATTTTCGCATCTTTGCTTTCTCATCTTCTCTTTTTCTTTGATACCACTCGATTTCTTGCCTTACGGTTGATTTGTCTCCGTTTTTAATGTCTGTTTTGGGATTTAATGAGAACTTTACTACTACTCTACCTACACTACACCTTTACCTTGACCGCATAAACAAGAAGAAAAAGAAAAGAAATTATCAAAACAGTTACAAAAAGATTGCATTTACTTATTCATGACCTGGAGTTTCACGAGGACGCTCCGCTTATTTCTTTTCGCATCTTTTAGAACGCATATCGATTCGATTCTTCATGAAAGGGGGGGTTTGCTTCGAGTTTCGAGGTGGAACTGATGTACTAGATACTTGTATTTTCGACGGAAAAAAAAAGTATATGGAGATACTACACATGAATGTTTTGCATATTAGAGATGGAAACAGATCTGTGTGAGATTTTTTATTGCATGGGATGATGGAGGAGCTGTTTATGTAAGAAAGAGCATTCTGTGTGAGTAGGTATGTAGATTGAGAGGTCTTTTGTTATAAGATAGCATGGGCATTCTACTTTATACCTGTTTCCTAGGTACGTATGTACGTATCTGGCTCTATGATGAAGTGTAACAGGTAGTTTGAGAAGAGCAGGAGCTTCTAATAGCCTCTCTCCTTCTCTCCTTCTCTCCTAAGCCTTTAAGCGTCACTTTATGAAATTTCAATGCAAGTACCAATGTTTCGAACGTAATCTCAGCCCATCAAGAATACCCATTTGAACACATTAATTAGTCGTTGATATTCGACTTCCGCTAATTCACAGTTGCTTGATAACAAAATACTATACATGGCCTCATTACATTAACTCCCGGCATTCGCCGCATCTCATGATCCATCCACCCATCACCATCTCACATTCAAGATCCTCTCGAATAATCCCCCCCCACCCCGCAGGGTAAAAAAAAAAAAAAAGCAGCCCTCACTTCTTCCCCCCGGAGCCCAACCCCAAGCCGTCAAACTGCACGCTCCCCCTTCTCAAAAACATCATCGGACTCCCCATCCTCACCGCCGCCGCCGCCGCCGCCCCCTGCGGCCCGCCCGCACCCCCCGCGCTCGCGGCATCTAGCGACGCCAGCACCCCCGGCGGCAGTCCCAGCGAGGGGATGCTCGCCTCGGGGACCGCCTCCAGGCCGGACGGCGCCGTGGTGGACGCAATCATCGCCGGCGTACCCTGGATGTGCTGGCCCCGCTCGAGCGTCTCCTTGTAGAAGGCCTCGAGGGCGAGGGCGTCGGAGCAGAAGGCTTCGAACTCGGACTTGATGGTTTCCGGCTCGAGCGCTTGGGAGGAGGTGTACGTGGATGGGTGGCCTGGTTTGCTGCTCAGGGGGTCGTCTGCGCTGTTGACGCCCTTGAGGCTGGGCGAGGTGTGATGGTGGTGGTACGGGTGGTGATGTTGGTGGTGGTAGTGGTACGGGTGGTGGTGGTATTGGTGGTGCTTGTCGTGCTGCTGCTGCTGCTGCTGGATATAGGCAGTGGGATGGTGATAGCCTCCCGGTCCGCCCTGGTAATGTCCCATGTGGTGCTGCAGCGCGGATCCCGCCATGACTGACTCGGAGAGGCTGAACGAGTCGTACGAGGGAACTCGGCCGAGCCCGATGAGCCTGTCCGCCATGAGATGAGGCGGCGGCGGCTGCTGCTCCATAGGCGTATAGCTTCGGCCGGGCACCTCTCGCTCCTTGGTCGCCCGTCTGCCGTACAGCCGGTTTGCCAGCACGAGAAAGCTGCCCTCGTCCGTCACCTGGGCGAGCAGCAGGCCCGAGCGGTGGATGTACTGGGTGTATCGGTAGTCCGGGCGGCCCCAGGAGTAGATAATGTCCACGTTGCTGGGGTAGTTGGACGCCGCCTCGGTGTCGAGCACAAAGTCGCAGTGCCGCAGGATGGCCTTTTGGTAAAAGTGTCTCGTCGGCACCGTCTGGGGTCCCAAAGAGTTTGGATCGTAAAACGTCTCGGGCTTCTTGTCTGGTGGCTGCACCGCGAGCTTGATGGGATATGCCTTTCTAAAGGGATTCACTTCCGTGATGCTGCTGGCCTCCCTGATGGGCACCTCCACCAGACGGAGGCCGTACTGGCTGGCCTCGCGCTCCCACACGTCAACGGCGTCTTCTACGAGCTTGGCCGTCGCGTTCATCCAGTCGATCCTCACGTGGTAGCAGTTGTCCGGGTTGTGCAGCCGGTCGTAGTGCAGGTCGATCCGCTCAGGACGATAGGACCTCTTCCTAGGGTCCACGTCATACTTGATGACCTTGCTGAGGACGACACGGGGCCGGCTCTTGCCCACATTCGCCGCCGACAGCGTGGGCGTGCTGGTCAGCGACGACGGTGAGTGGTCGTCGTGGACCGATCGCGTCCTGCCCGAGCTTATTGACGCCTCCGTCATGGGCGTTAGGGGTAGGGGACCCTCTCTCTTCTTGCTTCCGAACCAGCCGGACTGGTATTTCGCAAACTCAGGGGCGAACTGGTAAAAGTAGTTGCCGTCTCGGAACCGATGGCGCTTCTCGACGTGCACGAAGAGCCCCTTAGGCTTTTCTTTTTCCTTGTCCTTGTCCTTGTCCTTGTCCCTGTCCTTGTCCTTGTCGGTTCCATCTTTGTCCTTTTCCTTGTCCTTGTCCTTGTCCTTCTCTTTACCCTTGGGCTCTGGCGGCACCATCAGCGCATTGCCAAGCTCCTCTGCGTCCTCGCGCGTCTCGAGATCGTCAAAGTTCTCCAGCAGCCACGTCGTCATATCGGACCCGAGAAAGGAGTGGTAATGCAGCCGGAGATGCCAGCGGCGGTTCCGCAGAGGAACACCGCCCTGCTCCACAGGCTGCTGCATGGCTTCTGCCAGGGCAGCAAGGTTGAGGTTGGATTTTTCAAACCGTTCTTTCCTCGTCACGAGCTGATGCTTCTTAGCCATCCCGCCCTCGAGGCCCTCGGTTAGGGGCAGTGTCTCCAGCTCGGCCGCAATGACGACGGACGGATCTTCCGTCTTGTAGATGATGTCCAAGGGATTCCGATCAAGCCGGCTCTTGGTTTGGAACCGCCGCTCCGACGGCGGGATGTAGCGGTTCTTCTGCCACAGCTGCGCCAGGCGCTTGATGCCCTCTATCCTGATCTCCTCGGGATACAGGCCGGTTTGCGTCCTGGGCACTGAGGGGTTCTGGGCCACCAGCGGGATGAGGACAAACCGGGCTCTCCAGAAGCGCAAGCTCTCCATCATCTCTTCGTGATGCCCCGCGGCGTATGAGTCGATCAGGTTCCAGTTGAGATCGGGTCTCGGAATAGAAAGCAGCTCTATTTGTCGAGCTTCGTAATCTGTGTCGAACAGCGTTCTGATGGCTGGCCTGTACATGGGAGAGAACCCTTCCGGCAGCCCAGACATGTCGGCCGTGGGCTTTCTGACGTAAATGTTGACGTCGACTTCTGTCCCGTTGACGCATGAGAGCTGATGAATGATGTTGCCGACAGACATGAATATGCTTGTCCCATCCTCAAGAACCTGGTCGCGCGAGAAGATGTCTCCTAGCTTAATGACCTTTTGACCAAACGCTCTCGCCACGGCCGGCCCAACGACGACTTGGAAACCTTGTGAGAATCGTAGGCTGATGAGCTCGCTGATGAACTCTTGTCGAGACTTGGGCTCTTCAGACGATTCATCATCTGCGTTCTGATCCACGCTGTAGGGGTGCCTCTGATACTCGGTATCAAACTGCGCCCTAGTGGGAAAGTACTCCGTCGTCAATGGAACTGCAGCAGGGCAACACAGGGCTTTCCACTTCTGTATCTTCATTTCAGATATGCGAGGGAAGATGTGCTGCCAGCGCGTGTACAGGTTGGCCGGGTCAATCTGGTTCTTGTCCGGGTCTGACGGGTTCAACAGCACCAGCCAGGGGCTGATGGCTGACGTCGGCGAAATCGTCGGTGCAGGCTCCGGCGTCACGCCCACGCCGGCTCGTAGTTTGCTCAGGACCACCTTGTGATCTTCCGTGCGGAGCATATTATGGTGCAGCTCGCCGTCGTCCTCAAAGCTGCCGGTGCGTGTCCGCGATGCAGAAGCGTGATGGGCGGGAGTCCCTACTTTCAAATCGTACATGTTCATCTCGTGACGATTCGACCCGTTCTTCACCAGGATAGGGATGCTCGGCGTCGACGACATTCTCTCAAGGATTGGATCGGCGGCATCCCGTCTAAGGTTTTTGATTGAGAATGGAGACTGGCTCCTCGTAGTCAGAGGCGTAGACGGCCTCAGGGCCGGGCGCGACCGCGGAGTAGACGGTGGCGGCGCGCTTGGCTTCGACACAGCCGCGTTGACAGTCTCTGCCTTGACCTCGGCCGCTGCAATCTTGGGGGCTGCTATGCCAAATCCGCGGTGCCCAAGGCTGATCTGTCTCATGAATTTGGGCGCCTTCGATGCCGAGGCAATCTTGGTGACAGCTGGCGGTTGCAGTGCCGGCGGGTTAGGAGACGGCGGTTCTTTCGAAGGCGGCGGGTCTGGCAGTCTCTTCTTGACAAACATGTTGGGCTTCTCGATTTCTGCTTGGTTCATTGAGAGCTTCCTCGCCGAAGGAACATTGGTGTGTAGTTTCTTTTCTGGAAGTGAAGATCCCAAGACATTCATGTCCTCTAAATGGTGCCTACGGCTGTCGTCGGACCTGAGCCCTGCTTCAGAGCCATGGTGATAGTGTTGAGGGCGCTTGCGGTAAGTCAGAATGATTCTGGAGTCATCAAACTCCTGCAGCTGCTTCCAGGAGGAGCGCTCACTGGGACGCGCATGCCTCTCGGGCGCGAACCTCTGGAACCCATGGATGCTCTCGATCAAGTGATCAGAAAGACGGGCCGGGGGATTGTACCAGAGATCACCAAGTGCCTCTTGGCGCCGCTTGGTGAGACTGCTGTTCTCAAAGATGTTGCTGGGATAGTGAGGATCTGAGTGCAGCGGCGTGATTTCAATGTCGTTCGTATCGAGTGCGCTCCGCATCTGAAGATCGTACATCCGGCATCTTATCCTAAAGTCATCTTCGTCGTCGTCTTGGTCAACCCTGTTGGATACGGACAGGGCGACGCCCGCGTACGAGAGCGCTTCGTTGGAGGTGCCCGTCCAGAAGGAAACGTGCAGCCACTGAGGCAGTACATAGCACCATTCGTCACGCCTACTTTGTGAATCCAGGTGTTCGACGCGGCGCATCATGTCCCTGCTTTTGGACGGCGAGTAAGAGCCCGAGGTGGACTGGTAGCTTCCGATTACGGGCGTCGGTTGGTTCGGCGTGCTGTCACGGCTGTGAAACGATCTCGACAGCGAATGATGCCGGTCCTGAGACGGATCTTCCGCTAACGAGAATCGCGGGTTTCGATATCTGAACAGAGGGACCGAGTGCAGAGGCATCGGTGCCATACAGATGAGGTCAATGCCGATGCCATTCCCCACCAGGGCTTCTGTCGTTCTTCGCAGTGTCTCATAATCCACCTCGAAGATGCCAGCGCCAGGGCTGATGACGGCGATGGAGATGCCTGTCCGGGTCAAGTCGCGATCGATGTAGTCGTGGGAAAACTGCGCGCAGGCGAGGTTGATGGCCTCGAGGATGTTGCCATGGATGGCAAAGGAAGACTCGGCTCTTATTCGACTGATGGGCTCATTCCCCGACAGAGGCTGAGTAGTAGGGTTTGCCGAAAAGTGATGCAGCGTGATGTCTCTTCGGAAGTAGTTGAGCTCTTTCTTGAGCTGATACAGAATCCTGGTCCACTCGATGCTCGCCATTTCGCTCACAACCACCCGGTAAAAGTCCTTGTACGGCCGCCGATTCCCATAGGACTGCACGCCGGTGTAGTAGTCCGATTGGAGGGCGCTCGCCTCCAGGTCGTTTGTCAAGCCCGTGTCATACTCGACGCGAGCAAACAGCACAATGCTGACCAGGTGCTTAACCTTGAGCAGCGCCCATCGCTTAAATAGGGCTGGCAGAAACCCGTTGACAACTTTATTGAACATGATCTCGCCAGAGCTTTCGGAGTCAAAGTCCCACATCTCCTTGGACATTTGGATGAACAGGACGTATCTGGCCGACTCGCTGCGGAAGATGGGCCTCGTCTCGCGGCTGAAAAAGGCGGAGTGGACAGCGTTCCCGTCGACGTAGACCGTCGAGACATGGGCCTTGATGGTGCCCATGAAGAGGAGGGATTGACCCTTGTACACCGTCCGCTGCGTAAGCTCCCCGACGGCGACCCTCCACATGTCTGCCCGCGACAGGTACTGGTCTTTGAATATCAGCTCAACGTGCGAGGCTTCGGTAACCGGATGGTCGTTGTCAACCTAAGGGTCAAAGTATGTCAGTCGGCCATGGCTGGCACAGCGAGTTTGCTTTTGCAAATCTGTAAGGGGTTTAAACGAACCGCTCTCAGCAGAACAATGGATCCCTTCTTCATCCCAAAGACGTCCGCAATGTGCTTGACAACGTGGACTTCAGCTTCGGGATGCCGCGCCTTGGTCTCCTTGGGCATATCCTTTGCGACAAAAATGTACTGGTGACCCAGGTCATTGCGGTCGCATGGACTTGCCAGGTTCTGGAATCGCAAGCTGCCATTGTCCTCGTGCGCCTGCTTCTTCAAGCTGCCGATGCCTCCCGACGACTTCAAGAACTCTGGCTTGAGGACCGCGATGGACATCAAGGTGCCCGGCTTGACGTCGCCCCCAAGCAGGTCCAGGTTCAGCAGCACCTCGTCGCGCGCATATCCGTCATTCACGGTGACGGTGCAGTACCGCCCAGCCTTGCGCGGCTTCTCGTCCCGCACGTTCTTCACGGTCGAATGCGTAGAGACGCTCCTGGGCGATGCCGGCGCCGGCTCCGATGCGCGGTCTGAGGCGGTTGAGCTCGTCTGGCGCAGGTGACGGGACAGCTGCGGCGGTCCCCTCCGCGGAGCCGATGGCGCTGCGCCGACATTTCGGGACATGGAATCGGCTCGGGGACGGGTATCATAGGGGAGAGATCCGGTTATGGGAGCATCGCCCGTGACTCAGGGGGGGTTGGGCGAGAATTGTCTGCCAGCTGCGGCTGGTGATGCGTGTTCGCGTGACGGTTCGGTGGTGGTTGATGCCGGTTGATGTTGGGATGGCGGTTGGATGAGTGAAGCTGAATGATGGCGGCAGAATGGGAGCTTGATGGCAGCACGAGCAGCCTCACCGCCTGCTTGATTCGTCAGCGACATGTCTTGGTGGGGTCCTGTCATGCACATGGTGGAGATGCAGATATGCTGTATCCGCAACTTTAGGACTGCAACAAAGACGGTGCGTGTAAAGGTACCTTGTACTTTAATGGCTCTTGTCTCACACGACTGCAATTCTCCGGATGAGACAGAACTGCCAGGTACTTCCAACTTGCTGTAGTCCTACCACGTACTACATGTACCTATAGTGGTAGGTGACAACAGGTTCATCAATTGACTTCTCGTCTTGATTTATTGTTCTCATATTGACATGCAATTGGGGGAGTCTCTCACGAGAGACCACAGACCATGGCATGTTGGACAAGAATCTCATAGGTACCCTTGCCTTGCCATGACCCCCTCAGCGTCACTTCTCCTTAGAGGGCTGCCTGCTCCCAAAACTCCAAATCTGAATCATACAGTCAAGCAGGTCTGTCTCACAGGACATGCCGGACGGGCAAACAATACAAGACCCGGGATCCGGCAGCATCTCCTTACATGTAGATGCTCATGTATGAGCAAACGTCTGCAGACATCTGTCATCTGCCTGCGCACACGATTCATCACCATACTCCCAAGGTAGTCAAACCAGCCTCCCAATCATGGCAAGATGAAGCATGAGCAACACCAGTGATCGGATCCAGTATCGACATGACGCTGTCACCTGTGTATTCCCACTCAATTGACCCCTCTCTGCACACTCCTACCTGCTCTGACACCGTTTCCTCCTCCTCCTCTCTGTGACACAGGGCTCAAAGTTTGCTCAACGCATATCTCGGTAGTTGTCTGAAACAAGGCCCATCCACAACGCAAGCTGTCATCAGGCTGTTCCTCTTCTAATACACACAATCAAACCGTGTCATAGCTCTCTTGGCAGCCCATCACGACGTTTGCTCAAGCCAAAAAGCTGGCAACGGCACAATCATTCACTGCCCGCGGAAGCATCTGTTCTGCTCCCCGGGCTCCATCGCTATGTCAAAGAATGCCTCTGTTCGCGCCTCTCCCGTAGAAAAGGGTCCGCCGTCAGCCCGGCCCTCTGCTTCCGTGGGCCTCCTCAGCAGTGGCGATACCGTGAGGCTACCAAGCCAATCCCTTCAGAAACGGAGCCCTTCCATCCGTGTTCCCTATAGAGCGCACCGAGTGAATGTAATTTTGCTGAATCGCTGTAGCATTGGAGCTGGCCTGATGCTCTGCTCTGGTGGAATCCTTGTTTGCAAATGACCCTACCCGCGCGGCGTACGGAGCGCCCGCCGGCAAACGAAGCAGGGCACTGGGAAATCCTGAGCCATTGAGCGCTTCATTGCAGTTGTTTTTTTGGTTTGAGGCCTTGATGGTTTTCAAGTCAAGTTACTTGCATCATTCCAAGCCCCGTCGCAGAGGTGTTCAAGTATTAGTACAGCCCCCTTCCCGGCATATCGGGCTCTTGAGGGGACACCATTCTCTCACCGATTATTTCATAGCCATACGGTACCTTGTGTTCGGTTGAGAAACATTGGCTCATCTTCTTTTCCTTCAACAGAGTCTGGCTGTGGCCCAAATCGCCCCTTTGTTCGGTTGTCAGAATCCCGCGCCCCCCCCCCCCCCCCTCTTCCAGTGTTGCACGATACACTTTGCGTCTATTACTCCCGGGGCAAGATGATGATGCGGCTGAGTCGCAAACAGCGGCTCATCGCGACCATAGCCATATCCTTCTCGTTCTTCGTGGCCGAGCTTATTGGTACGTTGCTCGCCATGGTCCCAGAGTACCAGCCGTTCTAACGTGCATGCAAAGCCGGACTCTACACTCAGTCTCTCGTCCTGGTTGCCGATGCGTTCCACTATGTATGACAGGCCCAATGGCTGGTCGAGGGCGTCGCTAACCCATCCCAGTTGAACGACTTGATCGGGTTTGTGGTAGCCTTGGAGGCTGTCGTGGTCCGTTTCCCTTCCCTTGACAGAAACAAAGTGCAGCATGAGCTGATGTTTCCCCCTAGCTATTTGAAAGTTCGAGGACGCCGCCGAAAGCCTTCACCTTTGGTTGGGCGCGTGCGCCCATCTTGGGCTCGTTCTTCAACGGTGTCTTCCTTTTGGCCCTCAGTGTCAGCATCTCTATCCAAGCCATCGAACGGTTCGTCAATATGACTGGTGAGTTCTGATACCCGAGTTGCCAAATCGATCAATCGGAGCTGACAGCATAATCCATCAAAAGCGGTCGAGCATCCCATGATCGTGATGATTGTGGGGTGCGCTGGCCTGGGTCTGAACCTCTTGACTATCGCCATCATCCATGGTAAGTTTGCTGTCAAAGCCAGCCTCCTACGACGCCTCGAGCACATGGCTGACACATGACCGTTCAGAGCCCAAAGGAGACCACAAGGCCCTTGACGAGCTGGAGGCTGCCGCAGGAACAAGCAATGGAATGCCGCGAGCTGGGGTCACGTCGGTGAGTAGAGTCGTCGAACTCGGCCGGAACCGTCACGGGCACACTGGTCTAACAAGCAAACCGCCTAGGCTTCCGACAACCACCATGAGCATAGGCACCTCTCTTTCGAACGACCCCTTCCACATAGGAATCATGGAGCTTTTGCCGTTCTCCTGCATCTGATTGGAGATGCTATCAGTAACCTTGGCGTCATAGCATCGGCCCTCATCATCTGGCGATGCCACGGAGAAAAGAGATACTATGCAGATCCTGCTGTTAGCTTGTTTATCTCAATGATTATCTTTTACACCGGCATGAAAGCTTCATGGAAGAGTGGCCTTGTCCTGCTGCAGACTGCTCCCAAGGCGTTGGACCCCGAAGACGTGAAGCATGATATCCAGATGGTGAGCTAGTGTTCCCTTCTCCCGGACTACCGGTGACGATGAAGAAGAAGCCCATTACTGATTGTTTCACAGACCACCGGCCCCGACTCTGTGCACGACCTTCATATCTGGCAACTCGATGAGGACAGGACCGTCGCGTCCGCCCATGTCATTGTCGACGATATCCGCAGCTTCACCGAAAAGGCCAAGACCATCAGGCAATGCCTGCACGCATACGATATCCACTCGGTGACGCTGCAGCCTGAAGTGCGCCTTCAGCGCGCGCCCAACCAGTCTCCCCTTCAGAATACACCGGCTTCTCGGAGTTCAGACGACGGAGCCACCACGGGGAGCGCAGGCGTGACGCCGACGGATGACACCAAGGCGCTGACAGAAGGTGCCGTGGCGCCCATTGCAGGCAGAGGCTCGTCCATACACACACCAAACGGTGGCTCCGACTGCCAGATGCCGTGCGCAACACTTTGTGCTGGAATGAGTTGCTGCACGAAGGCAGCCGTCTAAGCCAGCACTCCGGGCTCTGGACAAAGGCGCTCGATCGTGGCGAAGGGACGCGTTGCTTCTTTGACGGGCGGTAAGGTGACGGGCATCGACTGGGACTAATATGTCGTTCATTCTGGGGTTTTGGGCGGATGGGTGTTTTGTCTTTGGGAAACAGGTTCAACTCGCGGCGTGCGAGCAGATATCGCGCGCAATACATAGACTGTTTTGGAACCATTCTGGGGATTTTCTTTTCGTCCAATGTCTTGATTCGGATGTGCGACTCTGGCAGTGCTCCCGCAGGCTGTCTTGAATACATGAAGCAGTGAGGTTGTTAAGGGGTGATATCAAGTTTGGTGTAGTTCTGCCTAAGTAAACGACCGGTGGCCATCAAGGTTCTCATCAACTGGCTCCCTTTGTTGCGGCTGGATGGTCCGCTGATACTGGCAGCATGGAGGCAACAGAACCGCCTTTCAGCTCATAAGGTAGCTACATTGCATCGTGGTGTCAAGCAGATCCGACTCGAACATTTGTTAGACACGATATTGTCTCAACATGCTATCATAAGCAAGTTGCCATGGACCGGATGCGTCGTGATCGACACGCTGCAACCAGCCAAACGGACACGTTACCCCAAAGTCTTCGCCTAAACGCCCCCCAGGCAGAAGCCAGGTAGGACAATTTGACTCGTATGTAACATTGCCGTGTTGATGTGTTATGCGGCATGTGATTGAGCGCTGCACGACTCGCGGTGAAGAGGCGACGGCGAATGTCAACAAACATGAATCGCCGCACCGGCCAATATTACTCCGTAACTGCCGGGCTGGTCTCGGCATCTAGCACAGTGGCGGAGGCGGACTACTCTTCGGACATTTTAACTCTTCTTGAACTGATTCTCGACAGTGACTGGTTGAAGGTCTGGCCGCTGCCCGATGATACGTACGGAGGCGGTGCCTGTGGCCAATTCGGCGACCCTTGCTACCATCATTATGCCGAGGCTCGCCATGTTGGCTTCCGTTGAAGACCCCCCTGAAGGAAGGCTGTTATGGCCGGTGTAAGCGAGGCTGGAAACACCCAGGTACACGCATGCAGGAGCCTTCTGGACAGACAACATCAAGACAAGGAGCCTTGATAACGATTGTCTCTCAACGCACTGTTTCGGCTAAATGTCTTCCTGCAAGCCGGCCGTTGTCCTGTAGGTCTCAGCTGGATGCATACATGCAGTACTAGTAATATGTCGCTTCTGCATTCCTTGGATTCATCCATCGCACCCGCAAGTCGCATGCAGTGGTAGTAGTATGTAGAGGGAATGCGCAGACAGCGGCCGCCTCTTGTACAGAGGTGCCAACCGATGTGCGCACAAGTACATCATCGTACATGAAGTGATCTGGTTGGCCAAGCAGCCTGTCCTGTTCCGTAACAACGCTGCCCGCTGACAGGCGGTTCGAAACTTCCCTAGAGAGGCCTCGTTCTATGCCGGCGCTGGTGTCGTTTGGCATGCCGGCGAATCGTTCTAGAAGAATACCTCATTAGCAAATGGCAACAAACTTTGCGCCTCTCATTGGAGGAGGGCGACGGCAATGAGTCGCGGCGTTGGAACGGTTGGTGGGACCCGGCTCCTCGTCGTGGCTATTTTGCTGCCTTTTCAAGATCCTTTTCTGAGAAATGGAGCACAAGGGCCAACGACGGTGCTTTGGCGGCTTGACGACCTGTCCGGAAGGCTCCGGAAATGATAAATTTGGACAGTTGGACGATCCCAGCTTGGATTCCATTGTCGTTGGATCTGTGTCAGACGTCACCCTCACTCCCAACTTGTAAGTCTAGAAGCCAAGCTTGCCAAGCTAACAACCGACGGCGTGTGAGTGCGAACCGACTTCCCCAAGGCTCAATGCTCGAATCTGGATGCAGGATAATGCCTGCGCGGTTCTGGACGGGGTGTTGATGGACGGGGCATCGTGACTCGGAGACACGAATACGGCGTCAACCTTGATTACAGAGCACTCATGCAGCTGCGGACCCGGCTCTGGTACTTCCAAGAACTCCCCTTGCTTTTCCTCTTGGCAGCATCAGGTTCCAGACTCTCGAGCTTGGCGAGGCTCATCACTACCTGCAAGTAGACTGGGGGGTGGCTCTCCCTCATCTGTACGAAATGTGAGCTCAGTATCAACTCGACATTTTGTGATCGCAAGTCCCGATGTCCTTTCTACTTGTAGTAGCAGTAGAGCCGAAGGCGTGAATTCCAATGGCAACTCTGCCGCTGCAACTTCTCGGAACACCTGGAGACGATGCCGGGGTGTCAAGCTCGCGAAATTTCGGCAAAGCCTGGTTGAAAGCCAACGCGGGCCCTAGCCACATAGAGCATTCGCGGTCTCGGGAATCTCACAATCATATCGCCCGGTGTGTGATTTTGCCTCATCGGCGCTTCTTTGAAAGGTACCTCAGAATTGCTAGGCGCAATAGCCATCGGTTTTAGCAGTGCCAGTACATACTGTGGTAGTAGTCGTTATTAACAAGACGGAGCACTTCTCCGAGGCTCGAACCAGCTCCGCTCGAACTCAACACGTCGTCTCACATAGCCGTAACGGAACCCACATCGCTCCCCGCGCAAACACTTGTGATGGATGATCCTTGATGGAGTGTCGAGCATTGCGGAATTCACGGTATCGAGTAATAGTCGTACAGTAGGAAGACTTTCTCGATGCTGCAGCGAAGGTGCCGCTGCTTCTCCAAGAACAAAAGACTCACATACTAACACGGAGTTTCTCTCTGCACGAACCATGCCACCCAGCGCCCTGTTTCCATGCCGCGAATTACATCGTGAGAAGCTAATACTAGTACTGGGTATTCCTACCTAGGAGATGAGCCAAGTTAGTGCTCAATGTCTGAAATGTCGAAAATGGGGCCTGCGTCTCGCTAAAGCAGGCGACAGTCTGACTTTTACATACATACGGTATGTACTAGTAATTAATACCCGCAGCATGCTGTGCGACATGCCCGTCTGCAATGTCATGCCGGGCCGGTACAGAGAGAAGAAGCTGCTCTTGCAGGCGTGACCTCGGACCGCAGCAAATGAGGCTCCAGACGGCTCTAGGCCACGGACGGCGCCCAGACGATCTTCAGTATCGGCTGGAGGATCGTCCTAGTGATACCCAGCACTAGTGATTCACATGAAGCTGCTGTCGGAGTACTAATTGGATGTGAAAGCGAAGGACAAAAAGACGGTCTGTTGCTCGGCACTGCCGAGAATCGGTTCGTACGGCGGATGAGGCGCGTGCATAGATATTGCGTTGGCTTTGTTGAGCAAGAGGCGCCACCAGCTCATTGGGCATCGCGAGGCGTCTGGCCCCATTGCTGCCCGGCTGCTCTGATTCGCTCTCTGTACACGCAAGTACGGAATTCCTCCTTCGTGAAAACATGCGGCAGTCTCGGTGGATGTGTCGTGTTGTGCTGCCTGGCCCCTGTCCCGTTGGTCTAGACTGACGTGTTGTATGTATGGCGCACAGATTCCGGGACAAGACAATGATGTCAAGGCCAAGGCGATCTCGCAGAGCTGCAGCAATTTAGTAAAGGTCACCCAATCACCCTCAAAACGCTGCTCTGCACATCTGTTGGTGCTGATGCAGTGAATCGCATAGTTTGGCATGCCATGTATGTAATGTAATGGACTGCCGTGCAAGAACTAGCAGAGCAAGGAGCACACACACCAGCAAGCTCATAGGGCTCCCGAGACTTCAAGTGGCAGGTCAGCTTTTGGTTCCCGCAAAGTATAGATATGCTTCTTTATACGGTACGGGACCCATTGGGGACCCTGGATTTCCAGCACCAAAAAGCTCTGGCCCCTCGCAAGATCCGCGTTGCTGTGGACATGGCCCGAACAAGAGCGATGCGCCGTCCCTGGGCCTGGTCACTGGTCACCCAGCCAGCGGCTGGCCTGGTCATTCGGTCCTTGCAAAGACAAAACGGCAAGTTAGCGCGCATCAAGCCAGGCGGGGTTGGAAGACAAAATGCAACAATGGAAGGGAGAAGAAAGGCGCCGCCGACTTCAGCAACGGGCATGGAGTAAGTCCTTGGACATGCAAAGAGAGGCGTCCACGTCTGCCGCTTGTAGTACATGCTGCATTCACCGCATTTTCGGAGATGTGTTTCAGAGAGCAAGGCCCTTCCCTGCTACATGTGCGTGTAGGTGGCATGTGAGCATCCCATCCCTCGCGCTGACGCTACCATGGTGCCTCGACCGCCCGAACAGTGTGTGTGGGCTGGGGATTGATGGGCTGAGACGGAGCTCTGCCGCAGCCGGAGCATCTGGGAGGATGGGGGGAGAAACGAAAAAGGGTCGATGGCATCACTGGGCGGCCGATGCGTGGAGGATAGGATGTGATGATGACCTTGATAGGGCAGAATAGTAACCTGCATGCGTTGGTAGCTGAGTGGCAGGCGTTGATCGATTGGAGGTGTACGTTTCCGATTAACAGGCGAGTGACGTTTGTCTTCGGGGCTTGCTGGTCAAGCGGCCGAAGAGCTCGAGACCGAACGGCTCCGAGGATTTGCGTCAACTGCGGCGAAGTGAAGAAGCTATAGGTACCGTCACTGGACAGCGAAGCACAGCAAAGCAAGGGGAGGGACAAGCAATCTCGGGCTGATAGTACCTGGCGGGCTGAGGGCCGAGTCAAAAGGTCCCAGACTACCTACCCAGTATATGGGCATGAAACTCCGTCGTTTCTTGGGATAGCCGAGTCACAAATACTAGCATAGAATTTCGGGAGAATTTTGGAGTCTTTTGGATCTCTGGTATTGGAACACGACGATAGGTAGGTAGAAACACGATGATTTTCCCTCTGTATGATGGTGGTTTGTCTGTCAAGATCGTACAGTACCAGTGCGCCGTCATACGTGCAGCAAAAGAGCAGCTGGAGCTGTGTTCGCTCCTACCCGCGCGAGATCTGAGCTGTGCAGCCAATCAGCGCCGGCGATTTAATAACGCAGGCAGGAGCGAGCCATTGCGAATGACGGGATGCTGGCCGGCT